TCTGGCGGCGTGTCTGGAAAGGTGTATAGGCGTCCGGTCACAATCTACGCAAGGCGTGCCGTGGTCGTAGCTGCCGGAGCACTTGGAGGCACCGCGCTGCTTCTCGAGAGGAGCGGCATTCAGAATCCCCATCTCGGCAAGCACTTGAAATTGCATCCCGTCAACACTTTATTCGGCGTCTTTGATAAAGACATTATGCCGTGGGAAGGTGGTATTTTGACCTCGGTCGTCAATGAATACGAAAATATTAACTCAACAGGTTATGGCTGCAAATTGGAATGCGTCACTATGCTTCCTAGCATGGTTCTTCCGTTGATGCAATGGAAATCAAGTTTAGAATGGAAGGTACATGCTGCCAAGTTCAAGCGTATGGCAGGCTGGATATCGCTTGCTAGAGATGAAGGCGAAGGCGAAGTCTATGCTGACCCAGTAGACAAATACCGAGTCAGAGTCAAGTACGACACAGCAAAGTCGGATCAGAAGAACATTGCAGTCGGCCTTGTCGCATTGGCAAAGATCGCTTTTGTCGAAGGGGCACGCGAGATTCATGTCGGTGTCGCGGGCGTACCTCCCTTCGTACGCCGCGAATCTGTCAAAACGTACTCATCGGCGATCGATGCCAGCCAGACTGGGGAAAATGCTGGAGGTACGGCAAGCATAAACGACCCTGAGTTCTTACAGTGGCTGGCCCGTCTAGAACTGTTTGCTGTCAACGGACTCCCTGGGGACGCTGGGCAGGTGTCAGCACATCAAATGGGCACGGCGAGAATGGGTTCCTCGCCCACGAACAGTGTCGTGAACTCGCGGGGTGCGGTGTGGAATACACAATCACTCTTTGTAGCTGACACTTCTGTTTTCCCGGGAGCAAGTGGAGTGAACCCGATGATCACAGGAATGGCAGTTGCGAGAGGTATCGCTCGAGGCATTGTCGAAGATCTAGGTCTTCCATCCTCACAACAACCACCAAAAGCAAAGCTGTGAACAAAACCGCCCGACGAAGTGGTTGGGTGTGCGGCTTTGCTCTGCTTGAGCTGCCTCGCATCCCATGCGAGTCATTAAGCTTAAACCGAGCGGAAGCTATTACATAACATCTATACTCAATCTACCTACCGAGCAATTTTATACTTTATGGTATGCATAGCTGGAGCAACCAACAAACGCCATCATCTCCCATCTCTCGCCTACTCGCAACCTATCTGTATTCTTGCCGTTTGTTCCAGAATGTCCATAATGGTATGGCGCCTTCCGCTGCCGCCACCGCCGCTTCGTACTCTTGAAACCACGCCGCGGGGCCAAGTGCATGCACGGAAATTGGCCCAGGTCAGATGGGATACGAATGGTTGACAAAGCATGTGCGTAGCGTAGATGCAACACTCGTACGATTATGCTACGGAACTGGGAGCGCATCTAGAGCTTGAGCTATCTTTACCTGACTAGGAGATGGCTTGCAGAGTGTGCGCGTCGCTTGACAGCGCAGGACATGAGACGATAGTCAGTCAAAAGATGTTCAAACAATTACAATCCACAACGTCCACCGCTACGCAACGCGTGTGGTACTCTAGTAGATCAATGCCTTCTCCACAAAGCGTGCATAATAGATTGTCTGTTTACTGATCTTCATCTACAAGCAAGATTCAACAGATTTCAACTCGCGAAATAGATTGCCATCTACACTTGGTTCAATACACAAATGAAGGCTTTGTTGGATCACCACTGGTCGGGACTGGGTTGCCAATTGCGTTGCGGAGCCTCACTCAAGCATTGTTGAGGCTTGGACGACACGCGACACCTTACCAAGAATTGACTATGCAGTCCATGTAAGCCTCTCCCGCCTGCCGAGCCCACCAAGTTCATGGATGGCAACGGTGGGCAGTCCGAAGGTCCGACTTTGCACGAGCACATTATTTCCAGTCCGGTTCTAACGGACCGAGATTCGCTCTTCTGCTGCTGGACTGCATCAGAACCAAAACACAGCATGCAAGCTGATGCAACTACACATTGCATACAAAAACCTAGACAAGCCATGGCGTAACAAGGGCATTGTCTCATTCACCTTGGCATGTCAATGTCGGCGTCAAACGGAGAGAAAAATCGCAATTGTAGGACCCTTAAAACCCTTCAAAGTTTATTGTACCGTCCCTGGTTTCTAACTTTTCCTTGCCCTTGTTTTCGTGTCAAAAGAAGTCCCCTTCATTTTTGTAGATCAATAGAGCGACGGTTAGGTGGAGAGGACAAGGGCCACGCACACCGAGGGTCTTCCGAAACTCTACCCACTCATGGAGAGATGTGTGCAAGGGACGGGTTGGGGTTTAGATGCGCTTTTGGGAAGGCATTGTCAAGCGAGCTTTCGGACTGCCGGAAAGCATATACTGGACGGCAGTTGTATTTGCTATACTCGGTTGCTTGCAGCTATGTTAGCCAGCCTCGAAGCCGCAAAGATGTTCCGATTCGGGATTCAATTTGCCTTACTTGTCCCATGACAAGTCTGCTGGAAGACCTGGATGTACGTGTAAACCTGAGCAGTGATGTGGGCAGAGGACAATGGCTCAACCACCAGTTTTCAAAGCAATATATACGATTTGAGATGCCTACTTTTCATCAATCTCTTCTTAGCTCAGTTGGTTTAGAGCGTCTGACTGTAATTGCTCGATTGTCATCAGAAGGTCCTTTGTTCGACTCCAGAGAGGAGATTTCTTTTTGCTTTTGTATCCCCATCAGCTCTGCCTGTGATCACTTTTTGCTCGTATGTCAACTACTGGAAGATGTGAGCATCTTTATTGCTCTTTCCCCGTCTGTGACTCTGTCAACTTGTTTTCTTGCTTGACTGCTCTGTGTCGGACCATTGCATGTATCTTGCCAAATTTGGCACCGAGATCTTGAATGATCAGAAAAACAAGCACAACTCTCCACTCCAAGGATACACTGCATACTACTCATGACATATAGCTCTCAGAGGCATAGAAGAGTAGTTCGTAATATATGGCCATAGAAATTATCAGTCCCTAATCACCAACAAAGATTTCTAGATGCTCATCAGTTTGCAGACCGGGTGACCCTGGCTCAAATATCCTAGCGATCCACTACACAATCGTATATACAATTACCCGACGTTTAGCTGCTTGAGTCTTGAAGTCCCGTAGAGCTTCTTTCAATCCCTGCTTACGACTATGCTAAGTTCTCACATCTGGCGATAGCTGAACTTTGGTACCCTTAGCCCAAAACCACCCTTCTTGCCAAGAGAAGTGAGATGTGATGTATCCCTTCCCACTATAGAGTGCACCTCCTCTCATGTTGGCTATCGAAAAGGCAGTTCGAGATCTATGGCAGTATAGCCTGAGCCTGCGTGGCCATAATCGACAATTATGGGTTTTACTGCCTGGTAATCAAATAAACGTTGACCAGAGTGCGTCTTGAAAGTGGCTCGACTATCTAAAGACCGCTCTTTACTTCTGCTTTTGTAGCAGTCACGATTAATCTCTGCGAGGGAATCTCTACAAAGGTCTCTGCAGTGAGGTAAGGTATACTGGCCACTGCAAGGTTCCACAGACTATAATATGCTGGGGCTATTGCCGTGTAGGAGACGACATGATATGCACACACTATATATCTTGTGGCCCATGTAGAATCGTCCTTCCTTGACACCAGCTATGTGCGATCCATTTGACTCATTCATGAATTTAGCGTGAAGATGTGCAGTGCCTAAAAACATCTGATCATAGAAGCTGCACAGTCTCGGAAAGTAGATTCGTGCAGATGACTTAGCTACATCTGAAGCTATCCAAGCAGAGAGGCGGTAAGGTGATCCTTCGATCTTAAGATGATTCGGAAGACTTACTAGGAGGAAACGTGGTTGGGAACATGTTTTTCTATTACTCCGTCGTCTCTCTTAGAACGAATGGTGGTTGATGAGACATCTAAGATCGAAGAATTGATATACGAGCAAAGGTCCATGAGGTCGGTGAGACCTTAAAGACATCAATACTGTAGCTCTCGTAGTACAGCGACGATGCTGCTAGATACCGTCCGATTCTTGAGTTCGTCACATCGTCTTGAACATCCTTTGTCCATTCTTGTTTAGATCGTCCAGGGTATTCTGTCCTTGACTATATATCGATGGACGTACAGGTATAGTCGGTTAGCTTGATTCGAGATGAGCTGGTGAAGAGGATATAATGAAGGAGATCTGCTGATTGTGTAGCGTTTTACATGCTTACGTGAGTATCTGGTGTACACGAGGCGCTGTGGTCATGCCATCACTAAGTGCAACGTAGTCCAAATCCAGACGTGGAGCCTTGACGGCGTCGACGGCGTGTTCTGATACAGGGCGACATGGAACCAGGGAACACATTGAGTTCAAGATGGAGGTTTACCTTTAAGCTTGAAAATGACGCACAAGAAAGACATTACAAACACGTTCTTCGATTGTTCAAATGACGCTTGAGCGATGGTTTGACTTGACACAAGCTACTGCTCAAGTTCTGGATCTTCTGTGACCAGATAGAACGGATGCATTGCTAGAGTCGTGTATCAGTTTCGCTCAAATAGAAACTGTTCTGAAAACCACACGCAAGACTTTACCGAACCTCAGCAGAGATCGGAGACCAAAGAACCGAAACGCTAGAAACTACGCTTACGATGTCCATAGCTGTAGGAAGGGTGCCAGGCGTGTAAGAGCATATGCAGGCGAAGAGGAAAGCTGATGACATAGAATTAGGGTCGAACGAGGCAGACTACCTTTTATTTCACAATAGATCGCGAACAGGAGACGATGTTGCGCATGTTTTGCCCGAAGATGTTGTACAAGACATGAACGTACGTTTCGCTTGGCGCAACTGACTGATTGCGTGACCCTTTTGACACGCAAACTATTGTCTGCCCTTTGAACCATTGACTGAAAGGTGGCATGCAACATCAGAATCAGAAGACCGACCACAAGTCGGTGCATGTTATCGCAAAGTAGAGACTCGGCGGTGTAGGGTCCTTTCAGATACGTCTTCTCATCAAGCACCCTCTTCTTGAACACAGTCTAACCTCGGCATATTGACGTACTGTAACAGGGCATCGTAATCAAAGTCGTCAGGCTGTGGTNNCGTCAGGCTGTGGTCGTCAGGCTGTGGCGAGCGGTTGCGGGCGACTGGCTGGCAGTCTTTGCAGCGAAGTTGACGGATGACTTCGTGGAGGATTTGATCAAACAGTGCGCGGTCCAGTTGTGCTATAGCGAGCTTGATGAAATCCGTGTTGTCGATACGGTGACCTTCTCCTTTGGGCTGTGATGTGCAGAACCACACACGATATACTTGGCCAGTCTCGTACACTTTCTTGACCGTGCGGTGGTGGCCAGGTCTTCCATCAACAGGATCGTGGCGAGGACAGTGGATGTGTTTACAGCAGTAGTGATGTAAAGTCTGGGCCAGATGTAGTTTACCGCCCTCGACAGCCATGCCAACTCTAGGGTTCAGCGTAACAGCCTAAAGTGGTCGAGCAGATTGTGGTCGTCTGAACGGTTGATAGGACACCATCGATGAACTAGGCTCAGCAACATAGCTGCCTTGTTGGTGATTGAAAACGGGCAAGGACGAAACATAGGACGGAGCTGCTTTTTGGTCATTTTTNGTTAGTGCTGTGTTGGTGATCGGGGCGGAATTGGCGGCGAGCATGAGCTTGAGAATGTTTCTTGCGTGGCCGAAGAGGCCCGACGGCTTGTTGCGATCCAGGCAATCTGCCTTAAGGGGAACGATCATCATGAGAATCATCATGGCTTAAACCATCGCCACTGGAATCCCCGTCACAGCCGAGCGTGCTGTGGTGATGGCTGCGCAGCTTCGCCAGAGTTTCTTCATCGATAGCAACACCTCCCTCGGGCGAGATTGACCTTGCCATTCTGTACTCTTGTTGTTGTGTTGTTGAGATGTTGTTATCGCGGTGCTCAAAGCTGTGTTCATCAATCACAGGCTTGGACAGATCTTTAAAGGGATTCTTGAGCAATCTTTCCTTCGCTTCTCTCTTACGCTTGTTGCGACCAGGGTTGTTGTGTTTCTTGTGCTTAGGACATCGCCCGTTGGTCTCACCAGGCTTGCAGTCCGGGCAGTCTTTGGGCCCAATGGCCATTGTTGGCTTTGGTGCTGTTGTCGCTGTTGTTTCTGCAGACGCTTTCGAGGGCGTGTGATGTTTAGCATGGCTTTGAGGTTGGTCTTTGTTGTAGTTGACACATTTTTGGGATGTGAGGAGGGAGGGACCAAACACGTCGTCCCTGTCGCGCTTCTTGCTGCGGTCAGGTAAGTTTTCAAGCATCATTGTGAGGTGAGCACGATGACTGAGAGCTGCAATGGTAATTGTTGAAGGATCAAAGCAGTGTTACTATGACAAGCTGAATAGATTGTCTCACGTGTTGTGAGATGTGTGGATATTTCACAAACAAACCGAATCGTTGTGAGGAACAGGTTAGTGAATGTTAGATTGTATTCGCAGTGCTGCCTCACTGTTGTGTCTAAAGAAGGCGCGACTCACTTCGCTGTTGCGTGAGACGTCGACCAGACGGGAAGTCGCTGTGCCAAGCATCGGTAGAACTGCGGTTATATGTGCAAGAAAGCTTCAAAAACCTAGATTTTCAACTCCCTGACAATCTTTTCCATCATCATCAAGAGCTCCTGCTTGCTCCTTCATGTCTGCGCGAGACCATATGCACCGTTGAGAGATGTATTGAAAGCTTTCACGTCGTATGCGTACCTCGGCAGCTTTGAATTTGCAATGCAGCGACAGCTAATTGTGATGAGCGCTGTGCACCAGTCAACACACCCCTGTCAACCACTAGGTATGCATCTCTTCCTTTCCATCTTGCCCAGCCTACCGAGGTGATGAAATTCCTGCGCAAAATTCACAGACCTGTTCGGAAACAAACAATGTCGAGAAAATGCTTGGAGACCTTCTGATCTTTCATCAATTACCCTTTTCGTACAAGACTGCTGCATGTAAGCCTTGAATGCTGACCGGGAATCATAGGTCTCGACCATACGCCGCCGGATCAAACGGCAGTTTGCATTCTCCATAGAACTAGATATGAGTTATACGAATCGGTTGAATCCACATCGTTACCGTCCATTGAGCCTTCCTATGCATCACGTCTTATATCTTGCAATATATTAGCGAGCACAGGAATCCTTCCTCAGCTGCCATATTCCGTTTGCTCAGCCATATGCTGCGAGCAAGGGTGTCGTTTGCGGCAAGTGTTACGTGAAGAAACCTTTCCAAGCGGTCGGACACACCGCCGGCTACGCCGAGCATCTCGTGTCGGCTACACAATTGATAGCTATAATGCGGAATCGTGGCAGTTGGAGGCTGTGAACCTTTCCTGAAAGACATGATACTGGTAATTCAAACGCTCAGCCTTGCACTCGAGCAAACACTGCCTGACTACTGAGGAGAAGAAAAGGCCATCTACCTCCCATTTCTGTACTACCCATCAGCGTCGATCTTCTATACCGTGTTGCGGCCCAAGAAGGCACAAATATTACGTCTCTGGTGACACCGTACCGTGGTGATTCTAGTGTGGATCAGACGCAGTGCTGAATCGCTGTTCCCATCTGCCCAACCAGGTCAGTATTCGGCCGATCACAATGTACAAGTAAGAGTTCATATTGATATGTTCGTATCTAGGGCAGAAGTTTTTGACAAGCACCATTCGACTTTCTGAGCATCGTTGGAGCATCCTGTCCGGCAACCGAGGTCTAACGAGGAACGGTTCGGCGACGCCAGAAGCTTCAGCTCTTCTCAGCTTGCAGCTGACAAGTTTACGACCCCTGGCACAAACGTCTTCTCTGCCGCCTTCTTTGACCGGTACTCAACACACACATCGCACAAAAAATTGCTGTAGGATCTTCAGAATCGACAAAGGACCAGGGTCTATACTGGCTGATTGGAAGACGACAATCTCACACTGAACACTAGGCACATTCATCTCTCATTCAAGTGCTACCGTCCAATCACAGTCTGGAACACAGCCTGCGGGTCGCGTTCGCGGGGAACTTACCCAAACCAGTTAATGATCCCAATAGCTCAGCGAACCTTGCCCTCTCCGTATTCTTATACCCACGGACTCGCCGGGGTCAAGTTCACTGCCTTTTTCCTTTTCGAGTCTGCAATTCTGCTCTTTTCCCCTTTACGGCTTTTTTCTCTCCTGGTCCAAGTTCAAGTCTCTAGGAGAAGTGGAGCAAACAAGAGGCAAATCGCAGCAAGAACAGTGTCCGATCATCGTTTGGTCGCGACTAGGTCTGTGAGAACGAAAACAGAGAAAGAACTAACCATGGCGGCTGTGGGCAAGTTCGTGTTTGTCAACTATACTGGCGAGCCGGATGTTGAAGCCAAGCAATCTTTGCCAACCGTAAGACAGCATGTTATGCATGACTTTNTCCGGCGGCAAAGGGAGGCAGATAACGGCGTTCCTCCAGAGGNNGAAGTTGCTGCGCCAGAGGTTTCAGCTGCTAAATCAAAGGAACCCCGGCGGCGAAATACCAACACTCGTCAGGCTGCGTCTCAGCCGCGCCCCAAGCGTTCCGTAAAAAGACCATCACGAGCTCGCAAGGATAATCCTCAACTCCATCGCCAGTCATCTGCCTCGTCCACCGAACTGGTATTTCTTCAAGAGTTCCCTGAAAGAACCTCTGCACCATCCAGTCGGACTCCATCTNTTGACGAGACTACTGATTCATCTCCACCTGGCTTCACCGACTCGGTTAGCTATACCGATTCATCATCGCCTTTATTCTCAGTTGCACATTCTGGTACTTCTCCGGACGTGTTTGAGGAGGCTTCGCCTCAATCCACTTCCCTTGTCCAAATCAACGCGCAAGCGTCGCCTGTCTTTNTCCAAGAAGACCAGTCTGCCCTACTTCAAGCACCGAATCCCTTTCTGCATAGTCCTGCTGTTCACCGTTGGGATCCGTTTAATACACTTCCCTTGAACGGCCTTGCTGTAGATCAACTGGCAACCTGGCACTTCCATCGCCCCATCAACCGGANNAACAATATCTGGGAGAGTAAAGTCCTCTGGCTTGACAAAGTCGACAGCCACTTTAGAAGGGGTTTGTGGAGCATCGCACTCACAAGCACACCGCTATTTCATATTCTGCTGTGCATTGCGGAGATGAAACGCAGTGTTCTTACTGGAGATCGAAATCAAATCAGCTACTTTGAACACAAGATCGCTGCCATGCGCGCAGTTTCACAGGGCGTCTCGAGGCTGTCTAGTCTTCNNCCTCAATTCACGGGCATGCATGGCATGGCTTTGCCTAGTAAGTTTTGGAGAGTCGAGAAAGTCCGAGTTTGATACTGACCTTAAACAGCGGACGACACCTCAGGTCTGGCAGAAACATCAACAGATACTTTCGTCATGTTGGTGGCCATCCAAGTAAACTTGGCTCTGGGCGACAAAGAGTATGATGCCGCAAAGACACATATGCGGTGCGTCAACGATCTCGTCAACAAAGCTGGTGGTCTTCAATCCTTCGGCTACACACAATGGCGTCACACGATTTGGAACGACTTGAAGCTAGCGTCTGCGCTCCTGGAGAGACCAATGCTGGAATATGGCCTGCGAATGGAGTCAATCAATGCTACCTTCCCTCCCGAGGTGAATACTGAAGCTCACCGTCTATCATTGGAGACGATACGCATGATTCCAACATCAGGGACATTGACATCGGAATTGTCGTATGATCTGTTCAACCGTCTCCATCAACTGTGCCTGTCTTTTGACACCACATTAAGTCAAGAGGAACATTTCATGGCTTTCGAAAACGCCCTATACACTATTGTGTACCAACTGTGCAACTCCATTGCAGATAGCCAGTCACATACTGAATGTAGCGCCACAGATATGTTGATCTTAGGTGCTCAACTCAGTACTTGGACATGCATGCCCTCGCTGGTTAACATGCGCGCACTCTTCAACACAGTCATCAACACCATCCAATCAAAATTAGTCTACCGCCTCTGGAATGGCCTCAAGCCAGATCTGATCCTACAGTGGGAATCAACCGCCAAGCTCGACTCGCTTCTTTGGGTCCTGTTCCAAGCATCATCTGCAGCCATCAACGTTTGCTCGAGTGGCGAAACATGGATGCCGACCTACATGTTGGAGTCTTTCCTGACGACTACCAGACAAGTAACTATGAGATTGCAGATTCATAGTCTGGCACACTTCGAGAGGACACTGAGAAGTTTCCCATACAGCGAAAATGTGTTTGGCGATGATTGCAAAATGCTATGGACACAAATGGGAATTGATGATATTGGTATGATTGATGGAATGGTGTCTCCAAGCTCGATGATCGTTGAGGAAATGTGAGCTGGACTGTGAGCATTGGGATTGGTGGTAGAGGTTGTGCCTCCCACTGGGTGTTTGACGAATTCTTCCTTCCACTATTCTTCTCTCGACGCTCATGAGACGTCTTTGTGCAGCTCACGCTGCTTGCATTTCTTTCTACGGATGGCATCGTATCTTGTAATGAATCCAAGATCTTAACATACTATCTAAACCTCCTTTATCATCTATCAACCTGAAGTGTCTCCTTCAGCCATCGAACAATGCGCTCAAAACGACAATCTCAGGGAGATCGAGCCTGACGCTGGTTGACAGCCTCATCGTTGATAGTGGCGCATCTGAGACCCACTTCCACCGAAAGGGTGGTCAGAGGATGATTTAAGTTATCAAGTGGCTTCATCATCAGCCATGCTATACAAGTAAGAGTCAGGTAGTGCATGTTCTTGGCATTCATGGAGGACCACTTACTGTTTTCGTCCAATGCAATGTCGCATGAATTGAGGCTCCGCCAGCCACAGGGTAGTGGCGGGTTCTAGCTCCTGTCAAAGTCGAGTGCTCCTTCAACATCACTGCCAGTAAAGAGTCCGTCTTGACAGACCTATATCTACAAATCGTTAGTGACCCCGAAGGTGCAACAAACAATCATGCAGGAATATGGTCCGAGATGGGGATCTATGCTTATGCCGCTAATATTCACGTCGAGGTGACAAGCGTTCGCAGCTCTCACGCAGCACCGTTCGCACCTGCCTGATGGCTGTTCGATCGACAAGCCCTACAGCAGCGGGAGTGTCAGCATCGCAGCACACCACTTGACATTTCCTGACTGGCACGATGAAAGCGGTGAGTGTTCGTCGTACGACTACATATGGTTGTACGACGATCTATCCACTTCACCACATCCCTCATGAGGCAACATGGCCAGAAGCATCGATGAGCCCCATTTGCATTTAACCAGACGTTTCAACGTAATCTTATTGCTTCAGCCAGCTAAGAATGCAGGTACAGCCGCATAGAGTTCCACTCTGCCTGCCCGCATGCAGACACTTGAATGTGATATATGATTCTCTGCAAGTCTCCCGACAATTAGGTCAGTGACCAATGGCTAGATGCGGCAATCAGTGATTTGGCAGTTGCACAGGGAAGGACTGACTGCTGGAGTTTCCACTGTTAATCAGCTGTGAACCATAGATCAGGTGGCCTTCTGCATATACCGCAGCGTAGTGCTGACCAGATAGCAGCACGACATCGACCGTCCTATACCGGAGGCCGCTTACTTGCTTGATGTTTCCAAGCTTCGAGCTTGACCGGTCAGTGATGCTTGTTGACCATGATGGTCCAGCCTTAGCAATACGACTCGAGCCACCAGGTAGCGGATCTCGAACTGTGTGCGACTTGACTAGCAATGTGAAACCATCAACCATGATACTCATAATAGACAAACAATGGTTTGCTTGGAGCTTTGACGCAGACTAATGGCGATTCTGCCCAGTGCTAGGTTGTTGTCAGCCATCACTCTCTATGAAGCTGGTATAGACCCAAGCGTACAGGTTACAATATGCTAGAGCGCCGTACCCCTTAACTCGTTGCTACTCTTCCTGCATAGAGTATCATCGAACCGTGGCATAGCGCGCAGGCTCATAGTATGTTTCAAGGATCACACAAGCTGATTGGTATTACCAGGTTCCAAGGAGAGCAAAATGCGAGGCATATATTTTTTGCGGACAAATTCACAGTCTCGAGCTGAAATCGTCGGTTTTGCCCAACGATGACTTCGTATTGATGACTTTGTATCGCTATGGCTTGCAAAAGCGACTATCGGGAACACTAGACGCGCCGGTAAGCGTTTCAATGCATCTTTCAAGGACGTAGATCTGGATTGGGAGAGGAGAGAAGTCAGGATCTAGAGCATGGTCGACTTCAACGTTGACAATCAGCGTGAAGTCTCATATTATTCCATATCGCTCTAGGTAATCGACGCATATGAGCTAGACTGAGTGTTCAGCGGTCAAGCGAGACAAAGTATAAGTAGGACAATCCCAGACCTCGTTCAGATACTTCATCACAAATTCAACTCAGCAACACCCATCAGACAAGATCCATTACCACACTCATCTCATCATCCAACCAACACAATCCAGCAACCATGCAGTTCACCACTATCCTGACTATCGCCGCTCTTGCTCTCACCGAGCATGCCATGGCCACCATCTGCACAGGCACATCCACCTTCACCTCTGGCAACCTCAAAGGCACCTCCTACGACGTGGCTTGGATCTATGGCGAAGACGCCTGCCAATGGACTTTCGTCGCCAACGCCAATGATAATCCATGTGGCAGAAAGTTTACTCTGTCCAATGGCTACACTTACTATNTGNGAAACTGTGGTGATGCATCTTTTGCACTGTACAATGGAGACGGCAGTTACAACCATATTGCTGTGTACAATCCTGATTATGAGGTATGTTGTTGGTGATATGCTGGATACACAGGGAGAGAAGAGTGCTGATGCTTGGATGTGTGGTGCAGANAGGATGATTGTATCAACAACAATGGCCAGTACAAGGTTGTCAAGACCTGGCAGTTTTGAATGTTGTATTGGACGGTGATGTGAAGTTGACAGTACAGCAATGCCTACATGAGTATGTGGCGAAGAGAGCAAAAAGATGCTTGTGAGATGATCAAGACAGTGGTGAGAGACGGGTAGGTTCAATCAGAGCATTCAACACAGTTAGCTTAGCCAGCTGTAGTACAATCATTCGCTTATAAAATGTTTCCTGAAAAGCTTGATGCTCTTTAGAACTATTATGAAGAAGATCTACTTAACTGTACTAGCATGGATCAATGCCTGTTCTAAACACCGAGTACATCCTTAATATTCCAGACTTTGCCGTCGTTGCTGTAAGTGACAAAAGTGTTTTAGAGACCATTTGTATAGCAACATAGTACCTACTGCTATTCATCCCTTATTAGGGACATCTACCATTTCTAGTACTTATCACATATCTTCAGCATTTTATTCTAAGCCTGCTTAGAAAGATTACATATTTTCATTACTATTAAGATCCATAATCGACTTAACAAGCACCCTTATAGCAGTTGTCGTGACGTTTTGCGATATCAAAGATATCAGACAATAGGCAGCTCTCTAAGCTGGACACGAGCATCGACAATTGTTGAAATGAACTTACTCCACTCATGACAGAGACATGATCGAAGCTCCTGACTGTAGTGGCGAAGGTATGGTCGAGGGCAAATAAGAAAGTAGAGGGCAGAGCACCGCGAGTGGTTGGCCATATGGAGCAAACAAGGCGACAACGCGGGACACATCATGATCACAAGAGTTGGTCGAAGATCACATACAAAGTCAAGAAGGAAAAGTCTTTTGCATGGGTGCCGCCATCACAACGAACCACAGGGATATCATTTTGGTTCGACATAAAAAACGCCATTTTGTCCCGTCATAATGCACACCATGCAAGAAGAACGAGAAAGGAAAGTTTAGGCAACACCGCTTTTTGTCTTTTTTATCGCTGGTAGATAGTCCGTTTTCCCGTAACCGCTTTTCCCAGACCGATCTCTCATCATTCGAACGTCACAAACGCAATGGTCGATGCATTTATGCGGCGGTGATGGCGCGGCGGTTGCGCTGAGCGCGCTGGCGGTTGTTAAGGCGGACGGCCTCACGACCGGCAGCCTCGGGGGCNGCCTTCTGAACGACCTCCTCGCCCTCAGTGAGGATCATCTCAATGTGGCAGGGGTTGGACATGTAAGGGTTGATCNNTGAAGGGGCGTGTCAGTCGATGAGAAGTAGAGTTTGGGCAGAGTGAAAACGTACGCGACCGTGGGCACGGTATGTGCGGCGGCGCTGCTTGGGGGCCTGGTTGACCTGGATGTGCTTGACAATCAGGTTGGAGGTGTCAAGACCCTTGGTGTCGGCGTTGGCCTCGGCGTTCTTGAGGAGCGAGAGGATGAACTCGGCAGACTTGACGGGCCAGCGGGCCTTGGAGACACCGAACTGCTTGCCNTTTGGAAGATATCAATATGTGTGTTCTTGAACCCAGGTGGACTTTCAATCCCCATATGCATCCTCGCAGCTGGCAGACTTACCCTGGGCGGTGCGGCCAGTGCTCCCGGCATAACGTCTCATGGGGACGGCCTCGGCGTGGTTCTTGACGTTCTCGAGGTACTGGAGGGCACGAGTGACCTTCCAGCCGTTGATGGCCTGAGCGGTCTCACGGGTGTTCTTGAAAGAGACACGGAGGTAGGAACCGCGAGCGCGGGCGCTCTTGGCGTTCTCGATTTCGGTAGCGGCGTAACGGACCTGAACGGAGAGGATGTGTTAGTCGAGAGTCGCATTCGATAGTTGTAGGTTGCGAAGTTTGTGTTGCGAGATTTGTGAAAGAGGAGCGGGTTGAAGTATGACCGGCCATGTGCTGGATCGGACGCAGACTGAAATGATTGCGCAGAGATTGAGACTGTGCGAGATGGACAGAATCTAGTCGAGTGATGCGCAATCGAGCGAGGCGGCGGTCGAAACGAGCAGGTGGCCGGTCGGAACGTGTGATTGAGAGAGTGTGCGTATCGAAGAGCGTGTATGCGTCGTTGCTGAAAAACTTACCATCTTGTCGGTGTTGTTGTCGAAAATGAAGTCGCGGACGAAAAACAGAAGGAAGGACCTATGGCAGAGATTGTCGAAATGCGCTGCTTGGTCTTGGCAGTCAGTGTGCCCCAGATTTCGCTTAGGTCCTTCGAAAAGTGACCCTGGCCAAGCCCTAAATCTTCAGTCCAGGCATCAAGACGCAAGTCGAATGAGTTGATGAACAATGTGTGATAGTCTCTACACCAACAGTGTGTAGCGGAGCGCAAAGCAGTCTCTATGGTCTCCAGATGATGGTGAAGCGCATTATACCACAGAATCTGACTTGGTCCCACGGTTTGTTGCCCACATCAGGCAGAGCTACACTTTCTCAGCATTTTGTTATGTACGACGATCATATTCTGATCTTGCTATTGCCGTTACAATTCTCAGGTAGGTTTGTAAAGCAATTAAGAGATTCGCCGAGTCTCCTCAAACCGTGTCGACTAGCAGGAGCACAAGGGTCGCTCCTTCCTCACTCATGTCGCTCCTTCCCTGTCCGTCTTTTCAACTTTAATTCAACCTCACTCTATATCGTTATCGAACACTGATGCTCAATCTACATGTATATGTTCGTTGAAGCTTCTCATCTCGTACGAGCGTGGATGGTGCACTCTTACTACGACCAGGTTGGTTCAGCTGAACTTTTTACATTCTAGGCACAAGGTCTTGTACGTTCTTCTATACGATCCTGAAAGCGCAGGGGATTCGAAGTGATCAGTTAAGTATAGCCGACGTGATCTTTGAAAGCAGTTGACTATTGTAACACATGCGAGGCAAGCTCTCTCTCTATTTCTTGGTATTCTCGAGTAAAGCCCTCTATCTATTTCTTGTTGGTCCGGAAGAAAAACGAGTGGACCATCAGCTGGCTTGTGATGGGACATGAGCCAAGTAGTCCCAAAGGTCTTCAGGTCGTGTCGTTATATTCAACGAGAATCTGCACTTCCCACCGTCTGCTGCCAGGAGGTATCTGTCTCCGAGCAGTGATGGCTGTATCTATAGTGGTTGTACAACCAAAATCTACGAATCTATCATTACATCAATCATTCTCTTGAACTTGTATGCTGCATCTCTCCTCTGTCAGTATCACTCCAAGTGGACATATCTGGTTCTCCTTCGTCTCCATGACCTTGACAACTCACCCTAGAAGTACCTGTCTTTGCCTGTTCAACAAACAGTCCATTTAGTGCAGACTATAAGTCTTGGCAACCAGCTGACTCATCATTGGTTGGCCTTCGCCGGGGTCAAGCTCGAACAACGCTTTGACCACGAAAAAAGTGTGCGCGCTTGCTGCTTCTTTTCCTTCAAGACTGCACATCGACTAGATCTTCACGTCGACGGTCTCACCCATTTTTCACAACTCTCACACATTCTCTATACACATCAAAATGGCCTTCACGCCTAGAGGAGGAGCACCCAGGGGACGCGGCGGCTTTGGCGGCGACAGAGGTGGCAGAGGCGGCGGTCGTGGTATGCGCAAATCGTTCTCAGCAGCTCCAGATGATCAGGTTCTAACAAGAAACAGGTGGCTTCGGTGGCCGTGGTGGCTCAAGAGGAGGATTTGGCGGCGGCGATCGTGGTGGTCGTGGTGGTGCCAGAGGTACGCATCCTTCTCGAGCAAGCTTGGAATGAAATGCTAACAATACATAGGTGGTGGCAGAGGCCGTGGTGCACCTAGAGGAGGAGCTAGAGGAGGTATGCGCTCTCTGACCTTCGCGCAAGCTCGAAAACGAATGCTCACCATACAACAGGTCGTGGCGGCGCAGCTGGTGCAAAGGGCGGCCAGAAGGCCGTCGTTGAACCTCACCGTCACGAGGGAGTCTTCATCGCAAGAGGAAAGGAGNGTATGTATCATCGACGCAAAGCTCTGGAACCTTAAGAATACTGACAAATTCTAGGACATGTTCGTATCATCAAAGCAAGCTTTGAAACCTTCGGAATACTGACAAAATTTTTCAGGTTATGTACCCGCAGCATGGCCCCAGGCGTGGCTGTGTACGGAGAGAAGCGCATTACCGTCGATTCGCCTGCTCCTGTCGTCGAGAACGGCGAAACTGCCGCTGCAACCAAGGTCGAATACCGTGTCTGGAACCCCTTCCGCTCAAAGATTGCCGCTGGTATCCTCGGTGGTCTCCAGGACATCTACATGAAGCCCGGTAGCAAGGTTCTTTACCTTGGTTCGGCCTCTGGTACTTCCGTTTCTCACGTCGCTGATATCGTCGGACCCACTGGTACCGTCTACGCCGTCGAGTTCTCCCACCGTTCCGGTCGTGACTTGATCAACATGGCTACTCACCGCACCAACGTTATTCCCATCGTTGAGGACGCCCGTCACCCTCTCAAGTACCGTATGCTCGTTGGCATGGTCGACTGCATCTTCGCCGATGTTGCCCAGCCCGACCAGGCCCGCATCGTCGGTCTTAACGCTCACTTGTTCCTCAAGGTCGGCGGTGGTGTCCTTGTCTCCATCAAGGCCAACTGTATCGACTCGACCGCTGCCCCCGAGGCCGTCTTCGCTCGTGAGGTGCAAAAGATGAGAGAGGAGCGCATCAAGCCCAAGGAGCAGCTTACCCTTGAGCCCTTCGAGAGAGACCATGCCATGGTTGCTGGTATCTACCAGCGCGCAGCATAAATGCATCCTTCACAGGCTTAATCGGTCTGATTCGGGGGTCTGCGTTTGCATCTGTGTCACATGTGTACGATCTTGTTGATTACAAAAATGGGTGTCAAGAAGAGAGACGGCTTATTTCTTCTCTTATGGCTTTTGGGGAACAGTGGCGTTCTGTGGTGTCAAACAATTCATCGTCCTGGGAGTTTTACGGGCTTAAAGAGCGTGAAATGCAACAATTTTCTTATTCTTCAAATCATATCGTCGTCTCGTCGTGCTTCTCGTGAATTTGTCGTCTTTATCCAATAACGACTAGTGCTTCGAAGGCACTGTTTCGAAGCCGTGTTGGTGTTGAGCGTTGCTTCCGAATCAGTTTCCATGCCATGCACCTTCCAAATCCATTTCATCCCGGTCCAAGAAATAGGCAGGAAGCAGTGACGTGTAGTCAAGCAACTTTTCTGCGCACCCAGGCGACACTTGCCAGTCATGTTGCCATGTGACAAGCCCTTCGCAGCTTCGGATGTTCATAATCGAAACCACCTTGAATATCCCTCATACATCGTCATCTTTGCCTAGAGGTTCAACACGGATGTGACAACCGTTCAACCATACCCACCTCCTGAACATGACATGCGGTATCCTCTCTTCTCCTTCTTCACTCTGTCCCAGCCCTCTTGCAATCTCATCAGCCACCTCATCAGGCAACCTGACACATAAGAGCAACCTGACCTCTCCAACACACTTTCTCACTGACAGTATGATCTCCTGCAGCTTTGGATCTTTGAGCCACAAATCCGCATTCGCCTTCTCGTTCAGGCTGGGTTGCCATCTAGGTCCCCGATAGCGGATAGTCAACTGCCGTAGTCCAGGCAAGTCGTACACGAGACTTCTTTCCTGAGCCTTTGTATTGAACCAGGCGGTCCAGAGACGAGTATCGTTGCTGCGGATACGGAGAGTGACGTGGGGTATGAGAGATGCAAATGAGCGGTTACTCAATGCGTGAGCGAACATGTTTGCATCGCTAGGATGGGCGAAAGCGAGGGTGTTTGTTTGGTAGAGCACGTGTGCTGCCTCTTCGTAGATGGAGCGACAAGTGCGCAGGAGTTGTGGACTCAAATTGTGGGATTGGTATTCTACAGGCCAGAGGATGTTTTGGCTGCTCGTGAGGAGGTACGAGTAGATCTGCAGACGTAGATCGCGTGGTAGGCGGAACAGAGGGCTTGAGGATACGGAGGGAGGGAGATTATCGGTTGAAGGGACTTGAGTGAGGGCATCGTGGAAGTCATCTTCGTCGGCGTAGGATGAGGATATTGAGGTAAGAGTGTTTTTGCGTAGGGTTGAGGGTCTGACGGCGGCTTCGAGGGCGTCCAGGGTGCTGACATAGGAAAGACTACGCGTTGACAGGACCGACTCGCGCCATTGGTATGGATCTGCCATGTTGATGTCTGCTATGCTGTTCTTTCTAGATGTTGAGGACGAAGAGATGTATCGTGTAAGCAACTGGAGCGCGGACGAGGTTTGCTAGAAGCTGCCAGACTATGTACTAGTCATGTTTGTTGTTGGCCCTGCTTCATTCATCCACTTCGACTCGTGCAGCTCCCGGCTGGTTGCACCAAAGTCTCGGCTCCTCCAACTCCGAAAAGTGCTTGATTACTTACTCCGTACCAACACTTCCAACTCCTTTCTTTTGCACTCGTAACAAGCTCCCAGTCTTGACAACCTTCTAGTTGTCGCATATATGTCCAATCAACAGTCAAGTAGGTAAACCAGTATGATCTCTGCATTCATGCTCGTGTGTTTCAGAAACATTTCTCCGCCGCGCTCCGCCTGCATATCTTCAATCTATTCACGCGATCCTCCATGCGCTGATTGGCTCCATCCAATACCACCCCATCTATTTTTGAGGACTCTTCCTGCAGCAATACAGCCTCGTGCTGTACTGTATATGCATTTGTCCCGCTCTGAGCGCTTGCGCTTCAATACCCGCTCGCTGCTTTTCTCACTTTCTTGTTCTCTTTTCTCTATCTCTCGCTCTGCCCTATACCCTTACACGAAATACTATACCTTTGCTTCTGATAACCGCTTTGAACTGTCTCACTGTCCCTTGCGTGACCATTCCTGCCTCTGTATGCCTTTACGAAACACGTGCATCTGACCTCGCGACTGGTCCTGGCCATGACTTCCTCGTCTATCTCGACCTCGGCCACTGCTATGCCGAGTCCTTTCTCTNTCGCACCTTCGCAATACTGGGATGGGATCGATGNNGGAGGTATGATATCCGATATCTTGCGATGGCCTTTGTAGAGCTGACCATTGCACAGCTGGAGCTCATTTATGGTCCGCATAGGAACTCCTCCTCAAGACTTTCGAGTCTTTCCTTCTACTCTCGGACAAGAAACACTCATACCCGTGCCTGAAGGCTGCACTCAAGATGATCCAGCCAATTGTGGTAGTCTGCGAGGTGTGATGCCCTTCCAGGGTGATATCAGTACTGGCTTCTTGAGCAATGCTTCAACGACTTGGACCGATATTGGCGTCTATACAACAGATTTGGAAACAAATATTGGCATCAACGCCAATGGCGCCTATGGATTCGATACTGTCGGTCTCCAAGTCGAAGACTCAGGAGGCATCCAGCAGACACATCAAGTGGTTGCAGGCATTGCGGATAAGAGTTTCATGTACGGTCTCTTTGGGTTGGGACCGAAACCATCCAACTTCTCCGTCTTGTCAAATCCACAACCGTCGTTCTTGACATCCTTACGGGAAAACAACACAATACCCTCCAAGTCATATGCTTACACTGCAGGCGCTTCTTACCGTAAGTAACATTCTCACTAGGTGCTGGCGCGACTAACACAGTGCCAGGGTNATAGCAAAGTTCTCGGTAGTCTTACCCTGGGTGGTTACGATGCATCACGTATGGACGGCAATGGAATTATCTGTCCCTTCGCCTCGGACGACTCGAAGCCACTTCAAGTAGGCGTCACACAAATCACCGCCCGAAACACACTTCTCGGCACTGCAACACTATATTCAACTGGCTACTTTTCTGTGGTCGACAGCACAGTGCCACATATCTGGATGCCACAAGCAGCGTGCGACAACTTCGCGTCCAACTTCGGCCTCAACTACGACAATCAAACAGACTTATACCTAATAAACGACACAATGCACACGAAGCTTCAACAACTGAATCCAACCATAATTTTTCAGCTGTCTCCACAGACGACCGACGGAGGTCTAAGTACAAACATTGTCTTGGAATATGCTGCATTCGATCTACAAGCAAGTTATCCTTATTACACAAACAGCACAAGATATTTCCCTATTCGAAGGGCAGCGAATAATACACAATACATCCTCGGACGCACGTTTCTTCAAGAAGCGTACGTGATAGCCGACTACGAACGCAACAACTTCACTATCACGCAAGCTGCGTTTGCCAATCCCATGCCCGCTCAAAATCTCGTCTCCATTCTACCACCCGGTGTCAACGCAACAAATTCAACAGGAGGTGACGATGGCGTAGTAACGAGACCTTCACCTATCCTATCACGCAACGTGATTATTGGTATTGCTGTTGGTGTCGTTGCTGGCGCTGCTCTCGTCCCTCTTCATCTTCNNGGCACAGTCTTCTACGTGCGCCGTCGACGTCGACAACGCGAGGCTCAAGCTCTTCTCACCACTAACCCAGATCTCGACGACGCGGCGGCATCGAACCATCTTTCTGCACCCGCAGAAGTGGATGCAGCTGTAAAGCTAGAACTACCTAGCGACTCCGAAGCTGCTTTGAACGAGATGCCCACAGGACATGAGAAGTGTGGATGGCATGCGCATGAGGTGCAAGGAAGCAAGGTGCAGCCTAGAGTGGAGATGAGAGGAGGTTGGGAACCGCCAGAATTGGACGGGAGGAATTTGAAGGATGGGACGAGAGGAGGCGTATTCGAATTGGAAGGCAGTGAACCCGTGCAGCATCCACCGAGGGAGAGTACAAGACAAGAAGGACACACTAGATTTTCTTGGGAACGGTGATCTGGTTGGATGTGTGTCTGGATACAGCGTACAACCTCGCTGAACTTGCCTTCTTGTTGATATCATAACTCTGTTCTCCTTGTTATATGGCATTGCAAATAATTATTGTCTTCCAGAAATCGGGATGTGAAGGCCGACGAGGAAGTGGGGTGTGGGGCCGCGAAAGGAAAGTACAGACGACAGCTTTTTACACATAGAAGTCCGTCACCGAAGCTGGCCTATCGATATACCCGATGCGATGTAGGTGGTTTCTTTGAGTCACGATTATTCATAGAGCGCTCGAGAGGACCTTTTCCCATACGAGGCCACATATCATCCTCTTTCAAAGACGACAGAGGTCTCGCTGGAGAGAAATAAACAGAATTGAAACCACGACCTCGGCGAGCTTTCCCCGCATCTGACCGCGTCCATCGTCATCATCAATAGAGTACGCGTATCGAGAGCCGAGGACTTTTTGTGTTTCCAGCAGTTGAGCCACCTTCTGCCCGAAACTGTCATGACTTTCATCTCTAGAATCGTCGCAAAGCCTGCATTCAGGTCATCATTCCAGCCAGTTACCCGCATCAGCATAGCCTCGAGATCATACGCCATGGGACACACCGTACCTAAGGTGAGTCCCACAAAGATACCGCTCTCGGAGTGCCAATGCTGATAGAATCTCTACNAGCTCAACGACCCGTCGCTGTTCAAGCAGCAGGCCTTTGTCAATGGCAAATGGGTCGACGCAAAGTCGGGCCAGACCTTTGACGTTCATGACCCTGCAACGCACAAGCCTATTGGCAAGATGCCCGAGATGAACAAGGAAGACGCCCAACTCGCCATTGACGCTGCCGCTGCCGCTTTCCCCAAGTTCCGCAAGACGACCGCAAGAGAAAGATCAAAGATGCTGCGCAAGTGGTACGACCTGATGGTTGAGAATGCCGAAGATATTGCAAGACTCATCACATGGGAGAACGGAAAGCCCATGGCTGATGCAAAGGGTGAGGCCGCATATGCTGCTAACTTCTTCGAGTGGTTCAGCGAGGAGGCCCCTAGAGCATATGGCGACACCATCTCTGCCACTGTCGCTGGCAACAGAGTCTTTACCCTCAAGGAGCCCGTCGGTGTCTGCGGTCTGATCACTCCTTGGAACTTCCCTGCCGCCATGATAACCAGAAAGATTGGTCCCGCCCTGGCAGCTGGTTGTACCGTTGTTGCAAAGTCTCCTGGCGAGACTCCTTTCACTGCCGCTGCTCTGGCTGAGCTCTCCGTCCGTGCTGGTATCCCCCCAGGTGTCGTCAACATCATTACAGCCATGAAGAACACTCCCGAGGTCGGCGAGGCCATCACATCATCGGACATTGTCAAGAAGGTCTCCTTCACGGGCAGCACTGGAGTTGGCAAGCTTCTCATGAAGCAATCAGCAGACACCCTCAAGAAGCTGTCCTTCGAGCTTGGTGGAAACGCTCCATTCATTGTCTTCGATGACGCCGATCTCGACACTGCCGTAAATGGTGCCATTGCTTCTAAGTTCCGCTCATCTGGCCAGACCTGTGTTTGTGCAAACCGTCTGTACATCCAGAGAGGCATCTACGACAAGTTTGCTGAAGCCTTCACCGAGAAGGTCAAGAACTTCAAGGTTGGCCATGGATACGACGAGGGTGTGACTCACGGCCCCTTGATCCACGACCGCGCTGTCAGCAAGGTCGAGGCTCACGTCAAGGATGCCGTCAAGCAGGGTGGCAAGGTTCTCGTTGGTGGTCAGAAGCTTCCCGACCTTGGCGACAACTTCTTCCAGCCTACAGTCATTCGTGACATGACTGCCGACATGGCTCTGGCCCACGAGGAAACCTTCGGACCTGTGGCCGGTCTGTTCCCCTTCGACACTGAAGCTGAGGTTGTCAAGCTCGCCAACGACACTGAGGTCGGTCTTGCTGGTTACTTCTTCTCCCGCGACATCCAACGTGTCTACCGAGTGGCAGAGGCCCTCGAGGTCGGTATGGTCGGTGTGAACACTGGTCTTATCAGTGATCCTGCTGCACCATTTGGAGGTGTCAAGCAATCAGGTCAGTCACCACTTAGCTCGCTTAGTGTACGTACGCTAACTTCTTCCCAGNGTTTCGGACGTGAGGGCTCGAAGATCGGTATTGATGAGTATATGGTTACCAAGATGGTTACCCTGGGTGGTATGGGACAGCCGCTGCAAGGAGAGTAGAAAGTGTTACGATAAGTTTATATTAACGACCATTTGTATATCCCAGTTTATACTTCAGATCTTTCTTCCCGTTCAGGGTTTACTCACTTGAACAGAGTCCAGAACTTCACTTTCACTTTCATCGTCAAAATCTTCCTTGACGCATCATTCAGTCTTTGCTACTCTCAGGCTCTATTACAATTCATCCTTCTCCTAGGTTCGACATAGTCCTCTTGACTATATCTTATTTGCGACACATCATTCTCTCACAACCAACGTTCATACCGAATCTACATCTTTCACTCTTTGTACATGCAACGTCTCTCGTCGTTCAGTACAGGTATTCATTATCCAGCCTTCACACTTTCCCGACTTGTTTCCCATTCGTCTGGTCAGACTCTGCACGCGCTGTAGCGGCAACGTTGCCTGCAAAAGTAAGACGAAATGTCACAGCGTCGATCTCTCAGATTTCAGCAACCCAGGCCTCGACGCATGTACTTGACGAGCGAAGAAAGATCACCACTGGAGTTTGAATTCTACAAACAAATGATCCAAGGTTTCCTCAGCTCGTTGGATGATTACGTGGTTCCCTTCCTCAAGCCAGTCGATCCAGATGAAGTGCCTGACTATTACTCTATTATCAAACATCCAATGGATCTGACAACAATGCTGCAGAAACTAGAAGACGACGAGTTCGACTATCATCTGGAAGTCAACAACTGCTTCGGTCGGATGTTCACAAACTGCTTCAGGTACAATCGTGCAGATAGTGAAGTCTATCGCCTGGGTAAAGAGTTCCAAGCGGCCTTTAAGACAGCCTTGTGTGGGAGAGAGGATTGGATCCAGGCCGAAGCTGTGAAGTCGCACTTGACACGCGGATCATCTCCGGATCACGATGCCGATGACACTGCTGAGAGCGATCTGGATCGTTCGTCTGATGAAGACGATATGAAAGATTCGAGTTCTTCTCCCAAAGATGTCCCTGCTGACGATGGAACAACCGATGAAGAGCTTCCAATAAGACGCCGACCCTACGTCTTGCAAACAGATGATTCTGACGAGGACATTCCGCTCGAGAGACCTGTGCGTAAGAACAGAGCCCGAAAGAGTAGGATTGCAAGACTGCCAGTCGACCCTATAAATGCTGCAAGCATTCCCAGTTCCAACAACAAAAGACCTTTGGACGCTGTTACAACGACCGAAGAACAAACTGAACCGTCGTCTCAACAGCAGGAACTTTCAGCTCATCAAGCATCTGAGACCCAGGATCCACACTCTCAAGAAGTCCAACCAGTGTCAACAGAACAAGAACCAGCCAAAAAGCCGCGTCTGCAACCAAGCCCAAGATCTCCTCCCCGAACACCTATTTCTCAGCAACCAGCCCAGCAAACGCAAATTCAGCAACCGCCAGCTACAGCAACAGCCCACAAGACTCCACAACAGCCCGTCGTAGCACAAAAGTACGATTCTTGCAACTCCGTTCCTCTTAGCTTTTGCTAACAAACTCCACTACAGTCCATCCAATGCTCTACAGAGAATCCTCTCAGAAACAGTGACAAACCAAATGTCGATCACGAGCACCCGCATAGACACCAATGCAGATGGAGAATTCTCCCAACATGAGGAAATACTGAACCAACTCTGCAGAAAAGAGAGACATGCTCTGTTCGAACAAATGTGGAAGGCCAAAGCAATGGAAAAGGTGTGCCGCATGCAAGTCCAGAATGTCCTCGTTGGAGGCGTTGAGAAAGAGGTCAAGCTGGCTTTTGCAGAAACGGTCGCGGAGCAGGCGCGGATGGTTTGTGAGGAAGTGACTCGGCGTGCTGCTGCGCTTTCGAGGTCTTTTGAAAAGCACGATGGAAGCACGAGCAATGCGTAAGGAACCCAATGATTGAGATGTCCGAACAACTACTCGTCCAATTGAGCATTAACACGAGCAGCAAAATTTCATCAGATTCTTATATGTACAATAGACATCAGAAATCAGATCTCAAAGCTTAACTCCACCTCCAACAATATTCTCCCAATCTCTCTTTCCAAACTCCTCGTAAGCTTCCGCACCCACAGGCAACCAGAACAACCCATCCTCTCCCGTCTTGCTCGGATCCACGCCTTGCTCTCTCAATCCATGCTTTGTGTATTTTGAGGTGCCCGTAACCTCGAACTCCTTAACAACTCTCAAGAACAGAGGAACTGCAAATCTAGGCATCTTCTCTCGAGCGTGTCCGGCAAGTTCCTTGAGTACCTGGGATGAAGGAGCGGATTTGAGCATCACAGCTGCACATCCAGCACGTCCGTCATGGTTAGGCAATGCCACGCCGTAAACGTTGATTTCGTCAATGTGAGGTGATGTAGACAAAGCTTCGGCGACCTCATTCGTGCTCACGTTTTCAGACTTCCAGCGGTAGGTATCTCCGATTCTGTCAACGAAGAAGAGGCGTCCTTCGGAGTCTTTGCGCAATAAGTCGCCGGTGCGATACCATGCATCTCCCTTCTTGAACACATCGCGCAGGATCTTTGAGGAAGATGCTTTNTGGTTGCCGTAGTAGCCTAGATAGCTCTCTTTGATGTTATTAGGGTCCAATGCATTGATGAATTCTCCTGCTTCTCCTGGCGAAACTCTTTCGCACCAGTTGGAAGAGTTGCGGTAGGGGTCTCCGCTCTCGACGTCGTGTTTGACGATTGCGGATTGGCTGCCCATGAGGGTTGATATGGCTGTTCCTGCTCTTCCCACAGCACCGTGACCATAATTGTTCTTGCTCTTGATGAAGCTGCCACCAGGAGCTTCGGTAGCGGCATAGAACTCTGCGATTTCGAGAATGTTGAAGCGTTCCTTAAACTTCAGCCATACGTCTGGACGTAGGCCATTGCCAAAGGCCATGCGAATTGTGTGAGCCTGGTCGAAAGGCGAAGGGGGAGTACTGAGCAGGTATCGGCACATTTCGCCAATGTACTGCATCATTGTTGCGTTGGAAGCGATGGCCGAGGCGAAGAAGGTTTTGGGTGAAAAGTGGTGGGAAAGAACTGTGGTTGCGCCCGAGTGCAGAACGAGGGAGATGTTGAGGACAGTTGCGGAACTGTGGTAGAGAGGCATGGCNCTGCGTCGTTATTAGTATGACTTCCTTTGAGAGGCAGAGACGGTTTCACTCACAGTGTAATATCGGTCTGTAGTCTGGATGCCCATCCAGTTGCTGACGGTTCTGCCGGACATCAGGAACTTCTTCCACGGTACCACGGCAGGCTTGGGTAGTCCGGTGGTTCCTGATGTGAAGATGAGCACTGCTGTGTCCCACATTTGTTGACCTCCTCGCTCTGCATCAGGCGCTCTCAACCCTTTAACCGCAACAATTCTGTTCTCAATGACCTCATCTAGCACGACAGACACGACCGAACCGTCGAGCTCCTGTCTAACCTCGTCTGTCAATGCCTCTTTAATTGTGGGATCCACAAGGAAGAGCTTCGCCTCGCAAGCCTTGACGCAGTGCAACAAGGCTTTCCCTCTGAGATTCGAGTTGATGAATGCAGCCTTTGCGCCCAGCGACCAAATTGCGAACCACAAATAAATGAATTGAGGCTTGTTGGTAAAGTCGATGGCGACCATATCACCCTTGTTAACACCATGCTCTTGCTTCAGCCATGCAGCAAACTTCAGGACTGTCTCATAGACGTGTTTGTAACTCAATTCTGTTGCTTGCAAGCCCTCCAGGTCTGCTGGTGAAGAGACGGTTTTGGGGATATGAGGAGGTACGGCGAGGAAAGAGCGGTCGCGTGCCTTTGTATCGAGAGCGTGCTTTTCGAGCTCGTAGAAGAGATTGACGCGGTCCTCCTTGACGCACTTTTTGACGTAGAGACTGCCGACGATTGTGGCCTTCAACAGGGCGTAGTCATTGGGCCAGCTGGTTTTGGCACGAAGGTAGGCGAGGGATGCGACTGCCGCTGGGGCTGCGAGGGTCAATGGTAGTGCTGAAGAGCAGGTTAGCTATAACCCAATGCCGACGGCCCCAAAGACTCGATGTACCAGCCATATCTGTGTGTTTGTTCCCCGGACTTCAGTGTTGCTAAGCTCCCAAAGAGTGCAGTTTCCACGCTGGTCACGAAGTATGATGTGGTAAAGGGAAATTGGGATGAGCAGGCAGAAAGCGACGAGTCAAGTTACAACTACCTACCTCTACGGAGAGGCTTACCCGGCCGCTACGCGCATCCTTTGGTAAGTGCCTCTTCCACAACGGCATCTGTCTGGCCGAGGGATGCTCCTGGTCGTTCCCATAGCATTTCCCGTCTCAAAGAAGTGGCGCTCGTGACGTTCGAGAGGGGTGCGACGACCAATGAGCCGAGGCTCGGCTGCAATGGCCGCAAATTTTGCTGGGCATTGTCCATTTCTTGACTCGAGGAAGCCACTGCCATGATACATCTTCTGTTTTGAGCAAGTGGTTAAGGAAGGAGGCTTCGGTCGAGTCTCATACTGGCCGAATTTGAGGACGTGTTACTTGCATCGGACTTCGTCCCAGGTCACACAGCATTTGCTGACTGGTATGCATGTCTGACGTGCATGCTTGACCGCCATTTGTACCTCTTTAGTTCCATATCATTCTCTAAATGATAATCACTACCTCTTCGCATGGGCAGACTTTTCCAGTCGAGCATATGCCTCAAGCACCGCATCAGGCACGTCCACATGTCCGATGAAGCCCTTTCCTCTTGGTCCATAGCCTGTCTCGTCGTCCTTCAATCTGACGATTTCTCCCAAGATCAATCCCAGGAATCTGTCCATGTCCCACAATTCGTCCTCCGTGACATCTGCTCCCTCCTCAAACCTCAATTTCCCATCTGACTCTGTGACCCTAGGCACGAATGTCGGACAAGCCTCAAAAATCACTCCATCGCCTTCAAAGGCCTTCTCAAACGACATTTTCGTCCTCAAACTCATCGTTGGATCTTGAATGATCAACATTTTGCTTCCAGATGCCAGTAACCCGAACTTCTGCAACAACCTCCTGGTCTCTGTAGCATTGGCACCGCAATTGGTGCTTTGGTCTTCCACCAGCACCTTCACACCAGAGTTCCGGACGTCATGTCCAGAAAAGCAGGCGTCAAAGATCTTCTCCATGACTTGAGCTTCTGGCAGCCCATTGATCTGGTCAGCCAGATGGGCATAGCGCGGATTCTCTGCCACTGCGCTGTAAAGGTGTGGAGTCGAGTGACCAATTCCGCCGCATAACACTACTGTAGCGGTGAGGTCTGAGCCTCTTTGCTGGAGGGCATGGAAGAGTGTTTCGGCGCAGTGAAAGATGGCGCTGACGCAGAGCACGATGGTGTCGTAGTGTTGAGGTGCTTTTGTACCAGAGTCGAGTCGCACTTGCTCGTGAGAGACGAAAGTCGAAATGACTTTCACGTCGTCTGCAAGTGTCATCTTCATAAACACTTGTGGTATCTAATGTACGAGCTGATGATTGTTGTTGAATTGAGGATGCTAGCAGGCGTGGAAACGTCACCACTGTGAAGCTAGGAAACAACCGAACAGCAAGACAAGATCATTGATTCAACGATGTTTACATACTTGTAAGTATTCTGAGAAGACATTCCCATGAATCGGGTACATTCTCTTCTATAGCAGAGGAATACTGAGCACTTCTGAGCAAGAGCAAGAGAGTAGGAAAATACGACCAGGGTGGCATGCTGAACCACCAAATTCAAGCCTCGGCATCCCCTCAGCTCCCCGCACATCTCATCCATCAAGATGTAAGGTTCGATCAACTCGTCAAGACTTTGTGTTTGTGTTGGTCAAGCTCGACCAAAGATGTCACAAACAGAAGCTCCATGGCAATCAATTGCTCGTCGCAAGCAGCAAGAACAGCAAAACTCCATACCCAAAGACTGGATCCTTAGAACTCGTCCAGCAGCCAATCGCAACAACGTGTTGGCCGTCCCTCGAGAATGTGGTCTCTTGAGTACCCGAGAGATTGAACTGACGGAAAAATATGATGCCACCGCGTTGCTAAAAGAGCTAGCAGCAAAGAGGTTGAAGAGTGTGGATGTTGTTACTGCATTCTGTAAACGAGCAGCTATTGCCCAGCAATTGGTCAGTCACTATTGATCCTCACCGTGTGCTAAAGACAGTCACGATTTACAACTGATCTCACCTCCATCCCGAGCTATAAGCGTTGTTATAAGCTATCGAAATGCACAATGTTGACTGGAATACAAGTCTGGCCATCAAGATAGCCTTCATCGTGGTTCTCTCACTGGAGACCATGGTTTTCGCAAAAATATTGTGCATTTCGATAGCTACAATTGTAACTATCTTTAGCACTCGGGGAGGATATGAAATATAAGAGATCCACGCTAATCAAGAGACAGACAAGCTGTCTGACTGAAATCATGTTCGATGAAGCAATCGCCAGGGCAAAGCAGCTGGATGAACACCTCGAGAGGACCGGAAAGCCTTTAGGCTCTCTGCACGGCTTACCCATATCAGTCAAGGACTCCTTCAAGATCATTGGTAAAGACGCATCTATTGGTTATGCATCTTTGTGCTTCAAACCTGCCGAGTCCAATTCAGCCCTGGTAGAAATGCTTCTACAAGCTGGAGCCATCGTTCACTGTAAGACGAACATCCCTCTCACACTGCAAGCGCTGGACTCCCATAACAACGTCTTCGGCCGCGTGCTCAACCCCGCGAATCTGAATCTCACTGCTGGTGGTAGTTCAGGTGGAGAAGGAGCCTTAATCGCAATGCGTGGTAGTGTCCTGGGAGTGGGCACTGACGTAGGAGGTAGCATCCGCATACCAGCGATGTGTAACGCACTCGTGGGCGTGAAGCCTAGTCATGGCCGTATACCATACGCTGGACAGGAAAATGGGAGTATCCCTGGCACTGAGGCACTGGGGATCAGATCTGTTGCTGGTCCAATTGCTCATAGCATCAGAGACTGTGAGCTGTTCTTCAGAGCCATTGGAGATTTGGAGCCCTGGGCTTTCGATCCCGAGTGTGTTGCGCAAACCTGGGAACAGCAGGTGGTGCGCAGTGCTCTTAGGGCGCCATCACTATCTGACCACATGAGAAGGTTGAGAGTCGGCATCATGACAACCGATGGCATCACGACTCCGCTTCCACCTGTTCAGACAGTTCTGGAGGAGATTCGTACTACATTGAAGAGCGATGCTGCGATCGAGATCGTGGAGTTGGATATCACCTCTTTGTTCTCGCAATGTCAGACAATCGCCAATGGCTTGTTCGGAGTTGATGGCGCGAACGCAGCTTTCGATCTGATGGAGGCCACCTCAGAACCAATATCACCGTGGCTCAAGCCACGCCTACGCCGTAAGAAGAGCCTGACAGCGGAGAAGATACGCGATCTTCAAGCACGACGAAATGAGTTGCAGACGCGCTTCCTCAATATTTGGAAATCAGATGGCGGTTACTGGAAGGACGCAACAGGAAGCGCCAGCAGCCTGGATGTCTTCATCTGCCCGATAGCGCCTCATCCAACCCCAGCGATCGATACCTGGAATACCGTCTCGTATACCTCATCGTTCAACTTACTCGACTATCCAGCGGCAACGCTGCCTATCCGTCCAATCCGAGCTTCGGATCTCAATGCTAAGATGACTGATCAGTCTTCGGCACCGAATGGCTGGGAGAAGTATAACCGCAAGCTTTGGGACGGCAATCGTAGTGTATTCCTCGGCGGCACTTTGTGTGTGCAGGTGGTATCTCAGCGAAAGCAAGAGCGGGTATTGTTGCAAGCGTTGACGAAATTGCAAGACTCGCTTGCAGGACTAAAGGAAGAGAAGGCGGTGAAGTCAAGACTGTAGATGTGAGTAGTAGACGTCGGGTAGCAGCATCATCAACGTGGAAAGATCAAAGACCTGTGAGTGTTCGACGGCTCGTCACAGTTGACAAGCGGCATAACAGAGCAATTATGCGCACACCTGTGGAGGAGATGCATGTCAGTCGATGGTTCTCATGCAGTCGCGGCTTCAGATAGAACGCTTTGTGGTGCAACGTGGAAGTCTCGATCCTCTCTGCATGCTTCATGGTTTCTGCTAACAGCGCAACCGAGCACGATAAAACCCTCTGATCATGCATGCAGAAGGCGAGATGGCCTCAGGAAGCAAGCTCTCTATTTGACCAAAACGATGAAAATATTAACGGACCCTACTTACTTTAGGGCCATGTCGTTCTCTCGGGTTTGTNNCCAGATCCACTTTTGATTTGACAGCGCCCAAGCTTTNTGACACTTTTGCTGCACGTCACCTTTNTGAGAAGGAAATGACTCGTTCTTGTCGCTGCGACTTTCCGTTATGGAGAGCGGTCACCTGCATGAGNNTTTCGACATGTTTTCGAACTCGAGTCTCTGAACAACCCCTCATCGTCGAAGGACGATGTAATTGAATTGAGATATGTTTCCAAGCAAGCCCTCAATACTTGGTGCGTCCGCCTTATCGACATCGGACTCCCATGATCCAATGAGCTCTTGCCGACCTGCGCCTTCGTATTGAAACCGCGATNNCACTATGTTGTCGTCCCACAGGCGGGGTCCACGCCACGGGTGGAGATCGGGATGAACCAGACGGCGCCATGTGTCCCTCATGCACATCATGCAAGCAACACGTGAAAAGGGCCACTCAACGGCCGTGCTTGTCTGCTATCCTTGAGAATAGTTCGCACGTTTGTTTGTGCAACCCAGAGCCGAGACTTGACCGTTTGAATCGCTCGAGCTCGTGGCTATCACTCTCATCAACGGCTATACCAATTCTCTAGAGAAAGAAGAAAGCAACATCACAGCCGATGAATGTCAGCTTGGGCACCGACACATTGGTATCAACAGCCGCTCAGCCTACCACGTCGCGCCAGAAGAGATGCTACGCCGCTAGATCAGGGGCTTAGCAAGATCGTGTCGCCTTGATCCCGGTTCCGGACTTTGTCCTCATTGCTACAGAGTACTTCCAGCGTGCCTGGAGCCATGCACCATGCAAGCTTCAGTCACACTTTCCCACGGGAGAAAAATCGTTAATATTCTAATACGCACCGGCCCGTGACGGCGCTAAGTAGCACTTGGCTATCTATGATCATTAACGGGGACGCAGCCGAGTGGAGAGATGGTGCAATTTACTCAAGAACAGAGATCGACACCCACACACCTTCGGACACATGCCAACAGAAGCCATGCGAAAACCGCATGCATTGGCTCGCCTTACCAGACGAGTTGGATCGCCCATTGACAAAGAAGATTAAACTAGGTCGCACGGCATCAAAGAAGAACTAATGACGCGTGGTGTGGAATGTTGGGGCCTTCTCAGCGCAGAAGATGAGGCTGTCGCCCTCCAGTCTCTTTGTTCATAGTTCCGACTCTCTTTCTGTCCCACTCATGGGGTGATGTCCCTCCTTTGAACGCTTGTCCATCCAAAGAGAGGTTCCCAGTTGAATTGATCTTGTTGCCACTCGACCACGAAGATGGCTTCGAACCTTACACCAGCAACACACGCCCCGGATGGTCGAGTTAGCAATCTCATCAACCCCACTGGTGTTGGGTATCGGATCACCATCACCAATATTGTCTGCATAGTTCTCTTCATGATTGTAGTAGTTGTCCGTCTGTTTACTCGGATATTCCTTAATAAATCGTTTGGTCACGATGACTGTAAGCGTTCATCTTCCTGCTACTGCTTTTTGAAATGGCATACTGATATCCAGTCAAGCACTCATCCTTTTGCTACTGCATCGTTCTTGGCCATTATGGGCGTCTTCCAATGGATGGTGTCACTTGGATTAGGCAAACATCTCTGGGACGTACCGCTGGATGACTATTCACCCAACTTTCTCCGCGCCTGGCTCACGGTAGCCGTACTCTACTCGGCATGCATGCTCACCATGAAGTTGTCGGTGCTCATGCTGTATCGTCGACTGTTTCCTATCCAGAACTTTCGGATACAGTGGTGGTGTGCATTCTTGTTTGTCAACGCTTACAGCGTGATGTTCATCTTCGCATCACTATTTTCTTGCTCGCCGATTTCAGCAGCATGGTACGTACGCGATTCTCGTCGTCTTACTTTGCTTAAGCTGACAATCTACAGGGATTTTACAGTATCAGAGCATAAGTGCATCAACAGGACAGCTTTATATATCGCCTACACTGTCATGAACAGTATCAGCACTTGGTGGATTCTACTAATGCCCATGCCAATTGTCTGGAGCCTTGCCTTGAAGAACGACCAAAAATATCTTCTTACTTCTCTATTCGCCCTCGGATCATTACCTTGCGTCACAAGCATAGCCAGACTAAAAGTCCTTGTCGACTGGCTTCACCATGGTGCCAATGACAACGACATCACCTACACCCTATGGGACATAGTCCTCTGGACGTAAGCAACACCATCTCCCCAATGCTACCAAGCAACCTGCTAACAAGTATTCACCAGACAACTCGAACTCACCGTCTGCATGATCTGCGCATGCGGCCCTACCCTCCGCACCTTCATAGACCGCCAGATCAAGATCGTCAAAACAATCACCAGCGAGCGCAGTTGGAGCAAATCCTGGGTCTCGCGCAGCTGGAGCAAGACTTGGGGAAGCAGTTCCTCGCGCTCACGTTCACATTCCAACTCGCATGGCGCTTCTTCCTATGGCACCGATACCACGCTCGCAAAATCTACACGTCTGGGCTCGGATGCCAGTCAATTGCCCAATTTCATTGAGATGCTGCAGGGCAGGGGTACGAAAAACAAGGCATTGATAACGAGTAATGATGCCGGTGTGGATTCGGCGAGTATGGAGCATATTGTCGATGAAGACGAGTTCCATGCTAAACCTGACCAAGAGGGGATTATGGTGCATACGTCTTACCAAGTTAGGACGGTGAGAGAGGACGTGTGAAGCAAGAGCTGACTCTCAGTCTTCTTCGTTCTTTCTTCCCATCGAATTTTTCCTTGGTCCGGTTTTTTCTTTCTCATGATACCTTGTTTTGGCCACATAGAGCCACTTTCCGGATCCTCGTTTCTGTTGGCGAGGACTGTACGTGGTGTATATATACCAGATAGATTTCGATTCCGGTCACGCAACACTTTTGAGCTATTACAGCTTGCTCTCGCTCCAGCCTTACTCAGGCACCGATTTCAATGCATCCCGTCCTTTTCCTCCTTCTCGATCTCTATCCACCATAATCGCGTTCACTTTGGCATAGACTTGACTCTGTCCTTTCCAGGACATCGTAGTGCACGTTGTGCTTTTCATGTCTTTCGTTGAGCAAGCCCAGAGTATCAACAACCGACACCATAAAGTCTGCTAGTTGGAGCTACAGCACGTAAACACGACAGTAACCACGAGGAAGCAACCTGTTCATCAGAGTTTTGAGCCGTGTTTTGGAACCTACTCACGCTTTTAGAGGAAACCGGGCTGGCTGGATTAGAGATTGGCAGACCATTAAATAGGTAATCGCGCAGGATTCAAGGGTGGGAAAGAGCATTGGTGAACATCAGATCTGTACACAAGTGACATCTCGAACCATCATCTTGATCTGTCTATGGCTCACCTGACATGGAGAAAATATCGTAAAGAAAATGATGTTTCAAAAAGAGATAAATTGTTGTTGTTGTCAATCCCAACAAAGGCGGTCTCATTAAAGATATTCATTAGCTAATGAAGGTGGTCTGAAGGAAGAAGATGTATTAAAGAAGAAGAATCCTCAAGTAATCAGTCCGTTTCGTCGACCTCATCATATAGACCAAAAGACTCTCCAAATCCCAAAATCGCAGCCTTGTTCTGTCCTACACTTGCTGCTGTCGAAATTCTGCTTTTACAAAAAGAGACCAAAAAGACGCCTACCAACACCACGCTCAATGCTACATACATGTCTCAAGAAGGAGAGGTAGAAGAGAAGAAGGAGAGTAGCAGACATCGTCTAATTCTCGCCCGACAGTCGAGGGGCACTAGGGAGATCAAGCGAATTCGGTCTGGAGTTCTGGTTCACGATTGTAGTTCTGTTTCTCGAGTTGCCAATAGAATGCACCGAGATGGCAGGTGACATTGGTCGCGGCGGAGGTGACTGATTCCGTACTGGTGATTCTTGTACCTGTGGTTTGGGTTTCGTCATGACTTTAGGTTGAGGCTTCTCTGCCATAGGGCTGACGTCTTCGTCGACCTCGATGATGGGTGGGCAGTACTCCTTGAGTACCTTCTTGAGCGCGGGTCTTCGAATAGGCTTGCTGAGGAAGTAGTTCATGCCCGATTCGAGACAATCTTTCACGTTACTCTCCTCCGCAAATGCAGTGAGAGCCACGATAGGAGCGTCATAACCCATCTCACGGATGAGTCGTGTAGATTGAAGGCCATCAAGGTTGGGCATCTGGACATCCATGAAGATGAGATTGTAGGGATGTCGCCCAGGAGCAGTCATGCTTTCTTTAACAAAGTCCAGAGCCTCCTGGCCATCTTTCGCGACCGTCACATCATAGATATCCTCGAGCTTGAGCATTCTCAGAACGACCTCTTGATTGACCTTGTTATCCTCAGCAACGAGCACACGGATCTTGCCGGTCTCCTTGACATCATTGGTGATCTTCTCCATTGCTGCTGCTTGAGAACCAGGAGACTCCATGGCTTGAGATGAGAAGAAGGGCTGGCTGAGGCCTACCAGGCGAGGCTGCGCATCTCGTGAGTAGTTTTGCACATTAGGAGCTTGAGTCTGAGCGACTGTTGGAGATTGGCCAGTACTGCTATGCGAGTGACCTGATCGATGCGACTGCGCATCATCAGTGATGAGTTGACTGATACGCTGTGGCGAACGAGTTCCTTCAAGCCCAAGACCGACATCGTTACTGTTACCAACAACCGAGCTCGCGGTACTGTCAGACCTAGTCACAATGTGCCGCAGAGGTATGCGCATTGTGAAAGTGCTGCCATGCCCTAGTTCACTGTCTAGTTCGATAGTGCCTTTCATAAGTTTGGCTAGCTGAGAGCAGATACTCAAACCTAGACCGGTACCGCCAAACTTNTTGCTGAGGCCAAGATCGCCTTGAACAAAAGGCTCGAAGATGCGTTGCTGGAGGTGCTCTGCAATACCCGGTCCCGTGTCTGTAACTTCGAATTCGAACATGAGAGTTCGCCCAGGGGGCGGAGAAGCTGGTCGCTCAGAAACGAGCATGTTTGCGTATGTGTCAGATCGTTCGCGATAGGGATTGATTTCGTTGGCAGTGGCCGAATTCTTGGCTCCAAAAGGTCCAGCAATCGAAGCATCAGAATTCTTATGCCTGCTAGATATGGGCTTCGAGCTCTTAGACTGAAGAGAGGTTTTGCGGCTGTTGACCTCTGCGGCTTCGCCTGTACAACGCACAGTAAGGACGACCGAGCCGCCAGCAGGAGTAAACTTCAGACTGTTCGAAACGAGGTTGATAACGACCTGCAAGATACGATGAACATCTCCCCAGAGGATCATGTCTTTCACGCGACCTGTACCAGCTGGGCCGTATTGATTGCGTTCCTCGTCCGAAGGGAAGACTATTCCATTCATTGCTTCGGCACCCTGAAAGTCGACGCGCAAGGTGATTTGGCCTTCCTTTGCCTGTTTGTCGAAAATAGCCAGGACCTGTGAGCTGACTTCACGTAACCGGAACTCCTTAGAATCGAGACTCAACTGCTGGCCAACCTGATTCTTGCTGAAGGTGAGAAGATCCGTAAGGAGGTTGAGAAGAAGATCACCGCTCTTGTAGATGATCCCCAAAGATCTCTTGAGCTTCATTGGATCCTCTTCTTGCATGCAGACGGCACACATTCCCAGGATACCGTTCAAAGGGGTCTTGAGTTCGTGTGAGATATTAGCGATGAAGAGCGTTTTGCTCTCATTGGCCGCTTCGGCAGCCTTCTTGCTGAGCTCTAGTTCTGCAGTGCGTTGTTTAACTCTTTCTTCCAGACGCTCGTACTGCATCATAAGCTCGTCCGACATCTCGTTGAAAGTCCGCGTAAGATCAGTCAGCTCATCCTGAATACAGGTCTTGCGTTCTTTGACCTTGCCGGGAATGTGAAATTGGTGCCTTCGTTGTTCCTCTTTGCGTTCTTTCCGTGACTTCTTGTTCCTCGTATTCCAACTGCTCACGGTTGCGAANAAGCCCTCTTTACGGGCGATGACTGCATCAGCGTGCTCGTCGTTGCTTCCGTCACCGTCGTTGTTGTTGAACATGTCATGAGATTCCCGACTGTAATTGCTTTCCGAATAACCCATAGGCAGTACAGATCTGCGGGTAGCCTCTCTAAGTCTTCTGATCGGAGCACTTGCGAAGTGAGCAAGCGGCCAAGCGAAGAGAATCACGCCGCCTAGAACGGAAAAAATGCATGTCAAGAGAACTTTGCGCAGATGACGGATAGGCTGCCACACTTCGCTCTTGTCTTGTTCGACTATCACAACCCAATCAACGAGCGCGGTGTTTGGGATAGCAAAACCAACCGAGACGCCTTTTCCAGCTTCATCATGGGTGCTGACATCACCGCCCGCATTACCTATCGAATCCTGGTCTTCAGTAAGCGCGGTGACGACAGCTGGGTAGCTTGTGATGTTGAACGATGGAGGATCGACATTGCCCGAGGATTCAGGATGGCGGTACGAGAACTCATCGGGTAGAGGCCAGATAAAGCGTCCTTGAATACCAGCCGGGTCGACGGTGCCGTTTTCGGGAGAGTTATAAAGTAAGCCCTCAGGAAAATGATTGGTGGTGTTAGCAGGGCCGACAACAAGGGTCATACCAGTGGTGCCTAGACCCTCGGCAGAAGCGATGACACTGCCAATCAACCGAGCGTCGCAGACAATAGTCAACCAACCCAGAACATCAATGGCCGAAGTATTGTTGATAACAGGCATGGTAAGAGACAAGAGGCTGAAGCTGGCGTTGATAGCATAGGGACCTAAAAGCAGAGTGGAATTGGGAGCCTTTAGCACCTCGCCATTGTAGACGGCGCGTGCCTCGCTGTAGGTTCTGTTGATTGGGACCGAAAAGTAAGTCAGGTTGGGATAGAGTTCCGAAGGGTAGCCATAGTCGGTGTCGCTCAAGTAGACGTCACTTCCGTTGGGTGCCTTGTAGGGAAGAAGAATGGATTCGATGTTCTCTGAGGTAGCGTTCAAGACCGAATAGCGACCATTAGGACCATCGGCATCGCGTGGAAAGATTTTGCCCTGCAGCATGAGGGCCTGGCCGACAGCACCAGAAGCAGGGGCAGCGATGGCAGCGTTGAAGTCTGATTGAGCAGAGTCCCAGTTTGCGGCAGTGTTGTTACCTTGCAGGTTGTATCTCTTAAGTGCAGTCTGCATGACAATTCGACTCGAGACAAGCTGTACGCTGTTTTGGATGAGGGCCAGGTTGGATGCGATCTGAGCTGCTTTGAGCGATGCGGTCAGGGAAAGTCTGGTCGTGCGGATCTCAAGGACGAAGTTGTGGTTGGTATANCTGTGACACGAGTCAGTGCATGGTCGAGGGTCCAGATGCATCTTGTAGAGACGAACCCATGTCGCTATGGATATAACAGCAAGGCCGATGGCAGCGGCCAGCAGGATCAAGCCAGCGAGCTGTTCTCTAATCGGGATGCGCATCTTGACAGGCTCGGCGAGGGTGCGGCCTCTGGTGTGGGAAAGAGAGACGACTCGAGGGCCGTGGGCGTCAGCCGAGGACGAGGACAAGATCGAGGGCGAGTGCAGCAGAGATTGTACGCTGTCAGCGGCAGACGTGATGGCCAAAGAAGTCGCCGGCGCAGGGCGTGAACATGGAAAGAGCGTAGGCGACCGGGGGCAGTCGAGCGGAACGAGAGGAATGCGGACAGCGACGAGGACGAGCGCTGGTGCGTAAGCGAAAAGACGCTCGTACAAGGAGGATATGCAAAGCACGAGGAAAGCGGCTCAGCAGTTCGCTCAGGGCCAGACTAGTTGATCTGCCGATCAGAAAAGCAACCAGTGGGGGATGCCTGATCCAACAAAAGCCAAAAGCTCCTTTCGAACAGTTACAAGCGAGAGCCAAGCGACGACAGCCTTGTTGTTTCTATGAGTTGAGACAATGGACGAGATGTATGTGGACAAGGACGGCGACTGAAGGACACAAGACGGAACGGTCGACTCTCAGGGACGGGATAAGGATACTAATAGGATTGATGGATAACAAGGTGCAAGGGTACAAGTACCGCTTGCTTGTGTCGCTTCCTTGCCCTCGGGAGAGACAACTCTTGCTCCTACTTTCTGTCCAAACGCGCTGGCGCTCCCGCAACCTAATTTGACCGTGACTTTTGCTTCCAAGGAATGCAACTGCCAGTTGCACGCACTTGGCACGTGTGTAACACACATCCACGTTTCTCACCAACCAATTCTACACTCATCCATCGACTTCCAAATTCTTCTGGCTTGAGATACGTGCTGACATCTCTCGCTTCTTTGACATATATCTTCTATACCGTCGAGCCTGATCACACCACATGTTGCGGCGCTTCTCTATCTACTTGGCCCTACCGTTGCAGTTCTACCGGCCGTCGCTTCACATCTCCATACGTTCAAGTCCAACCAAGATTGATTTTTCCTTTAGCAACGCGTGATCTACGTACCGCGACTCACGAGTTCATTTCAGAACTTCTAGTGTATGCATGCATCTTGGTCAATCGTGCCCGTGTAGCACGACATAGAGCATGTCTACAGCACCTTCTGGCGACAAATGCCCAGTCGATGATGCCAATGCACAAGACGCCTGAGGAAAATCAAACGCCCGAGTCCCGCCTGTGAAGCCCCATTCATGAACCCGCAATCACACTGACGAAGGTGGAGATTGAGTGTTGCCTTGCATCATAGCTTCACGAATCTAACGATGCACTGCAATATACGATATCTGTCATGCGAGCAATTGATGAATTTCGACGATTCCCCGCGCTTGTGTACGAGTCATCATGACCTGGTACTCGTAAAGCTTCTTGTCGTCGGTTCAGCGACAAGCATAAGGAAAGAACATGTTTTTTGCCCTGGGGTCCGGCGCTGTCAGACAAAGTCCGCCCGCCGCTAACGAAATTTGCCTGCCGCTAATTTGCACAAAACTCATGTCGCTAACTGCTTGCATTCACCTATTTTTCTAGCTTGTATAGTAATCGGCAGTGGGCAAGGGAATTGTCACGATCCTCCTATAAAATTTGGTGCCGTCGCTCATATCCGAAGATCGGCTTGAGATCTCATCTGGTCACACCTCAAGATTCAAGAAGCAAACAGGAAGCTTTTTAACATCGATCACGACCCACGAGTGCAGATTCCTGCCAATGCTCGATCGCTATGACTGCTCAAAAGCGCGATATTGTCTCAAGTCTCCTCGCATTCGGCAATACCTTCAGCGTATACCACTATTGAAGCAGGTGTTATGTATTCGAGAACTAAATCGTCCCCATGGAACTGGAGTTCATCGTTAGGTTCGCACGTCGATTGCATAACCTCGACACGGAGACCTAGTCTTCCGAAGAAACTCACTGCATACTACTTGAGGTTGCAGATCTAGTAGGAACACCTTGAGATGCCGTCTGTCTCCGACAAACAATCCCCAAAGTCCCGGACGTTTGCTATACCATATCAAATTTAATGTTGCCAAGAGTGATCCTATTCCTTCCTCTGGTACGGTCACTTTATCTGAACTAACGGCTTGGGACTTGAGGCTGAATGTCTTGAACATTCTCGAAACCGACTGTGACTTGGAAAGGAGTCGGTCCACCCCTCGTATTGTTGCCACGCTGAGATCCAATACGAGATGTTCGAGTACGACGCCAAGTATTCAACAACTCATATCGAAAGATCCTATGGAACACCTGCATTACTCTTGTACCATAGCAACACAGCCTTGGGGACGTGATCATATGCATGTAAGTGCATTTCATACTATCTGGTCAATCTGTTCCTGCCTACAATTTGGATGCTGAGACCTCCGAAACGCGCTGTCCTGCCTCGTTCAGACGAATTTGAATGCCCTTTACCAGAGCTTCCTGCAACAAAGCGCCAATCTCAACTGCCTTGACCGCGTTGCGTAGCTTCAAGGGAAGTGCAGTGTTGTCCAAACAAGCAGCGGCAAACTCGTTGGCTTCTGCTACAAATGCCTGTTCGAAACGGCCGTAATAGTGAGCTGGAACTTCTCTAGTCACACCCTGAGGGCCATAGTAGTTGACGAAGTTCTTCTGAGGGTTGCCGTTGACGGTCAACTTTCCTTCGGTACCGATGATCTCAGTCACATCCTCTTGGCCATGCGCCATCATCCTCGAACAGTAGAAGTTTGCGACTTTGCCATTCCAGAACTCGACGATGCCCATGGCGTTATCGTAGTCATCGTACTTGGCTAGCTCGGGCTGCACTGCTCGCATGCCATATGCGGAAACACTCTTCACTTGAATGTCGTCGCCGAAGAACCACAGAGTGAGGTCAATATCGTGGACTGACATGTCGACAAATACACCTCCGGACCAGGCTGCATATTCGACAAAGAAGTCGCTGGGGTCATGCTTGTCGCAGGTCTGACTACGAATGATTGTCGGTCGACCGATCAAGCCTCTGTCCATTTTGTCCCATGCATCACGATAGGACTCGTCAAAACGGCGGGAGAAGCCACACATGACTTTCAGGTGAGGGTGCTTGAGTGCCTCGTCCAAGACTTGTTTACACNNTTTTCAAGAGAATGTTAGCCCTGATCAGTCGCACACCGATTATCTAAAACTCACGACTGGAATGTTTGTGGAGAGAGGCTTCTCACAGAGAACGTGCAAGCCTTGATGCATGGCCTTGATAGCCTCCTCAGCATGGACTGAGGTAGCGGTACCAATGACTACAGCTTGCAGGCCTTCTTGCTTGATCATCTCATCGTAGTTGGTGTAGAGCTTGACTCCGTGAGGTTCCAAGTTGATTCTAGCCCAGGCGAGCTCTTTCGAATCTGGTGTGAATGCTGCTACGAGCTCTGCACGAGGTGTACGGTGTAGGAAATTGATAGCATGGCGAGCACCCATACGACCGAGGCCAGCAGCGGCGATCTTGAGCTTCTGGACCATTTTGGTGTTGTGATGTATGAATATGCAATAGCTGAAAATAAGCCTTGGAAGAGAAACTGTCCAGTCTGACATATCCAGGCCAGGTACGTCCTTTATACCTTACCCTCCTGCACACCCAACAGTGGATACCATCTTACCTTTCTCGTCAATACATAGCGCGCTTATGGATGATCGCAAAATGCATACATAAACAACAGAAGTAGAGGAGGCGGAGTTGGATGGTGGGGCTTTCCAAAAACTGCTTCCGAGGGTTCTGTCGAATACGGCAATTCGGCTCCGACGCGGAGGCAAGACCTCTCCGCCAGCTCAATCGGGTGCACTATCTTTGCTTTTACTTCCGAATCCTTTTCCCTTTGTATTTACCTTGAGAGATGCAATGAACGGCGGAGAAAAACTTGCATGGTAGGATTATCTTCCCGTATCTGGTAGCACTCGTAGTGCCTGACTGGACTAACTGCTCCCGGAATTATAGCGAGCAATGTCGGATACGGCATCTGAAATGTGATCGCAAGAAACCCAAATGTTCGCGCTGTCTCAAAGACGATGTCGAGTGCGTGAGCCAGGCTGGCCTGCCTGGGCCGCCGAAGAAGAAGGCAAGGTGAGATGCTGACGCTCGATACTATCCAATGCCCTAAGGAAAAGGACACTGTTGGTTGTCTTAATGATTTAGGTGCTTACTGTCTATCCNNAGGCTTATCAATCCATCGAAACATCAGCCAAAGTTCCCCCACAATCAACCTTGGTTCAGGATTGGGAAAGAGCTAAGATTTGTTCACGAGAACGAATCGACCATTTTCGGCAACGGCCAAGTACTAAACCTCGAGGATGATTCAGGAGAGCCGACAGCAGAAGTGTTCGAGTCCAACCACTCATCACATATCCGCGGTACAGCTATTGAGGTAAACAATCAGAGCGCCAGCCTTACCTCAATCCCTGCGGCGCAATTAGATTCTGCTAGGAATCTTGGTCAACCCGAGNCATCAATTCGTTTTAGGACACTTGTCGAAGCAGCTGCCGGGTGCAGAGCAGAGATTCCATGTAGCGATCCGACGGAACCAACAACGGAAGCTATAACAGACACGACTCTCACGAACTCGACGACTGGGATATCACCTGCGTTGGAGTTTGCACTCAATGGTAGAGACTCACCTGCCCAGCCCTTCCCACACCTACATCAGCTGTCCAACCCGAATGATGCTTTCTCACCGCCCAGCTTCCAAAATCTTGAATCTCCTCAAACGCTATCAACAGGCCTTGTCACAACAGAAGCAGCGTTGCCTTCATCTACTACGCCTACACTATCTCCACACGAAGCTAGACTAATGCAACATTTTATCGAGCACCTAGCCCCGAGTATCGATGTAGTATGTTCGTCACAGATATTTGGTCGACTAGTCCCACGCATGGCATTCCAATCGCCTATCTTATTGACATCGATCTTCGCCGTTGCCTCCAAACATATATCTAAGACAAAGGGAGTTACATATCCGACACCAGAGACCTACTTCCAGGAAACATTGGACCACTTGATACCAGTATTGAATGAGCCTGACGCGCTAGTTGAAGACTATATACTAGCTGCTGTAGTGATTCTCAGAGTAATGGAGGAAATGGATAGTAAGTTCAGAACTATGCTGTAAACATGTGATGTTAACAAAATACAGNTCTCTCTATCGGGATTCGATCAACAGAGTCATCTACCAGCGATACACGCACTTATCAGCGCGCAGGAGAGGATAGCTACACGCGGTGGTCTACGGCAAGCTGCGTGGTGGGTCGGTTTTCGTCAAGAGATGGTTGTGGCCTTTATCAATCAGAGACCGATAGTGCCTGTTCTGGAACATTGCAACCTCGATCGTTCGTTCTCGACAGCCGATGATGATACATGGACGAACAGAATCATTGTCCACTGTGCAGATGTCATTAATCACTGTTTCAAAACCGGTTCGCTTGACCAAACGAAGTATCAAGCACTTCGCGACTACGGAGAAGCGTGGATGGCTCATAAACCTCAATCGTTTCATCCCATTTTCCAGTGCCAACCATCTGGCGAGAACGGAGATTTGTTCAAGAAGACTTGGTATGCTGGCGATACGACTGCANAAGGCATTCAGCATTACCATCTTTCAAAAATCCTTCTTGTCGCTCATGACCCAAACATACCTCGACTGGGCTTACAGAGGAAGCATTTCGAGCAGACTGTTGATGTGCGTTTTGATAAGAGCCTGGCGGATTTGATGATTGCTAACTATGAGACAGNNGACCAACTAAGATTCCATGCAAGAACTCTTTGCGGTATCGCGCAGGGCGGTTGTAAAACAGCGGCCATTTGGGTCACAGCATGCATGGGTATATCATGGTGCGGAGATCGATTTGTCTCTCGTGTAGAGCAAGAGGAGTTGCTTGAAATTCTCAGATACACCGAAAGAGTGCACGCTCGTCATACCCTGTCTACGCAGAAACACCTCAAGGAGGCATGGGACTGGCCTGCAGATACTTGACAGACGGTCGCAAGGAAATCTTCTTCTGTTGGCGTCTAAGCGCAGTCCCACAGGCGTTTCGCATTGTCTCGAAACACCAAGTCCTTCGCATCGAATTCTTCTGACCAGTCCAGGCACTTGGAAACGAAGGGCTTCACGTCTAAGCCCTCGAAACGTGTGTGTGGCCAATCTGATGCAAAAACCATCTTGTCTTTCGCAGTGTCTAACAACAACTTTGCTATGGCTTCACTTCCGGCCATTTTATCAATGGAAAGGTCATAGCGATAATGAGCAGAGATTTTGACCCAAAGGTTGTCAGCTTGTGACAAAAGCGTGGTCAAATGTTGCATGCCTGGCACGTTGGACGCATCTGAAGGATATGAGGTCCAGCGTTTCATGTCTGGAGCGCCGAAATGAGCAACGCAAAACTTGACTCCGAGTTCAGGTATAATGTCGGTTATGAAGCGAAGTTGCTCAAGATCGATGAACAGCTCAATGACCCAGTCGAGGGGCTTCACGACCGCTGCATACTTTCGTAAGGTCTGCTTGACGGCATCGGGATCGAATGGCTCGTTTGTGGATTTGAAGTTCAGCCTGACGCCTCGGACACCTAGTCTGTGCCATTGTTGCAATGTATCGCTGGCAATATCGTCTGGATCAAACGACACCACGCCTCGACCACGAGTTGGTCCGATTTCCTTTAGAGCGTCTAAGAGGCAAGAGTTGTCGTTACCATAGATAGAGGGTTGGACGAGCACGATGTTGTCAATACCAATCGTCTTTTCGAAAGCCATGGCGTGGTCCAGACTATGTAGAGATGGCTTATATGCAGCTGATTTTGCTAGGGGATAGTCGGGAGAAGTTACATGCATATGACTGTCCCATGCTCCCACAGGCATTCTGTCGATGATTGTGCTTGACTGAGCATCTCGACTGAAGTGTCTTTGGAAATGGTATATCTGCTTTGGTCGAAGACGACACAGCCGACGAGCGGCTGAGCTAGAGTAGCTGTCGTGAGATGTAAGAATCAATGTTTCGCCCAGGTAGATCTGACATTTACCTGTTCATTGCAACTACAATCGTACTCAATCACAAATGTCAGCAATGGTGTCTACCTTGAACTTGTAAGGTTGGGTAGGATGCAATTGTCGAGTCAAGATGTCGGTTAAGAAACGGCAGAGGTTGGCGTGGAAGCGGGGGTCATGGGACCGTGACGAGGAACAACCTACCACACATCCAATACCTGGATTGTTCTTCTACATCTTCTGTTGTTTCTACGAGACAAAAGCTGACGCTGACTGTCAGGCGTCTATTGACAGATAAGTACCAAAGAGGCGTTGCTGTAGGAGCAAAATAAGGCAACTCGACGAAAAGAATCAGGCCATCAGGCTCGGAGCCGACGTCATCATCTCCAGCTTCGGAGTTGCAAAAACATTGGCAAGATTGACCGGAGGAGGAAGAAGATAACCTAGACACTGGTCTGAAGAATTGATGAAACAGTCAGAGGTCAAGAACACGCCCGATGCAACCAATGCTGTAGCGATGCCTGGTCTGGTGCGCAAACTCCTCATGTAAGTGCTTTCTTGAGCTGTGACAAGCATGTAATTCTAGTGTAGCTAATACTTGGACAGTTGCGCGACGGCGGACGGTCTGCTGTTGCAGCCTCTTTCGCAGCGAAACCAACAGTCCTCATCTTCTATCGTCAAGATCGACTACAAGACACACAACATCAGCCCTTCGCTTCAGCAGCAGTCAGACGAGTCAGCCAGCGAAGGACTCGAAGCTCATGGTCTCCTCGGTATGCACGCAGTTGACTCGACATGTTCTTCCGCTGACGTGTCTCAGGTCTCCTCAACCTCGCATCTTCCTCATACCTTGTCGCCATCTCGAAGCGCGAGCAAGNTCGCCCAAATCCGCGGCAAGCCCATATACGTCATCACCAATGTCGCCCTCATTCCGTTAGCCTCGCAATCTGAAGCACAGGCTGCTATTCAACACGCAAAGTCAAGTCTGAAGAGTAACAAGCCCGAGTCTTTGGACACCAGCGACGACGAAGACGACTCAAGCTCGGCAGCAGACGACGAACATGATGACAACGCGTCAGTCGGTGGACCAGACGAGCCGTTGCAGGTACCCAAGGGTTCAGTAAACAAGGCCACTACCGTGGTGGCCGACGTAATAAAGAACAAGGGTCAATATGGTCGCTTTGCCCAGCGCTGGTTCTCCAAAGGCGGCTGGAAGTCTGACGGCATCCGCAAGCAGGGCATGAGCGCCAGCGAGACTGACTTGACTTTGACCGCCGAGCAGAAGAAGCAAGCCGAAGACTCGTTGCCAGACAATACAAAGGATCAGGTAGAAAGCGCACCTGTCGATACACAGTCTCAACCCACACCTTCGGACGAGCAACAACCCACCGCCGAATCGACCCCTGTCGAGCCTAAAGACACCACTCTTACTAATCTCATCCCAAGAATCCTCAAGACAACGAATCTGTACTTTACCTCGCGAAGCTTTTACTTCTCTTACGATTACGACCTTTCACGCAGTCTTTCACGACAGGAGTCGACCTCTGCCTCTGTGCCTCTTTACAAGCGTTTTGATCCTTTGGTGAGTATTACCGCAAAGGTGTGGCCATTCGTATAGACTAACAGTTTCAGTNACTTCTGGAACCACAACTTGACCGAACCTCTTATCGAGGCTGGCCAACACAACCTCGTTCTTCCTGTCATTCAAGGCTTCATTGGCCAACGTGCCTTCACCATTGATACAACTGAAAACGCAGAGAACAAAATAGTCGATGCGAAGCAGGAGGCATCGGAGGTCGTGAAGGTCCAAGAGGAGGCTCAGAAAGAGAATGCGAGCACAACGGACGACAAGTCACAAGCANAAGAGCTGCTACTGACCTTGATCTCGAGACGTTCTGTCAAGCGTGCAGGACTACGCTACCTACGTCGTGGCATTGACGATGATGGCAATGTCGCCAACAATGTCGAGACTGAGCAGATTCTGGCCACATCATCATGGGACACCAAAGATAAGGTCTTTTCGTTCCTACAGGTCAGAGGCTCCATCCCTCTATTTTTCTCGCAGAGTCCTTACAGCTTCAAACCAATTCCCATCCAATATGGCTCGGAGGCAACCAATCAAGCTGCATTCGAGAAACACTTTTCGAACATGCTTGAACGTTATGGAGAGGTTCAGTGTGCATCCTTAGTCGATAAGCACGGCACAGAAGCTAAAATTGGAGAATCTTATGAAAAGCACGCAAACAGCCTGAACAGCTCTGGAGGTGTGTCAGGCAAGCAAGTCGGATTCTATTGGTTCGATTTCCACACTGTGTGCAAAGGCATGAAATTTGAGAACGTCTCGATCCTTATGGACACTTTACGGCCGTCCATGAAATCTTTTGGCTGGACTGTACAGCAGGATGGCAAATTCCTTAGCACCCAGACTGGTGTATTGAGGACGAACTGCATGGACTGTCTTGACCGAACTAACGTCGTCCAATCTGGCGCAGCTGGTCACGCTCTACAAGACCAGCTTGCCGAGATGGGTCTGTCAATCAACCTTCAGACCGACCCAAAGACGTCTTGGTACAACAACCTGTGGGCTGACAACGGTGATGCTATCTCTCGTCAGTATGCAGGTACTGCCGCACTCAAAGGAGACTTTACTCGCACACGCAAACGCAACTGGCAAGGTGCATTGACCGACTTCAGTCTCACTCTGAATCGCTACTACAACAACATCTTCGGCGACTACTTCTTACAAACCTGTATAGACTTTTGGCTCGGCAATGCGGGACCCGTGGTCTTTGAGGAGTTCGAAACCGACATGATGAACCAAGACTACGCTCTTGACATGGGTCGCATTCGCCAAAGCGCCATTGAGACTTGCGTGCGTATTGTTCTGGAAGACTCGGCGGATATGATCTCAGGCTGGACGCTCTCCTGCCCAGCATCGGCAAACACACTCCGCGCACTACCTTTTGAAGAGTGCATCGTCCTTCTTACTGATAGCGCCCTCTACTTCTGCCGCTTCGACTGGGACACCGAAAAGGTTGGCTCCTTCGAACGCGTCGAACTCGTCGACATCGAAAGCGTCAACTACGGTACTTACATCACCAGCACACTCGGCCCCACCCATATGGACTCGAACAAAAACGTGGGTTTTGTAGTCAAGTACTCGAGTCAAACACCCGCTATGGTACGCACCAACACACGCAGCCTCGCAAACGAANAAGAAGCCAGCGCCGCAGACAAAGACGCCAAGACAACAGACGTCAAACCTGCAGAGAGCAGATTGCTCGCTTTCAAAGCTTTGCCTCCTAGAAATTCTGCCTCTAAAGGTAAGAGCACTGATGGCGAGTTGAGTGAAGGGGAAATGGTACGCCACATTTGTGAAGAGATTGAGCGATTGAGCAATAAAGCTCTGGAGAGACAGACTCAGACTGCTGCTGGAGAGGAAGCACAACAAGAAACGAGGAAGTTGAAGATTGAGCAGAAGGATGTGATTTCTGTGGCTGAGGCGAGGAAGAGTACTGGATATCTTGAGTCGATCGGGTATTCGTTGAAGAAGCTGGTTTGGTCGTAGAGGGGTTGCTGAGACCACAAATAAAGTACATGATGTGGATATAAGGTAATATTATGAAAGGAGTTTGTACAAATTTTTGCAATAAAAATGGGTTTATGATCATTTCGATGAAGCTATCTGTCCTTGTATGACATGGTAATGCCTTTTTGTATCCTACTACTTCTGTATTATGTCTTGCCCATGTCAAAATGCAGGATGTTGAGTGGAAGTAGAAGTAGTCAAGACGCATTTTCCAGAATTCAGTCTTGAAATTTTGATATATTGACACCATAGCAGCACATCACATTTTGCATCCTTGAATTGTAGACCGTCCGATATTAGACAATGTAGTGCGTACATGAAGACACCTAAAATTCGAGAAGACGTCGTTGTTGTGGTATAATACCATGATAGATGTTTTTATAGATTGTTGTGGTCAGCACCCTGATCTCTGGTGTTGGCAACAATGACTAGCAATACTCAACGTCTGGAGCTCCATAGATGTGTTTAGAATGCTCGGTGGATGGAAGGCAACACTACTAAAACTTATGCCAAATCATACCGAAAGGCTTTGTTGCGAATCTTTCTGCCCTATCGTTCATAGGAATACTAAAGAGCGATATATTAAGGGCTTAAGGAATACTAAAGAGCATAGACTCCTAGGGGCATAGTTGTTACTACCCTAGTGTCCAGCGTATGATGTATCTACTAGCACTAGAGAAAATACTATGACCAATGATAAAGGGACGCTTAGCCTTAATAGTCTTGGTAAAAGCGATATAAGTTGCATTGAGGATCTCTATGCTAAAGAGGTTATAGATATCGTACTTCTAGACGTGTCGAGTCTCCCTTCTACCAACTTTTCATTCACTTTGTACTGCCGAAGCGCGCTCTTAGCATTTCGCTGCACAGACAGCAGGGCATCAGTCACCTTTGCAAGTTACCTCATCGAGGAATCAATGCGAAGAACAATTATCGCGAGAATTGCTCCGAAAAGAGGGCCGTAGGAAACAAGCTTTCTAGAATGCGGGTAAGAGTGTCCGAAAAACGGACCGTGAGTTGGGGCATCTCTGCGGGGCAGCTCTGTAACCTTGTTCTTCGCTGCCAGCGGTTTGAAGGTTTTGTAAGCAGGTAGGTAGTCCACCTGCGTCATGGGGTTAGTTCATGGCTATGGAAGGATTCAGTACGAGAGGAGGTGTTCTTCGTTCTCACCCACCGGCCTTGAGCTCGAAGTATGGCTGTAAGCGAGCAGCATAGGGCTTGAAGTAAAGACCGCAAAAGTGACGTTCGGCTCATGTATACTGTTCCTCGGACCGGCAGGGCGTCAAGGGCATCGATCCGGTCTGTGGGCTCTCCGAGATCAGCAGATTTTGATGAAGCGGAAGGAAAGTCGGATGATGATCAAGAGGTTGTTGAAGACGGCGAGCCCGTGGGGCGAAAGCTTGGAGAGAGAGCAACGAGGATGATCTCCACGGTCACTCCATGTTTATCCACATGGCGGGGCGCCGGTTCAAGCATTGACAAGAACGCCCTTTCCTAGCTCCATCGTTCAGTTTGTTCCTGCCTTTTCCGCGACTTGGCAGAAGCTCTTGCTGACGATCCATTGGAAGTGGCTTGCTTTTCACTGAACAGACCATGCAAGACAGCCCGTCAAGGCAATGATGTGCTTGTGACCAATACCACAGTAGTGATTGTTCGAGCGGGGACCACACCAAGCAAAACCTTCTTCGGTGAATGATATACTGCCGTGCGTGTATAAATACTGACCATGCTCCTGTCTCCTCCACTCACTCACAGACGACTAGCCTTTCTCATTCTGTTAATCTGTCTCCTTGAGATCGTTGGCAGCATGATGTTTCCTCAATTCAAGAGGGCAGCCCTCTTCGCCCTGCCTGCAGCAGCGGCCGTCTCTCAGACGTCCAGCTCTGATGCCACCAAGACGGCCGATGCAAACATCATTGCATCCACATACTCTGGCAGCACCGCATCAGTCCTCTTGAATGGAACATACACCACGTAAGTTTCTTGAGATCTTTCGCGGAGCAGACATTGACTTTTGGAATAGANNTTCACTGCTCAGTACACTCTACCTGCAGCTGTCGATTATGGTGCAAACTTGCTGCCTAATGTCGACAACCCGCAGGCCAAGATTCCACAGAGCATCTGCCCTGGATACAAGGCCTCGAATGTTGAGCACAACCAGTACGGTTTCTCAGCCACTTTGAACCTTGCCGGACCGGCTTGCAATGTCTACGGCACTGACGTTGATGTCCTCAATCTTACTGTTGCTTATCAGGCTGCTCATCGTCTAGCAGTCGAAATTTCACCAGCCCACGTTACTGCAGAGAACTCTAGCTGGTACTTCTTGCCTTCGGAGCAAGTGTACAAGCCTGAGCAGACTGATGAGGTTACCGATGACTCTGATCTTCAATTCGTCTGGTCCAACGACCCTGCTTTCAGTTTTGCTGTTCTGAGGAAGTCGACTGGTGATGTTCTCTTCTCTACTGAGGGCACCGTTCTTGTTTACGAGGACCAGTTCATTGAGTTTGTTTCTACCCTGCCTGATAACTACAACCTCTATGGTTTGGGAGAACGCCTGCACGGCATCAGACTCGGAGACAACTTGACTGCTACCATGTGGGCGGCCGACAACGGCAACCCCATCGACAGAAACCTGTACGGTACCCACCCCTTCTACCTCGACACCAGATACTACGAGAAGGACTCCATGACTGGCAATTTGACTCTCTTGACTGGCAACGCAAGTGCAAACGCTAGCTACATCTCGTACAGCCACGGTGTCTATTTGAGAAACTCCCACGGCCAGGAACCTATTCTGAACGCCGGAAACATCACTTGGAGATCCCTTGGTGGAACCATCGACCTCTACTTCTTTGACGGTCCTACTCCTGCTGAGGTCACCAAGCAGTACCAGACTGGTGCAATTGGTCTCCCTGCTATGCAGCAGTACTGGACCTTCGGTTACCACCAATGCCGTTGGGGTTACAAGAACTGGACCATGATGCAAGACGTTGTTGACAACTTTGCCAAGTTTGAGATTCCTCTCGAAACCATTTGGAACGATATTGTAAGTTACCTACCTTGACACCATCCAAATCAGCGTCTCGCGGACTCGAGTGTATATTGGTCCAACAAAGCCATGGTGTTCTCACATCCAACCTTTGACATCTTGCTAATCTCTCTGCTTTAGGACTACATGTTCCAATACCGTGACTTTGAAAATGACCCTAATACCTTCCCTTACGACCAGGGCAAGGTGTTCATTGATGGTCTTCATGCCAACAACCAGCACTACGTTACCATTGTTGACTCGGCACTCTATATTCCTAACCCTGACAACGTTTCGGATGCCTACTCTGTATACACTCAGGGCCATGACATGGACGTGTTCATGAAGAACCCCGACGGATCCGAATATATTGGTGCTGTCTGGCCTGGTTTCACTGTCTTCCCCGACTGGACAGCTGAGAATGCTACTCAGTGGTGGACCGAGTCTCTCAAGGAATGGCACCAGAAGATCCAAGTTGACGGTATCTGGATTGATATGTCAGAAGTCAGTTCTTTCTGTGTCGGCAGCTGTGGAACTGGTAACTTGCACCTGAACCCTGTTCACCCTCCTTTCTCTCTTCCTGGTGAGCCTGGCTCAGTCGACTACAGCTACCCTGAGGGTTTCAACATCACCAACGCTACTGAATACGCTGTTGCTTCGTCGTTGTCCGTCGCTCAGGCTTCTTCCAACGCGGCTACACAGACCTCGAGCACTACCACCCAGCCCTACCTCGTAACTACACCTACTGCTGGAGTCCGTAACGTCGACCACCCTCCTTATGTCATCAACAACCAGCTCGGCGACCTGGGAGTTCATGCTGTCGCACCTAACGCTACCCATGCCACTGGCGTCCAGGAGTACGATATCCACAACCTCTTCGGCATGGAAATCCTCAACGCAACTTACATCGCTCTCACCGAGACCATCAAGGCCAAGCGTCCGTTCATCATCGGTCGCAGTACTTTCTCTGGCGCTGGTAGATACGCGGGACACTGGGGTGGGGATAACTATGCCTCCTGGGAATCCATGCTCTTCAGTATCCCTCAAGCCCTCGACATGTCGCTCTTCGGTATCCCCATGTTCGGTGCTGACACTTGTGGCTTCTCTGGAAACTCTGACGAAGAGCTTTGCAACCGCTGGATGCAGATGAGTGCCTTCTTCTCTTTCTACCGCAACCACAACACCCTGGGTGACAACTCCCAGGAACCTTACATCTGGAGCTCTGTTATCGCTGCTAGTCAGAAAGCAATGGCTATCCGCTATTCGCTCCTTCCCTACATCTACACCCTCTTCCATTCAGCACACACTACCGGTAGCACTTTCTTGCGCGCCATGGCCTGGGAGTTCCCCAACGACCCTAGCCTCGTTGATGCCAACCGCCAGTTCATGCTTGGACCCAGCTTGCTCATTACACCCGTTCTCCTGCCTCAGGCTACTACTGTCAACGGTGTCTTCCCTGGCAGCAAGGATGGAGTTGTCTGGTATGATTGGTACAACCAGAGCGCTGTTCCTGCCTCTTATGGCGCAAATGTCACCATGGAAGCACCTCTTGGTCACATCAACGTCCACATTCGTGGCGGCAGCGTTCTGCCCCAACAAGAGGCTGGCCTCACCACCACCGAATGCAGAAACAGCTCCTGGAGCGTCATTGCTGCTCTGTCAGCTGAGGGTACTGCTACTGGTAGCTTGTACATCGATGACGGCGAGAGCATCATTCAGAACTCGACCTTGTATGTTGACTTCACTGCTGAGAACCAGCGTCTGTATGCTTCTGCTCGCGGTCTTTGGCAGGAGAAGAATGCCCTTGCCAACATCACTGTTCTTGGTGTTCAGAACGCACCTAAGAATGTGTCGCTCAACGGCCAGGCTCTGATGTCTGGTGTCAACTACAACTCCACTAGCAAGGTTCTGAAGGTCACTGGTCTCCAGAACGCCACCTCTACTGGTGCCTGGGCCAAGGACTGGGTTCTTGAGTGGTAAAAACAAGAAGGAGAGATAGATGACTTCATGATAAAAGAGACGCTACGAAGGTGGTGTCTTAAAATGTTGATAGGAAGGAGAATCTCCATAGAAATGTATAATACAGAATTGCTCACACAACAAAGGGTTGCACAACATGTTCATGGTTGTTTAAATTGCAGACACTAAGAAGGGCTGTCGCATAGAAACAAGGTTGGTGATCTACATCGTGTTGTTGCGACCTCGGAGTTATGCCGAGGTCTTGCAACGGTATAGCTCCGAAGCCCATCAAGCTCTCCACTGTCGTCATCAATAATACAGGAGCACTAGCTGTTAGATCTTATTCATCTTCTTTCTTTTATTGTCGCATACCCTTGACGACGTATACTCTCTCAAGGCAATTGCAGAAACCATGGCATCTCAAGTTTTCCAGGCCAATCGTACGGCTCTTATCACAGGTGGCGCTTCTGGAGTGGGCTTTGCTTTTGCTCAGCTATGTCAAAAGTTTGGCATGAATGTCGCTTTGGTGGACAAGTCTACTGAGAGCCTCGAGAAGGCAAAGGACGTCTTGTCGGGCAGCGCTAAGAATGGACAAAAGACCGAAGTCTACGATATGGTATGCATGGACAAGAGCCCGCGAGCACATGGGTAACACCCAGAGCACATTTGCTGACAGAAGATGTAGGACGTCTCCGAACTCTCCCAATGGCGCAATCTCAAGTCCGAAGTGGAAGCCAAATTCGGTAACGTCGATCTCTTGATGCTAAATGCCGGTGCCTCATTTAAGCCTACTCAAGGCTTTGGCGCACTGAGCACATGGCTAGATCCTGCGTATCACCACAAGACTTACGACACAAACGTATTCGGTGTGCTCAATGGCATTGCAGCACTCCTACCGCTACTCCAGAACAAGAACACGCCTTCGTCGATTGTGATCACGGGCAGCAAGCAAGGCATCACCAACCCACCGGGTGGAAACAACCCTGCGTATAATGCTAGCAAAGCGACGCTTAAACATCTTGCCGAACACCTCTGTCACGATCTCCGCACTTCCAGTCCTTTGATCACTACGCACTTGCTTATACCCGGGTGGACATACACAGGCTTGAGCGGCAACAAAGGGCCTGTCCCAGACGAGGAAGCCAAGAGCAAGAAGCCAGAGGGTGCATGGCTAAGTTCGCAAGTCGCAGAGTACGGTGCAAGAAAGATGATGGAGGGACAATTCTATATCGTGTGTCCTGACGATGATGTGTCGGAGGAGTTGGACAAGGCGAGGATGGCGTATGCGATGGGAGATGTGTGTGAGGGCAGACCTCCGTTGTCGAGGTGGCATGATGAGTACAAGGACAGCGCTGCTGAGTGGATACAGAAGGAAACGGAGAAGAGGAAGGATGGACAGTAGATTGTGCGCTTAGCATTGCAATGTAGAAGCTAGATATTCGTCCTGATACATATGTTTCCATCTCTTTCTCTTTCGATGAGTGGCTGGCTATCCAGGATATCTGTCTTTTGGGTCATGTCAGCGATTTGTCTTGCAAAAATATCGTGATAGAGACCGAGCGGTTGCGAGTGCGTATCAGAAGGAACAATTGAGTAATAAACATGGTGTCCGCATTTGACTCTTCTCTTGGAAGGCCAATTCGGATCCCTTGCAATCATCATTGAAGCGGTGGGAAGGGAGGAAGTGGTATGTTTGCTTACCAAGTGTGCTGCGCCCGTCGTCCGTCGTAGCAACAGCGATTTGGTTGCAACATTTGACGGACGACGGCATTGTTGTAAAGAGGAAGAAGGCAGCTTCGGCGCAGAGAAAAGAATATGCTGAATCTATATTGCCGGAGTTTAACCATCGACCTTCTTTGGTCGGACTTTTTTTCGTTTCTTATCACTTTGGCGAGATCGAGGATCAAGAAATTGTCTTCCCTCAGATCTCAAGAACTCGCGTTACGTGTTTCGAAAAACATTGTCAAGTTGGTAGTGTGCATGGTAAGTCAGCGCTGTAGAGTCGTGGATCAGAAGTCGATCCGGAAAAGTGTTAGCCGGCCACCTGCGAAGCTGTACACTTCGCAGCCCCCTTCTGAGGCTCTTAGAATATCCATAGCATATAGAACAATATCACTTCCTGTCCATTGGAAGTTTTTTACTTCCTTGACATAATTCCTAAAATCAGTACCGCCGAACAGCTGCAGGTCGGTCCACAGTACTATTGAACCATCACAACAATGTCTATCCTCATCATCAACGGACCCAACCTCAACCTCCTCGGTACCCGCGAGCCTGCAATCTACGGCTACGAAACTCTGTCAGATGTCGAGACAGCAGCGAAGTCCCTTGCCCAAACCCATGGCCTTTCACTAGAGACATTCCAATCCAACCACGAAGGCGCAATCATCGACCGCATCCACGAAGCGGCAGGTTTCGGACCCCAAGGAGATGGCCAAAGACATGTAGACTGGATCATCATCAACCCTGGTGCTCTGACACATACTTCTGTGGGCTTGAGAGATGCATTGGGTGGAGTGAATATTCCATTCGTGGAGTGTCATATTAGCAATGTGCATGCGAGGGAGGAGTTTAGACATAAGAGCTACTTGAGCGATAAAGCTGTTGCTGTTATTGCTGGATTGGGAACGTTTGGATACGAAGCTGCGGTTAATTTTGTTGCGAGGAAGATCAAAGCTGGGAATTAGATGCTCCAAGAAATTGGTCGGTGAGCTCGGTCAGTTGAAGAAATTATGTGGGAAAGAGCTGACGATATCGCAGTAGCTCTTGCTCTGAGCTCTTTGACACTTGCCATTGCTAGCTTCCTCGCCCACAGCTGAGATGCTTGCCTTCCATTATCAAAATTACAATCTCATCGTCATTCGAATCTCTAATTCTTGTCGCTTATGTATTCCGGCGAACTTCTTGGATCGTTCTCCTTGTCCGAGATTGTTGTACGTGGTCGGTCTAACTTGCTCAATCACCCTCGAAAGTTTTTGTTGCCTGTTCCGCGATGACTCTTATCACAGGATCAATTTTCGCGATGACTTCTATCACAGAACTGATTCTCGATCTTTTCCTACTTTTCTTGAACCTCTGTAAATCCGGCTTACAAAAGAATAAAAGACCGAGAGTCCTTCAGATCTAGCGACAACAGCATCTATTATCTGGCCACAACGCAAACCACGAAACGCGCTCCATCTACCCCTGACTCACGCAAGCTCCACAAGACCATTCAATATCTTATCGTACAAGATGTCGATTCAAGATCTTNNCCTGACGAGCTTCTGCTTCACATCTTCAAGCCGTTCGCCGACATACAAAACCACGATGAGCCATTTGCCAACATTCCACACGCAAAGACGAGTGAGAATACCAAATCTCTGGCTGCTTTCTCCAAAGTCTGCGTCAGGTGGCATATCATCATCGAGCCCATCCTTTATTCCACTTTCACGAAACCCAACAATAGTGAGACTCCTAGTCGAACATTGAGGCTTTTTCTAAGAACCATAATCGAACGACCGCATCTCGCCAACAATATCACGAAACTTGTCCTCGGTTCGTGGTCCGAAAGTCTACTCATGCATCACTCCGAAGATCCTTCTGATGAAATTCTGGTCAGTCCACCGAGTTCTATCCTTCGACCGACATATTCAGAAGCACTTGAAAGGCTTGAGAGGTCTCCCGGCAGCTCCGGGCCCTATGGCAAGGGTATCAGATTCAAAGTTCTTCGGGATTGCCTGAATCACTGTATCCTTCGTGGAGACGAGGTATCAGAGTCAGCTCTATTACTATTACTATTAGCACCAAACCTTCGCGTTCTGCACCTGGCACAAATACCGAGCACCGAGCAGTGGACATTTACCACCAGAATAGATGGATTGACACAGGCAGCTAGTCATCTGAACAGAATCGAGCTGGGTTCAGTTCGCAAGATTCTTGGGGTGGACGACTACCGTTTGCGTGTGCTCATGACGCTTCCGAAGCTGAAAATTCTGACCGTGGTGAATTGCCAAGTCAATAAGGGCCTTCGCGTTGATCATCCGCCTTCGAAACTCAACTCTCTCGCATTCCGTTACTGTCGCATGACTGCGGAAGTCTTTGAAACATTAACGGAGCATCTTCGTGCAATCGACCGCTTTGAGTGGACTGGAAAACCACCAGAATCCTACGCCCCAGGGTGGAATCCAAGCTGGGCCGCACCGCCTGGAGTCTTGACCTTCTTGAACCGTCATAAAGCCAGTATCCGGTCCTTGCATCTTACTGGTCCAATGAGCTTCGGTATGAAAGAGAGCTGGCCCACATTCAAAGAATTCGAGTCGTTGAGAGAGCTCAGGATCTACCAGAAGATTCCGAGATTGGAAGGAAACGATCTAATTAACCAACTACCTCAGTCTCTGAGATACCTTAGGATCAAAGGAAGTCCCTTTTCCATAATGAATGCGCTCGTCACCTTGGTTAGCAGCCAATCTCTGCCGACGCTAGAGATGATTGACTATGGACCTGTGGCGTTTCCAGCAGACCGTGACCAGACGCATCAGCTATGGAGGCTCGAAAACATCTGTGAGAGGAAAGGGGTCGTATTGCGGAATATCGAGAATGACAATGATGAATGGTACAAGGGGTGATGGTCCAGCAAGTTTGGTTCAGCTGTTACTAGAGTAGTGGCTTCCCTCTTCGAATATGATATATATTTGTCGTCACTCTGCTGATGATATCTTGTATTGCCCTTATAACTTGATTGTAGCTGCCAGAACCTAAACAGAAGTGTGACTAGAAGAATACCTTGCAATCACGTGCCCACCTCCGCGGCATGCACCTCCTCCTTCCTTCATGCACTCCGCACCTCACAGATACGTCATGCATCGACCAAAAGATCGACCTACGAAGAATGCATGCTACCACTTTAGCCGACAAGAAATCTCGTATACACAAGGCGGGGTCGTCTTGGAGTCTGGAGAGATCATGGGGATTGCACGCGGCACAATAGGTGATCAACATGCCTCGCTAGTGTCGAACTTGGTTGGCAGGACGAGGTATAAATTGAGTATGCCGTTCGATCTTTTCTCTGCTCAGCAGCGGCTTCTCTCGTATACTACAACCTACACTCGTGATGTCTCAAGCAGTGTTACTTGCTCTCGCTACGCTTCCAGCAGCTCTGGGTCTTCAGCTACCTGGGGGTGTTGGGAAGCTGCCAGCCTTAGGATGGAACTCATGGGTACGCTTGACAAAGACTGCTAGCATGCTTTTCATTGCGTACTGACTTGGCCGTCAGAATGCCTATGGTTGTGACATTGATGAGGCACGCATCATGCAAGCAGCCAATGCCATGAAAGACTTGGGCTTCCAAGCCGCTGGCTACGAGTATGTCAACTCGGACGACTGCTGGTCACAGATGGCAGGCAGAGATGCTGTGACACACCAACTTCTACCCAACTTCACAAAGTTTCCGGAGGGTATCAAAGGCACTGCGAACAAGGTGCATGACTTGGGCTTCAAGTTCGGCATCTACTCGAGTGCAGGCACTATGACATGTGGCCGCTACCCAGGCTCGATCGGCTATGAAGCCATCGACGCAGAGACCTTCGCTTCATGGGGTGTTGATTACCTCAAGTACGACAACTGCTTTCCGCCAGAAGAGTGGTACGATGACTGTTTGTCTTGCGAGCCTGACCCGAGCTTTTCTCCCACTGGCATTGTCAATGGTACTTGTTCGAACAGCACTCCACCTGTGAACCACTACTCGTTCACCCGCCCGATCCCCATCTGTGCAGATGGATGGCCTGTCGATGGTATCAACTATACCGCCAAGTACACCGCGCTCAAGTTCCGCATTATGGGCAATGCTTTGTTGGCGCAGAACAGGACTATCTTGTATAGTCTGTGCGAGTGGGGTGTTGATCTGCCATGGACTTGGGCCAATGGCACGGGTCAGTCATGGCGTATGTCAAACGACATCAACNCGTAAGTGAATCACTCTTCCCTGTCTTTGTCGACCGTCACAGATAAGCAGCTGACTCGAAACCTAGCTTCGTGGAGCCGTATTTTGCAGATCCTGAACCAGAACTCATTCCTCTCCGACTACGGCGATTTCTACGGTCACAACGATGCAGACATGCTCGAGGTTGGAAATGGCAACCTCACAGACGAAGAAGTCCGCTCGCACTTCTCGCTCTGGGCCATGATGAAGTCGCCCTTGCTCATTGGTACCGACGTGACAAAGCTCAGTGCTCATAACATCGGTGTCTTGCAGAACAAAGCACTGCTCGCATTCAACCAAGACCCGATTTATGGCAAGCCGGCTGCACCGTACAAATGGGGAATCAACCCGGATTGGACTTACAATACTACATTCCCAGCTCAGTACTGGTCTGGAGCATCGTCAAACGGCACGATGGTGGCTTTGTTCAACCCTTTGAACAACACGGTGTCGATGACTGCTGACTACAGCGAGATCCCGGAGCTTGATGCAGGAGGCTGTTATCAGGTGTTGGATATTTGGAACAGCACTGACCTTGGATGCAAGAAGAATAGCGTTACTGTGGATGTCGCGCCTCACGATACAGCTGTGCTGCTGTTCGAGCACTCGTGTTGAGATGTAATAACGTGGGCAAAAGCTTGAAGTAGGATTCTTTGGGCCTTGATTGTGGTATGCCTTTTTTTCCCTCTTAGGTGGTTTCTTGTAGTTGCTTCGGTAATAGTCGACAATATCAGAGAAACTAAATCCCAGAACTTAGCGTAAGAGTTGCTTCCTCTTTCGGATCGGGTCGTCTCTTATTTCTGTGCTGAGAATTTGATGCCACCTCTTGTTTGCACTCTCAACTGTTGATGTGAGGTTTTCTTTCGACTTGCCATTGCGTCCACTCCAAGCCAACTTCTCCCCCACAATACTGCCAAATCTGCCCCTTGCTCTTTCGAGGTAGACAAGAACTTGATTTGAAACTGCTCCCATGCCCCATAACAATGCCAGACTATTACCGCTTCCCCAATTCCAGTTCCCAACATCCACCATCTTAAAGCCAGAGATCAATCAAACTCAATTCTTCTGCCTATGAGAATGGGACAAAGTCATCTCTCGTACTTTTCCCCTCCAACATCATCCTTGGGCCTTAGTCACCCTCGCACCGCACATACCCACAATAACCATAACAGCTCCAATATTGGTTATCCAAAGCCATGCTCTGACAGCAAAATCCATTTCGTAAGAAGTGACCAACTTGTTGAACGCAATCAAGACAAGGACGAGAAATATTGGCAGGCCAAAGTCGTTGCTGGCGAGTTTTTGGCGGAGGGTGGAGGGTGCTCCGGGTTGCTGGGGTGTGGCCGGTGTGGACATTGTTGGTTTTGTTGTGGTGGGTTTGATGAGAGAGGTTTTGTGGACTGATGATTTGGTGGGGTAGTTTGTGATTCAGCTTCGATGATTTGATGATGTGGGAGTCTGGTTCTGAAGAGGTTGCTGATGATTGTGAGTGGTATGGAGAAAGGGTTGGAGAGAGCAGTTGTCTAGAACCGTTCGGATGGTTCGACATCTCGAAGAAGGTTGACGCTAGGACGAGAAAGGAAGGAGGCTATAGATATATCATTGGAAGAAGTCAAGTCTATCACAACTTAGAGGGCATGACTTGACTACTGTGTCAGTGGGAGATGGCGAAGCAATGTTGAGTAAGAACAAAAAAATAATCAGGATGACATTTGATATCTCTGCAAGGCCAAACCAAAGAAGACGCCGGATGTGATGCAAATCAACTTTTCAGACCCACTCTACTCGCTGTCTTCCTCATCACTGACACCATCGATTTCAACCTCTTCATCTTCAGACTCATCTTCATCTCCGCTGGCCTCATCCTCATCATCAAAGTCTTCACCATCCTTGGCCAGTCTCTCGGCCTTCTCCTCTTCTCTCTTCTTCTCGTCCTCCTTTCTTGCCTCCTCCATCAACTTCTGCTTCTCCTCACGGATCTTTCTTTGACCAACGACGAATGCACCCAGTGGTGTCTTCTGCCATTCGGTCTCCTTGAGGAAGTTTTCGACCTCACTACGGTTGTTGGGTGCGAAGTCAACCTTGGCTCTCTTCTCCTCGACAAAGCGAATGTTAGCATCGACCTTCTGGACGAGCAAGATCATTTGCGATGTGAGCTTTGCGTTGTTGTTTGGTGTCTTTGAGTTCTTGCCCGTCTCCTTCAACCAGCGCTTCAACAGAACGACAAGAGGTAGTGCCAGCTCAGAGAAAGCGACTGACTTAGCCCAAAGGACAAAGAATTCTGACAGGAGCTCGATGACTTGCTCACCGACACCGTCTTGGTAAACACGTGTTCGAAGGTAAGTCTTTGGTGCTCTAAAGGCCACTGCGAAGTCGAGAGGCTTCAGGGTCGAAGCCTTCGGGGGCTTGCGCATCTCGGCAGAGTTCAAAACTTCGTAAAGAGCGGATCCGAGGGGAATGTAAGTGCCGGTGGAAAGAGAGATACGGAGGAGACTGCGGATGAGGTGGAAGCGGAGGGGGAAGTACGTGCTTGTAGGGATGAGGCGCATGGCACCGAGAGTGACTTGTACAACGGGGTAGATGAGGGGACGCAGAGGAGAAGCAGCACCCTTCTCGGCTTCAGCAAGCGACTGACAGTGCGATGCTACCACGCGCGACCAGAAGTCGAGAGAGTGGACGTATTGCCAGTTGTAGACAGTCTTGTATGAGTCCTTTGACTTGTTGGTAATGCTGCCGCGAAGGTGGATTGCCAATTGACGGATGAAGGTGAAACCAGTTGTGTAGCCAATGGTCGAGTCAATGCCCCAGAGCTCAGCAGCCGAGTTCTTCATAAGGTTGATGCCTTGGATAGTATGCACGGTAGTGTTACGGCTACCCTTGATCAGACCCTGGTATGAGGTCTTGAGAACAGCTTCCCTGATACCAGCATCACCAATAACGACCAGTCTTCTAAGAACAAGGAAGGCTGCGATACGGGTGGCCTCGGTACTTGACGACTCGGACCAGACTCCAGTAACAGCCTTTGTCAGATCACGGATGATCTTCTTGAACGACAGAACGTAGGGAAGAAGAGGAAGGACGTTAGTGAGGGTCATGCGAATGGTGTTGGGGTCGGACAGATGGGCGAGCAAATGCAGAACCGAAGTAAGATGCGACTTGAGTAGCGGGCTGAGGTTGCGGAACTTCTTAGAGTCGGTTGAGAAGGTGACTTTGCCGCCAGCCTTCTCCTTGACGGGAAGATGGTGTGCGAGTACCTCTGGCAAGTGCTTGAGTGCAACAACCAACAACTCGTGGTAGGCTTGCGGATCTGAGATGGAGTATTTGAAAACCTTGTCCTCCTCGTCTGAAACGTGAGCAGCAGCACGGAAGGCGAGAACAACCTCCTTAGTAGCGCGTAGAGAATGTTGTGTTGTCATGGCCTTCTGCCACTTTGCGATCATTTGCTTGGTCACCTCGTTGCCTTCTCCCTTTTGCTTTTTTGATGGTCTCTCGTCCTCGTCGTCAGCGCTCAGCTCGTCAATCTCGCCCAAGTCTGCATCTTCAAAGTTCAAAGCCTCAGGCTCGTTCTCTTGCATGTACTTGTGGAACTCAGGGTCTTTTGCGGCGAGGGCATCGAGTTGTGCTTGGAAGGCTTCCGGGTCGTCGACTTCGGAGTCGGAGTCTGATGCATCGTCGTCGGCGGCGGGTGTTGCTTGAGTCTCCTTGTCATCGGTCTTTGCAGCGCGTTTCCTCTTGAGTGACTTGTCGGTCTTTGCTGGTAGCTCGGGTACATCGAAGCCTCCCTGGAAGAAGTCGTCGACGTTCATGCTTTCGAAATCCTGCTTTCCATCCTTGGCCGGTGCCCTGTTGTCCTCTGGCGGTGGTGTGGAAACTTCATTGTCCTGGGCTCTCTTTGCCTTTTTCTTCGCGTTGATCTGGTGGCGCTGCTTGATTTTGGCAAAGTCCTTGCGGCGTTTGATTGTGTCCTTGAGATGGTTCTTCTCGAACTTCTTGGTGGCCTTTGTTTGCGCCATGATATGCGGTGTTTTTTTGGTGATGGAAAAAAGTTTAGACACGGCAAAGGAAAATCAGATTGAGACTGATTCTGCGGAGAAGCCGACTTGAGCACAGACCACCAGGAATCACATGCGGACCGTCCATCGCCCTTTCCCGCATCGTCTGATCTATCGACGACATAACACAATCTTCCAACATACACATCGCCATTATGTACGCAGAACGGCAACTGGCATATGCACCGACACCGTACAGCTACACTCCAAACTCAACTCTCTCGGCCACTATCAATGTTGATGAGGAGCTCAAACTTGCAACCAATAGTGCCGAACGCGACCTTTTCGAGTCGTTGGCCGAGATCTACAGCATCATTGTCACTTTAGAGGCACTGGAAAGGGCTTTCCTCAAGGACTCCATCTCGGAGACAGATTATACCGATACATGCAGCCGCTTGCTGAAGCAATACAAGTCCAACTTAGCAGATGACTCGGTCGCCAGAGCCTTTGGAAGCCTCGACTCTTTCAAGCTGGAATGGAATCTCGAAGTACCCCGTGCCACTGATCGTCTGAAGATTGGTCTACCAGCCACCGTTGAGGCCCCTTCACGTGCACCTGGTGCTCCTTCAGGTGGTGGAGCTGGTGCTGCTGCCACTCATATTGTATCAGCTTCAGAGAACTTCATCACTCTCTTTGATGCCATCAAGATGAACATGCTCTCCAAAGACACGCTTCATCCTATCCTCGTCGAAACCATCCAAGCCGTCAACAAGGTTACTGACCAGGACTTCGAGAACAAGGCCAAAATAGTACAGTGGCTTATTACTCTCAACCAGATGCGTGCTGCTCAAGAACTCTCAGACGAACAAGCTCGCGAACTTCAGTTCGACATGAATCTGGCATATGATGGTTTCAAAGCAACCCTCGAGTAATGATATGGCTATTCTTCGGCTGGTCTGTGCGCCTGTCTCCGCGCCTTCTCCAGAATTCAATGTNCCAGAGAGCGTCACNTCTCACGACCACGAAAAATGTCTGATATCACAAACAATCATGCATCGCAACAGCCAGAAGAGGACGACGGGATCCTCGACGGTGAGTCGTGCTTCAAGACCGTCAATTGATCCCTTCTAATCTTCCCCTAGNTGCTCGACCTTCCACAAATCTACACCAAGCCTTCATCGCAGCAACTACTAGATACCCTATCTCTGCTCAGTTTGGAACCTCAATCATGGGACAAGACTGCGACCCAATCAAAACCCAAAGTGCGCTCTAATGGCGTCCCTCAATACCTCACACGAATCGTCTCGAGCCCGTTAGACTGGATTGAAGATGACGTAGAGAAAGAGAAGATTTGGGATTCTGCTTCATTACGCTTGAGCGAGCGTTCTGGTCGTACTGGCATGGGTGCTATTAGCCGTTCTTTCTCCATACCTCTGGCTGCTGAGCCCACCAACAGCTCGAGTACCATGAAGCCAGTCATCACTAGCTCGCACGAACAGGAAACACCCCTCCAAGTCAGCATACACGAACCTGCGCTTACCGAAGATAATCTTGGCCTCAAAACATGGGCCTCATCGTTTGTCTTTGCACGAAACTGGCATGCTCTTCGCGATCGCATTCCTCTGATTTTCGACAAGGATGAGAATGCAACAATCCTGGAGCTGGGCGCTGGTACAGGTCTTGTCGGCATTGCCGCAGCAGCTGTGCTAGGGGCAAACGTGCTATTGACCGACCTACCTGAAATTGTACCAAATCTCGAACGGAACATCGCGTCGAACGAAGGCATGATAAAATCGAGAAACGGTTCTGCCCGTGTCGCTATGCTTGACTGGACCGTCCCTGAAAAAATCGTATACCCCGATAGGACAGATGGATCAAGTCGTCCCCTTGTCGCCGAGGAAGAAAGCTCAACTCATCCTCTCATTGTTGCCGCCGACCCTATCTACTCCAAGGAACATCCCGCGTGGCTAGTTCAAACAATCAACTGCCACCTTAGTCATGTCCCCGATGCTCGCGTATTGATCCAGATACCCATTCGTGAAGCTTATGCGGAAGAGCGCGCAGATCTCAAGAATCGCATGGTTAGCATCGGCCTGGAACTGTGTCATGAGCAAACGGAAACAGGTTACGATGATTGGAGCGACGGACAAGGCGAGGAGCTGAGTGAAGTTGAGTGCTGGTTGGGCATGTGGAAATGGAAGGACGCATAGAAACATGCTCCGACTTCGGAACGAGTCAATGACTGGCAAGCGAACCCGATGTGCTTCAGGTGCTTCGACAGCCAGAAAGTGTCGGCTTGAAGTTCCATAAAGAGCAAGAGCAGATATGAAATATCAGCGCGGGGCGCCGAAGAAACAATCGCATCGAGTAAGCACCCCACAATCTGTTAAAGAAGGCGCTATCCGACGCTTCTTTTCTCTGCCAAGACGAAAATACAACGATAGGATTACACAAAACGATCGAGCAAGATTCTACTGGATGAATGGCAGTCTTGTGGATGATAAAGAACGCGCGAACTTCGGGCTGATAAGGAAAGAGTGTTGGGTGTTTGTCAAAGCCAATCAGCGACAAGCATGCCAATCCCAAACCCCAGATTGATCCCTTATCAAACCACAACCCGAAAGCACAACGCTATCCATGTCAATCACTTTTTATCCTAACCCCAGTCGTGCTTTTGATTTTGCCATGTGAGATAGAGACCCTGCACCGCGAATCGCATAAGAAATGGCTGGCACTACCTTTTGCCGCGGAGGTTTATTATCGTTGAGGTGACTCTGACTATCTTTGCTTGAGATATAGTCAGACAACGGCTGTCTTTCGCTCTTATTATAAGACTCTTTCGATCCCCATTGATCTTGTTGTTGTTGTTTCTTTGATTATCTTTATCAGTATATCAGCAATACAGTTACCATGGCTGGACTCACGATCCTCTCTCAAGGCGTGGGTTATGGAGTCGTGCTGGGTGTTGGCTTTTTCTTCGCCCTTGGTATGATGTTCATAACTTGGGCACTCAGAAGATACAACAACGAATTGCAGACCAGTGAGGTTTTCTCTACTGCTGGTAGAAGTGTCAAGTCTGGTCTCGTTGCTGCTGCAGTGGTAAGTACGAAAGGATACATATAGCAGGGGTCGAGCTGCATCAGATGGGTTTGCTAGCCATCGGGTGCTTTCTCGACCGCTATCTGTACTGTATGCACATAAGAAACATGCTAATTATACTCTAGANTCAGCTCCTGGACATGGGCTGCAACATTGTTAGGGATTCCGTTTAAGAAACTGTCAAAAACGAGTATTGACTTCTGTGCTAGATTACAAAGCTCTGCTGTGGCTTACAACTATGGAGTTTCCGGACCTTTCTGGTATGCTTCGGGAGCGACAGTACAGGTCATTCTCTTCGCGACTCTGGCCATTGAGCTCAAGCGTCGAGCTCCCAATGCTCATACTTTCCTGGAAGCCATCCGTGCCCGCTATGGTGGAATCACTCATGGAGTCTTTATCGTATTCGGCCTCATGACCAACATCCTGGTTACAGCTATGCTATTGACTGGCGGTAGTGCCGTCATTCAGGACCTTACTGGCATGAACCCCGTGGCTGCTTGTTTCCTGCTCCCAGTCGGTGTCGTGGCCTACACAATCTTCGGTGGAATCAAGGCTACCTTTATTACGGACTGGGTGCACACAGTGGTGATTTTGATCATCATCTTCTTGTTTGCATTCACAGCTTATTCGACCAACGAGATCCTTGGAAGCCCTAGCGCTGTGTATGATGCGCTCAAAGCGGCTTCCGCTCGCCATCCTGTCGAAGGTAACGCCCAAGGAAGTTATCTTACCATGCAATCCCGTGAGGGAGGAATCTTCTTCGTTATCAACCTGGTCGGCAACTTCGGTACTGTCTACCTTGACAATGGATACTGGAACAAGGCCATTGCCGCTTCACCAGTTCATGCTCTTCCTGGGTATGTGATGGGTGGCTTGACTTGGTTTGCTATTCCTTGGCTTTGTGCCACTACTATGGGTCTTGCAGCCCTGGCTCTTGAGAACAACCCTGTTTTCCCTACCTATCCTCTCCGCATGGCAGCCGAAGATGTCACTGCCGGACTAGTATTGCCCAACGCTGCAGTTGCTCTCCTAGGAAAAGGAGGTGCTGCTGCTACTTTGGTGCTTATCTTCATGGCTGTCACATCAGCTATGTCTGCTGAACTGATTGCTGTTTCGAGTATCTGGACATATGATATTTACAACACCTACATCAATCCTAAGGCTCACGGCAAGAATCTCATCTACATGAGTCACGTCAGCTGCGCTGTATTCGCATTGATCATGGCCGCCTTTTCGACAGGTCTATACTATGCAGGAATTGGTATGGGATACATTTACTTGATGATGGGCTGCATCATTGGTGGTGGCGTACTACCCGCTGCTCTGACTCTACTGTGGTCGCAACAATCATGGGCTGCAGCAACCTTCTCTCCTGTCATTGCACTTGCTTGTGCCCTTGTCGGTTGGCTTGTACAGGCAAAGACTCAATACGGCAATCTCTCCGTCGAGTCTACAGGCTCGAACTACCCTATGCTCGTTGGCAATGTAGTTGCTCTGCTCACACCTGTAGTCACCGTCCCCATCCTCTCGCTCGTTTTCCGCACCGAAAAGTATGACTGGCAGTCCATGAAGCAAATCAGAAGACCCGATGACTCCGATCTCACTGCCGCTGCCCACATGGACCCTGAACTACTACCTGGCGGTGCCCACGGCGAAACAGCACAAGCACTTGCAGCAGAAGAAGCAGAGCAGAAACACCTTCTGCGCGCTTCCAAGATTGCTCGCACATTGACTGTATGCCTGGCATTGTGTTTCTTGATCCTATGGCCTATGCCCATGTATGGCAGTGGCTACATCTTCTCANAGAAGTTCTTCACTGGATGGGTTGTGGTTGGTTTCATTTGGTTGTTCGTTACAGCAGGTTGTGTGGGTATCTACCCTGTCTTCGAGGGACGCAAGACTATCATTAGGACGTTCAAGAGCATGTATCTGGATGCCACGGGCAAGAAGCATCCCGTCACTCATGGCAGAGCTACTATTGCTGAGACTGCGGTGGCGGAGGAGAAGATGGAGAAGGAGAAGGATAGGGATGCTGAGGCTGCTGCAAGGGATTCTGAATGAGCGATGTCTAATAAGGAAATAGAGTAGAGAGTGAGATGTTGTGATGAGAATGACGATATTCACGATCAAGAGAGAGAAATACTGTATAATTTGAAGATACAACTTTCGAACTGAGTCCGAAAGAGGGATCATTGAGAGACCAATGAGAAGCACCGCAATCAGCTTGATTTGCTTCCAGAATAACACCGACCAACATCGAAACAAGGCCGTGCAAAACCCGGAGAAAACCTGTCGCTTGTTCTATCCACGGATACAAGATGGCACTTGCTCAACATTCAATGGTCAGCATCAGGCATGATCCAATTAAAAGACAAACAAGTGTAAGCAAATTTGTGTCGAAGTGCTTGGGTGGCTTGACGGAGGTTGCCGTGTTTGTGGAGTGCAGTCTTGTGAGCCAATCAGAACATGGTCAAATAAGCATTTTGAACACGCTCCGCGCGTGGCTAACGGCTCTTCTAAACACATCCAAATTCAACGGTGCTCCAAGCCATCAGATAGACATGAAGTAGGTCTGCTAGAGATGGTATGGAGCGGTAAGCGTTCTGGAGTATTATAGGTCGACTGCGATAGATGCAGAGAACCGCATTCCGCATCTCACAGTACAACCATGCTCCGGTCACGCCTGGAAACTCCATGGCGCAAATAAAAAGGCTTGCGGGGGAGGTACATGAGTAGCGTGGAAAAAAAGTGGTCAGGGCTACTCTTACCAACGTCTCGAGCAAGTATTTATATCACCAGCGTCCTTGTCTTGATTCAATGTTACCTCTCTAGCCCTCTCACTTTTTCCAACATCGTCAACCCTTGCTCTCACAAAAGCCAGGATAGAGACTCCACTCTTCCCAATCGTCGGACTGATCTTTCCACCAATCTAAACACGATGGCATTGCTCTACATCAAGAATGTCTTCTTCCCGGCAAACAAACAACCCGCCTTATTACCTGCGTTTAACAAGCAACAGCAATATGGCGCTTGCGACACTGCATCAGAGATCTCTCAAAGTGGTTCTGATTCGTCAACATTGAGGAATGATACAGGAAGTCACTCGTCCTCGTTCCGAATCGACCCTCGCATCATCTCGGACGCCACTATTGGTCTCTCAGATGGTTTAACGGTTCCTTTTGCGCTTTGTTCTGGCCTCTCTGCACTCGGCGACACTAACCTCGTGATCTATGCTGGTCTGGCTGAGCTTTGCGCGGGTGCCCTCTCGATGGGATTGGGAGGTTATCTCGGTGGTGTAAGCGAGGCGTAAGTCAATCTACTTTACTGCGAAAATCAACCACTAATATCGAACCAGANNCAATCTTATGCAGCCACATTAGCAGAAACGCAGAAAATCGTGAACCAGGACCCGGACGAAGCCAATCAGATCATCAAGTCAACTTTCGACTCGTACGGTCTCTCGGAGGACGTTCTGGACGCTTTCGCTACACAAATCAGCTCATGCCCGAAACGATCAGAGAGTTTTATCATGCGCTTCCACCATGAGCTTCCGGAATCTCAGGCAGATGCCTCTCGCGCTTATATCTCAGCTTTTACCATCGCACTCGGCTATTTCCTTGGAGGACTGGTGCCTCTTACACCTTACTTCTTCGTGAACAACAATCAGACTGCTCTTTGCTGGAGCATCGGTGTCATGGCTTTCGCACTGTTTGTCTTTGGCTACGTCAAGACTCTCCTGGTCGGTGAACAANAAAGACTGCTTTGCATCAAAGCAGGAGTCGAGATGATGGTTCTTGGTGGCGTTGCAGCTGCGGCGGCAATGGGATGTGTCAAGGCCATAGGATCATGAGTCTGGACGACGATCTACGATACGCAATCTCTTGTCACCCATGTCTGGAGATATGCTACGACTTTGGCATAATGAACCAGCCAGACCTTACGACTTTGTATTACACTTGTATTATCGGAACATAGATACCCAGATTATTCTAGAACTCAATCCTACTTCTTTCTCAAGTACATACACATACCAGAGACTCCATGTGCTTGGAATTACTTCCGAAGAGGGGCACCCATTTGATACATCTGAGCAAATCGCTTTGTTGTTTCACAGACTAAGAAGCAGAGACACAGTGTAGGATCTCCGTCTTGCAATTCGGCAGATACCACACGGATCATCAAGAATGGTCTTGAGCTGATTGTCACAGTGCAGATGCTGAATGGAGTACTGGAAAATGCTAGAGATTCAGATTGAAGACAGATCACCACAAGAGGTCATAGTATTGAGTGTTGAATCTTAGATAGTATAACGAAGGTAGGCACCAGATTAGGTGTTCGTTGAAAGGGGTCGTGAGGTCTTGCTAGCTCTTTCCTCAATTCTAGATGTTTTGTTGCGTCAAGCGCATCTTCTGCGCCAACTCGCTTTGTTTAGGCTGCACGTCGAAACACTCCTGCGTGTCTCACTTTCACTCGCGTTCATTCACTTTCCCTCAGGTTCCGTCTGTTTGCGCAACACTTTTCAACCAGACTTCTACAGAAGTCGGACCTCTCTTCCTCCTCTCTTCTTCTCTCAACCCACCTCAACACAACAGCATGCATCAAAGCATCGACGCTAGCATGTCTGGCAATATGGTAGACCCCGGTCTTCTCGACAAGATTGACAAGCTCTTCGCCTGCGGTGTCGGAGACCACATTCCTCTGCCACAGCTGGTCGTTGTCGGCGATCAATCAAGGTAAACGCACACATGCTCTCAACCTTCCTTTGTCTTCTTGCTGATTTGACCACACAGTGGCAAGTCGTCCGTCCTCGAGGGCATCACCAAGCTGCCCTTCCCAGAGACTCCGGCTTGTGCACCAGATTTGCTACGCAAATTACCTTCCGTCGTGCGCAGGCAACTAGCACTGTTGTCACAATCATCCCTCACAAGGGTGCCACACAAGCCTATGCTGATAAGCTGCGCGCTTTCAAGAGTGTAAGCAATGCTGTCCTTGAACCAGTCTCGTTCTCCAAGACCATGAAAGACGTGCACAAGCTCATGGGTCTTTCGGACTCTACTGAAGACAACGATGGCAAGTCCACCTTCTCCGAGGACGTCCTCAAGGTGGAAGTGACCGGGCCTGAGCAGGAGCATTTCTCTGTGGTTGATGTTCCAGGCATCTTCAGAACTGCCACAAAGGGTGTTACCACTCTAGCAGACGCGTCGATGGTCAAGTCGATGGTTCGCCGCTACATGGTCAACCCCCGCTCTGTCATGCTGGTTGTGATCCCTGCCAATGTCGACATTGCCACCCAGGAGATTCTCACTCTTGCAGAGGAAGCTGATCCTGACGGTCACCGCACACTGGGTGTTCTAACAAAGCCTGATCTTGTCGACCCTGGCGCTGAAGCCGGTGTGCTCCAGCTCGTCAAGGGCGAGAAACATCCTCTCAACCTTGGCTGGTGCATCGTGCGCAACCTTGGTCAGCAGCAGATTCAGGACACTGCTGTTGATAGATCGAGCATTGAAAAGGCATTCTTCCGCGACAGGACGCCTTGGAACGAGCTTGATCAAGACCGCGTTGGCGTTGATGCGTTGCGCAGCCGTCTCCAGGAAGTCCTCGCCAGCAACATTCGTCGCGAGTTTTCCAACGTAAAGCGCGAGGTTCTGACCAAGCTGAGTACCGCCAAGCGTAGCCTCAGAGAGCTTGGTGACAAGCGCCAGACGCCTGATGAACAACGTCGCTTTATCATGGACATCGCTTCTCGCTTTCGTGAAGTCGTCAGCTTGGCCCTCAATGGCAACTATTCGGGCAACAGATGGTTCGACCAAGAACCCGATCTGATGTATGTGACTGCAGTCGTCAACCGCAACGAACGCTTCGCCAACGATGTTGAGAAGCATGGTCATACGTAAGCATATCTATTGACAATACTTCCTCCTCGTGTGCTAAAGACAGTCACAATCTCATGACTGACCCTTTCTCGATCTCGAGGTAGAGGGTTATTTGAGCTGTCGAAATGCACAGTTGTAATTCGAATTCGAGTCTGGCCATGGAGATATCCTCTAGTAGGGTTCTCTCTGTGGAGACCACATTCTTTTCGATTTTATTGTGCATTTCTACAGCTAAATTGTGACAGTCTTCAGCACACGGGGAGGTAGTAGAAGTGAGATGTACTGACTGTGTCTTTTCCAGATATGCGTTCAAGTTCGACTATTCTGGAGAAACCTCCGAGAAGCAGGATGCCACCAGCAATGGTGGTCAGGGTCTTGTACTGCGCCACACCAAGGATATTGATGATCTTGAAGATTTGATCAGTGGCGACCGTCTGATTGACGACAAGGTCTGCAGCAACATCATTGAGTGGTTGTCTGAACTCTACAAGGGCAGTCGTGGCTTTGAACTAGGAACCTTTGACAAGAACTTGCTCTCTCGAACCATGAAGGCTCAATCAGCAAAGTGGGAGCCGCTCGCTCATGGCTACATTCTGGATGTCGTTCATCTGGCACATCGCTTTGTGACAACCCTTCTGAGACATGTCTGTCCCACTGCACGAGTCAGAGAAGGCATCATGTCAGTCCTCATGGAGCCCCTTCTCGACATCTACCGCCGTGCCCTCGAACAAGTCCAGTTCGTCCTGCGTGTTGAGCACAGCAACCCTCAGACGATCAACCATTACTTCAACGACAATTTGGAGAAGTCGTAAGTCATGCTGGATCACCCCATTCAGATGAGGAAACTATTGCTGACCTGTTATCACAGTCGTCAAAAGCGTCTCCGCGCGTCTCTCGAGAAGCATGCTACTGTTCAGACCAATAGCTTTGGCGTCCCCCGTAGCACGATTGCACTCGACGATATCGTGCAGAACCACCCTATGTCGAACGCTCAACACACCGTTTTTGAGGTTCACGACATCCTCAAGGCCTACTACAAGGTCGCCAGAAAGAGATTCGTCGACAACGTTTGCATGCAGGCTGCAGACTACTTGCTAGTCACCGGACCCAACAACCCGCTGAAGATTCTCTCGCCTCAATTCGTCAGCAGCTTGTCTGATGAGCAGCTAGAGGAGATTGCTGGTGAGGACATTGGCCTGAGAAGGAAACGCACTGCTCTCGCGAAGGAGGTCAAGGATATGGAGGTCGGCAAGAAGATTCTGGCAGGTGTCTGCTGAACAGACACTTCCGAAGATTCTCAAGTATCTGGAGGGATTGTCCTCACTGTTGATGAAAGATTAAGAACATGGTACAAGCAGGCTTAGAGGGTGCTGGACGGAGATGTCTTGCTTCTTCAGGTGTAGTAAGAGCATAGAAGATTTTCAATCAGCTTTTCGTGTTTTCGCTGAGCAATGGCATTGAATTCGAGTTCTACTCGTGCTTGTACTTGCAATGATGGCTGTATCTTTCAGCGTAAGCTGAAGCTGGGGACGATTTATTCTCGGTCCGATATCGCCAATGTCCCTTATCCGACCTTTAACCGAAGCCTGAATGAACTTGACGCGGTGCAGCGCTTTCTTTCTTTTGAACGCCCATCATGAGACATGATTACTTGCGACACTAAATCGTCCTCAACAGAGCTGGAAAATGACTTGTCAAAGTCGGAGGATACGGGTCACCCAAAGCGGCACGAGACGCACCACTCCGCCGAGCACACATCATCACATCGGATAGCGACATCTGCATGCACACCGGCCTGGTAGCCAACAAGGTCTGTAAGTCACGCCTTTGCTCTCAACAGCAGATGATTCCTGCAATGTGTGTCACTTAAGGAAGCCAAAACACCAGCTGTGATGCATGTAACGTGGCCAACGTATCTTGAAACATTTGCTTTCTTGGCAGCAGGTATATCCTTAAAAACCCAACCTAGGCCAGGTATATAGCCAATGCGGTCTCGCGTCTGGATGGGACGCTTTCGACCTTGCGGCATGTCTGCGACCGTCGGGCATGGCTGGTTCTACATGTCTCAATACCCCTCAGAAGCTTGAGGTCGGGATCCGTGTGTTACCCCTCATTCATGCAGACGGGCCCGGAGGTGAAGTTGTTTAATCTATACCTACGCTGCTGCATCTTCAGAGCATGCTTAGAACCCGAGTAAGCAATGCCAACACAAAGGGTTGAGCGGGACGATGATGATGATGGTTATAAGAAAACATACTTTCTTGAATGAGTAACCTCACGGTACCACACGATAGCTCTCAAAGCTGCGAATTGTTAGAGGTCGACAATATCATGCAAGAAGAGGTAAAGGCATCATCCCCTCTACGGAAACAAGCAGATGGCAAACAATTCTGGGCAAGTACGATCCTTGGCTGCTCTCGCGTATATCTCGGCTATTCCTGCCTGTTTCCGAGAACTACACCTTCCTCACTTTCATATGGCGTGTTTTCCGCTTGTCGTTGCTCTCTTCTTCTCATCTCGTAACTTTTTTTGTTTCCACACACCCAACATTCTGAATCTTCTGCTTCGTTAGCTATGGATTCAAGCGCATCTGAAGAAGATGAAAACTGTCTCTCCTGTAGAATCTGCAGATTCCAGGAAGGCCTTGGCCTTCCCACTCCAACCATCGCCGACCTTGACGATCTGCGCACTCAGTCACAGGCCTTCTCGATCAGTATCTTCAGACACTGGATCCTCCTGAACACGATACTCAAGCGTTTCGAGGCCCAGATCCAAAAGCGATGGACTAAGCGCAACAACCATCAAAGACTGGCAGTTCTGCTACAAGCCTGGCCACACATGGCAGCCACCCATCGCCCTGAATTCGCGACTCTGCGTAAGGTCAGCGTGAACAACAACAAGCGCCGTCCCAACCAAGCCAGAGAAAAGGAGGCTTATCTTTGGCCTTTCATCAACCAGGAGGATCTGGTTCAAGCTCACAACCTTCTGATCTTTCTCAACTCTCGCGGACGCCACCTTCCTGATAAGTTTGCTTTCGGCGATCAACACCAAGCAAGCATTGGCAAGCCATGTGGCACGACCGAAGTCGACAAATATAAGATGTCGCTCCACGGACAAAAGTCACCCAAAACTTATGGCTCGCTTATCCTTCGTGACGCAGGAGACAAGATCCAGCAACAATTGAGACTGGAGCCTGCTGCCGGCCTCCAAGTCCTCGAGGTACAGGAACGCATTCTTGATTTCCTCGTCAAATGTTGTCGACTCATCTTGCATGACATGGATCTTAATCAACTCAACCTTGTCGACACTAAGCCTGCCCCGCCCCAGATCAAGCCTACCTTGCCTGTACACACCGTCACTGCCATGGCTGAACTTGCGCCATATCGCTTGCCACAACAACTTGACCTGAAACGACTGAAAGTGCTTGTTTCGGCAAGGCGCGAGGAGGCCGAGGAGCACGTTTGGGCTTTACGTGAGGACCCTGGCTACTTCGCACAGATCATGAGAGATTGGTCAGAACATTCGCCATTTATGGTCCCTGACAAGTTCAAGAAAGTCCACGTCATGGTTGGCGAGCCTGCGTTCTGGGACAAAGTGGCCACCAAAATGATCTTCCACGCTTACAGCAGCTTAATCTTCTTCGCTACTGTTGAAGATGCTGTGAACAAGGCTCAAGAAAAGCTCGATGACTACAGTCACAAACTTGAGTCGTCGTCTAGCCTTCCATCGGAGATCGAGCAATGGTTCCAGAGACTGGATTATATCGTCCAAGTCGTGGCCGACAAGCCCCTGCGTGATCTGACGGTCGGGTTCCCTGCGTCACCACCCATGCGTTATGGTCATGAGCGATCAGCGTCTGACTTGAGCCCCACGTTTGACACACTGAAGATCAAGATGGGCAGATTGAGTGCAGGATGGAGGGTTCAGGTGCTCTTCAAAACTTTGCTCAGTCCTGAGCAGCAAAGAAAGGTACGTCAAAGCTCTCCTAGCGCTAGCCAAAATTCGACGCCCTCAGTACCACTGTCTGGGGGTTTCAGTGGACCGATCAGGAATTTGCAAACTATTCTGCATTGTGAACGCACGCAAGGGGGTATTGAGCCAGAGGGGGAGTTGAGCCAGAGGGGGAGTTGAGCCAGCCTTAAGCAATTAATTTGTGCAATCACGTGCCGTCATGCATTTGGCTCAACTCCTCCCCTGGCTCTTTACCCTCTTGCAAGCGTTACATCTCATCAAAGTGCTACTCAAGTTGGTGAGGACGTCGAGTTTTGGCCAGCGCTTGCTCTCTTCTTAATTCAAGACTTTGTACTAACAGCTTCAGCATGGCTTGAACAACACAGTCGAGGAGATTCAAAGAATGTTGGACGAGCACAGCAATGACAGCGATCTCATCTCTAGCTGGGTGGCCGACAGATTCTCCGACCTGGCACTCATGTCGGAAGCCAGACGACAGCTTGGCCTGTTCCAGCCATGGTGTATCGCTTGGCGAACCAAGTCTTTCATCGAGGAGGATGCTCCCTACTTCTTCAGCATGGTTGAATGTGTACACGAATTCACTTCGTGCGCTGTGCTTGATGCAGCCGATCCTGCGTTCTATGCATACCCTTCTGACAAACGCAGAACACGTGAAACTGTCGCACAAATGCGTCTCGCCGAAAAGCGTCTGGACAAATTCTGGGCTACGGTAGACAACCACTGCGAGGTGCACACATCCTACTCGACCCTCCGTCTTCTCATGGTAAGAACAAAAAATCGATCGTCAGAGTGTCAGTACTGATTTTTCTGAAGGACTTCTTCAACGATTGGAATCGAAAGATCCACAGAACCAAGCGTTGGGTCGAACCGAAGGAGATTGAATGCAGCCCCAGTCAGCAACTCGCAGATGACAAGGATGAGGAAACGTGAGTGGCTTTCCAGCAAACGAGTATGCAATACTGACCAATATCAGCGGCCTGCCTCTGCACGTATTCGATCCCAATGCACGCTGTGCTCACCCCAAGAAGAGTGAGCTGCTAGGAGGCACCACTCCACAGAAGGTCAAAGCCAAGACTAGACCGGATGGCTACACGCCCTCTCCTATGCAGGAAACACGCAGAGACTCGGCAACAAGCACCGATGACAAGAATGAGACTGAGGTGAAGAAGATCAAGGTTAACAAACGAGCTTTCAAGGTCTTTTCTACCATGTTCCACGTACCTTCGGCCACCGAGCAGCAGAACACTGGAGAAGTTGCCTGGTCTGAATTCTTGTATTCGATGAAGATGATCGGGTTCTCTGTCGAGAAGCTGTACGGATCTAGTTGGCAGTTTACGCCCGATACGATCGACTTGCAGCGAAGCATCCAGTTCCATGAACCCCACCCTCGTGCCAAGATGTGGTACTGGCTTTCAAAGGCATACGGTCGCAGATTGCACAGGTATGTGATGGCATATCAAGGACTAATGTTAGGCAATGTACTAATGATGATCATAGAGCCTATGGCTGGACTGGAGATACGTTTGATCTGGAGTAAATGGACAGGGGTCCAGCTGGTCAATGGAGAGCAGTGAGCATGGGTATGTTGAGCGAGTCATCGATGGGTGTGTGATCGTGGCAGAGCGGTGGCTTGTAGGCTGTGTAGACCCTTGGTGAGCTCGCATACCACAATGATTAGCCACGCATGGCACGTTCGTAATCATGGAATAAGAAGGCAACAGCTTAGATTAATGTTTACTTTGTCCCCGTGTGCTAAAAGATGTAACCTCCACTGTACTCTGACTACAGCTGAGAGCGAAAAAGCAGACTATAAAAAGGCACAATTGTGTTCGAAGTAGAGGCGTGTCCACAGAGAGCCGAGAAATTGCTGCTTCTCAGTGGAACTGTCTTGTTTTTCTATTACTATTGTGCATTTCTATAGCTACACGCGTTACATAATTCTGCACATGGGGAGGTTGCAAAAGGAAGGAAAGAAAGAAGAAGCAAAGGCTTGAAGACGACGATGTGATGCGTATACCGAAGGCTTGGCAGCCGGAAATAGGAGCACGGAGGAGGAAGGGGCTGACGCAGCGGCGGCAGCTGCGCCTTCCAATGATGATGGATCAGGAGGCCTGAACAAGAATATTTGGTCAAGGCATTCGCCGCTTGGGACGTCCTAAACATCGTATTGGATATCATGTTGGACGAAAACCTACCAGCCTTTTTCTATCGAAACTCGCCCGACGGCATAGCACATCACAAAGGGATCTTCTTCTCTATTCGCGGGTCCGATCCAAGCCCCGCATACAGCTTGAGGCACGGCGACCCCGCCACCTCGCGCAATTGTTATGCTGCCGGTCTGTTCGACTGTTACAATCCCGAAGTCTTATACGGAGAAGTCCTGATCAAGCCGGAATGGACTCACCCCTCGTTGTCGCAGGAGGAAATTCGACTTAATGGTGGTGTGCCACCTCCGCCAATGCCCATTCTGCCTACTCAGTTCACTGTGCAGTTGTACAATCCTGACCTACAAGTGACAGTGACACAGAAACCTGGGAGCTGGGGAGGTAGTGCATCGTATGAGTTCAGCTTGCCTCAGCTCGTCTTCCGCACACCATCGGCTTCGACTCTGGATCGGACTCAAGATGATCCTGGCGCGTCGTCGGTCACGCCCAAACTCAACTTTGTATGGCGCAAGGAAAGCAAGCTCTCCAAGGACCTAACAGCCTACATGACTGGCAAGTCTACTGATGAGGTTGTCAAGAAGAAGCACAGAGATCCAGACATCATCGTTGGTCTGTTCCGCGCTCTACGCGAGTTGACCGTGTACGAACCGAACCTCTATCGTGTCGAGCTGGAGGATCCCAAAGGTCTTGAGCTGGTCTTGCTATTGTCTGCCGCTGTCATCAAGGACCTTTACTTCTCCAGTGACGTCAACCAAATCTTCAATGTCTACGATCCTTGTCGTCTTGCCTCGCTGCCCGCTGCTGCCTCGCCTTCTCCTCTAGCCGCTAACGCCGACCGACGCAAGTCCCTGCCTCGCCTACGAACCAGCCCGCCTGTAGCTCNNCCCCCCTCTCAGCGTCCTCCACTCGCAGGCGTTGGTACCGCTTCCGCTCCTGATCCTCGAACACAATGGGAGCTCGATGCTGAAACCGCTCGCTTGCGTGCCCAAGTCGAGGCTGAAGAAAGAGAATTGAAAAGGCAAGAAGCCGCTCGCCGTCGGGAAAGAGAAAAGGCGGACGAAGCAGAGACTCGACGTTTACGCAAGATGGTGGAGGAAGAAGAGCGCGAGGCACGTCGTCGGCAAGAAGAGGTTGATCGTGAGACAGAAAGACTACGGAAACAATACCGTCTAAAGCCACCTTCGCCTGTTAGTAACCAACATAGACACTCTGCGCCTTCGTTGCCTATTCATCAGCAGCAACAAGCTGGACCTTCGCGCCCTGTGCCTGTGGCACCCAACTATGGCAGCAATGGGATGATCATGAGTGGAGGCAATCCGCATGTACCTCCTGCCGCTGGACCGACGAAGATGAAGAAGAAGAGCTTTTGGGGATTGCGGAGCAACAGCGATCAAAGCAATGCCAGCAATGGTAAACTCAGTAAGAAGAGCAGTGCCGTCTGGTGATGAAGCTGCATCAACTCACTCAAACCAATACATTGTACATACGCCACAATAAAGCGGGAAAAATCTCAGCTTAGGTTCAAACATCAAATCGACCTATATCACTGCAACTTATTTCTCGGCTATTGCGCTCTTCAAGTGAGCTCCTGGCCCCAATATGGACGGGATGGAAATAGACCATCAGAGCCGATGTTCCCTCACAGCTTTATCGACGTGACACGACGTGTAAAGTGTTCCACGTTGGGAACATATGTATGAAGACAGGATGCGGGCATTGGCAGGGCGAGTGTGCATATTGTATGTTACATACGACGGCCCCAAAGGCTTCTGCTTTTCGTCATTGCATCGGCTCTCTAGATTCATGTCGTACCAATACCATGATGCCTTCAGAAGTAAGGAAGAATCAATCATGCTTGTGGACGGACTGTTGAGGGCAGAGAATGAATATGCTTAACTCGAGATTCTATAGTGCAAGACAACCAGGATGGTTTTCGAGAGCTAGTACACCAGAGCTCGGTATGATGGATGGAGGTTTATACAACATATACCGATCTTGGATTTCAAATCCTGGTGCCCACTTTCCTATGAGTTGCCGTCAAAGAGTGATGCTGACCCCGCGTTACACTAGAAGACAGTTCGCAGGTGAGCAGACCTGATGAAAAATCTGGTTTCTTCACCGGTACAATGTAGTCCTCGTGAACCTCTAGTCGTTGTCAGAAATAACAAACGCGCATCTCCACTTGCTCTTCTAGGCAGAAAAGACCCCCTCCTGGCATTAGCAACACTTTTTCTTCTGTTTGCTACCCATGGCGGTTTTTTCAGGTAGAGGAAGATGCTTAGGAACGCCTTTCCAGAACCAGAGCGACGTCCGCCATTCCACGATTGAAAACATCGGGGCTGGAACCCATGAAGTCTAAGAAAGTAAATCGAAAGCGTTATGAGGCTGCGACATATCAAGCCTCAGTGATGTTCATGATTCCTAGCCCCAGATAGTGCTGAAGATGTGACTGTAATAGCTGCTTTGAATATGAGCAGGGCATATATCGCTGCTTTCCACATGTGCAACCAGACTTCCCATATCGCCAAAGATACGGTCACAGTCGCGACAAAAGTAGCGTTCGGAGCTTCTGTCATAATGTCTGGCAGCACATGATTCCGAGGGCGATACCATGGCCAGATGATGCAGTTGACGGTGTATGCTATCTTTATCGACATTGGGACAGTGGCCACCTTCTACGTGGCGGATCATGTCAGAGTAAGAACAATATATATTGTTGCAATGAAAGCAAGGGATGTCTGGATCGCGATGCACTTTCATATGCTGAAATGGACAGGAGTTAGCAATACTGCAGTCTTCGGGGCTTGTAGAGAGACATCAAACCTGATCCAGGGCATTGTCCTCAGGGAAGAACTCTCCACAATGGTGACAGCGGAAGTGTCTTTGATCCTGAGCTGTATCCTTGAAATGTTGTTCGTAAAGCTCTCGAGTTGGCGCCACCATCTCACATATCGGACATTTCAGTCCATTGAGAATCATATCCGGTCTTGGCTTGCAAACATGGGAAGTAAAGTCCCTTCGCGTAAGATAGCCGCCATCGCAGACATAACAGTAAAAGGCGTGTTGTGTCAGCGTCCCATGCTTGATTAGTTGTCCCCGGCACTCGAATCGCTTTCGACACAGTTCTGGGACGCAAACATAGTGCTTTCTCGCTAGATGCGTGTCTATCGCTCTTGCGGTGTTTTCCAGCCGCTCGTGGCAGATGTAACAAATGAAAATGATCGATGCACTGGAGTCCAGATGGTTTGTAGCACAAAGTGTTGAGGTAGACGTAAATATAAAGGGAAAGGGTCGACGCTGGCATTCCAGGTCAATGCAGACACGGTACGGAAGCCCCTAGCTATCTACCTAATCTATATTTCCGCCATATAACCTCCTAATGATATCTTGGAAATAAGTATCAGTAAGTTCCGCAGGACACGCACGACTATTCTCAACATGCGAGAATAATCCACCCAAGTTAGGAAATTCTCGGTCCGTACAGCATCGACAATAGTATAACTTTTGTCCAGGCTTAAAGCAATGGTTTCGTTTGAAGTAGCCCCACATCTTTGGAAGCATGGGAGACTGTGATTGCTTCATGTCCATGATGTAGCATTTGATCCTGTCTTGGGCTGTTGCTGTGCAGTGACCTCCTTCGACGTGATGGAGCATGTCGGAGTAGGAGTGGAATTTGAGGTCGCAGGTCGTACAGTTTACATTTCTGTGCATTTTCTTGTGCTGTTTTGGATGTTAGTCAGAGCTGTGTATTCGAGAGTGGTTTACTGTGCTTACCCGAGCGAGCTCGTCTGTATCGCCAAAGTGGTAATGACAATCCTCACAGCCAAAATCATCGGCGAAGTGCTCTATAAGTTTTGTGCGGGAAGGGAACCTTAGTGTGCATGACCTGCAAGTCGTGTGTTCAGGAGAAAGCTCCATCGTGTTGATATGATGAGATATCTCCATCCGCATATGCTGCCAATGCAGCACATAGGTTTCCTCATCCGGAGCAACCATCCGACAGACTTCACAAGTAACATCTTCCGATTTGCATTCGTGGTTCTCGAGCCGCCAGCGGTTGGGAAGCCCAAATCACAGACATGACAATAATAGCGGTGTTGTGTGATGATCCAGTGCCGAGCTTGTAGTTCTCTGGTCTTGAATTGTTGCTCGCATCTCTCGAGAGGGCAGATGAAGTGGATTTTCGACTCGTGTCTTGTACATAATTCTATGGTCTCAAAGGTTTCGTCGCAGTGATTGCAGTAGAAAGCGTACACACCACTTGACGCTTCTGAAGCCACACTTTCAGTAACCATATTTCCAGAGCAAGATCTTGCAAGGTGAAACTTTTTAGAAGAGATAGCAATTGATGAACTGAGATTTTCCTGGAGATCTGGTGTGTAAGACGAGTGACTGTCCCAAGACTGTTTTACAAAATTCTTCCGGAAGAGAAGTCGCGACTCGTCCGGTAATCAGACCCCCACACACATTGCTACGTGTATGACCCTGTCTACTGAGACAATCAATCGAAATCTGAATGCGAATTATAGCGCAACTCGGAATGAAATTCAAGAGCTTGCTTCTCGTTCAATCTCGGATCGCTCTGATTTCTGGAAGGTGCTGTCAAGCACCCGTACCTGCCTGATGAACCGTTGTTGGCAAAGAATAGAGGCAGATAAAACTGGTAGCAATAGTGTTCCTGCTACCTTTGAAAGATCCACAGGACGTGAGTAACTTCACTTCGCATTTCCCCCATACTTCGACCAAAACATGTAAACATTCCATCCACTGTAGAGTGCGCAAAACCTAGCTTAATATGATATAGTTTTCAAGGACGTCGCACTCAATCCCAATCCAGACCAATGCTGTAAAACCCGAGCCTAAAAAAACATCTCAAGAAATATAGCTCTCAGTTGAATACAACAATTTCTGAAAAAGTTCTTGCAGTTTGACAGGACCATGTCATTGAGGCTTCTTTCGAGATATATCCACATCCATTGATAGCAATGTTGCTGCTATTGAGAAGCAAACACCAGCAACCGAGGGAAGGTGTTCAGCTTCGAAACGTTGAACAAGAACAATCAAGTGTAGAAGTCACAGCACGACTGCCAAAAGATACTGCTACGTGAGTATTGATTGGGATGGATATAGCGAGAGCAAAAGAAGATTCCGAGACGGATAATATGATAAGATGCTGTTGTAGTTGTTGTGCCTGTTCTAATGTTCGGAATTGTCTAAAGGCAAGCCGGAAAAGCAGGAAAGGTCGGCGACGCCGAGAGTTGGAATTGGGCACACAAAAGATCAAAGCCGGGCAACGAAAAAAAAGAAAAGTTTTTTTGTTCTTCGACCAACAACCTCGAGCAACTCTGGACAAAATGCAAAGAGTATTCCGACACGGGGAATTGAACCCCGGCCTCCTCGGACCTAGTTGTTCTTTCGAACAGTATGAGAGCGAGAAATCCTAGCCACTAGACCATATCGGATTGATGTGAAGTGCTTGATAAATCACGAATATAGCGCCCAAACATATGTTTCTAACTCACACCACTGTCTTCGTAATCCTAGACACACAAGTCAATAACCTGACCCGCTCTGTCTCCTTTTATACTCAACCTCAGGCTTCAATCTAGCTTAGGACACTTGATTGTGCTCGGAGAGTAGTTCGCCTTCAGACAAACATCCAATGTTCACTGCTGCTTGTCTATGTAGATGATATTATAAAAATCATGCCTGACTACCTTACAAAATGGTCAGAACGGAGGACCAGGAAACCTGGATATAGAGGCAAGAGTGAATTTTCGAGTTTCCTCCAGACCGACCGAGGGGACGATAAGCTTTAAATTTGCACCGGCGCTGTTTCGGGCATTTCGGTGACTGGAAAAACCATTCTCTCTTCCTCCCAGCTTACTCCTAACAGCAAGAGTGAGTGCGAGAGCGCTGACAATTCGATGCATGGATTGGGCTCGTGAGGGAATGATTGGATATATATGATTTGACCACGAAATGCTCCAACAACCAATACCAGCTCAGCTGGCTCATCTTCATTGGTCTAGTGGTCATGATTTCCGCTTGTCAAGAGTAACATCTCGTCAAGCGCGGGAGACCAGGGTTCGATTCCCTGATGGAGAGCACATTCTTTTGTCCTTTTGCTATATGGCGATAGGAAGATCTTTTTAAAAAGTTGGAGCTCACGAAAAGCTTTAGCTTGATTTTTGCATGGTGACGGAATTGCATCTCCACGTAAGGCATACCGCCAGAGCATAAGGGTGGTGCCCAGTTTCGTGTATTAGACTACCACAGTACAGCTGTGGAAATGCACGATATCCTCTCCAAACAGAGGAAGATCGATTGAGAGATGAGACCTGAGGCTACTTCTATAGCCAAGTTTCTGGTTTGGTAAGCAACTGTGCATTGTGGTAGCCTGTATGGTCGCCATACATTGACGTGGAAGAGGGATCTGGTATAGCACCCTATGATCCCTGCAAGATGGCCTCATAGACGGGAACGAACAAACCACATCTACCATCAACAGTGCTCTGCGGCAACACAGTGACACCACTTCCTCTCACACTTCCAACATCCCCCAAAACGCCAAGATCCCAATCTCCTTGCTGTACAGTTCCATTCGAACCCATCAGAATCCCACCAAACAAGCCATCAGATGATGTAGAAAGAACAGCACCTCCAATACCAGTGCCTACAGCATTCCACCCTGGTCCGTTGGCTGGATTCTTTGCAAAAGTAGCCCAAGCACTACGCATAAAGCGACTCAAAGCATACTCCTGAGTTGTGACATTGGAAGCGGGGTATGTAGAAAACACGATAGGGATCTCTGAGGAGTGATAGACGCCTAGACCTGGATATTGTTGCGTGTTTGCGAATGAGGCGTTGAAGTAATATCGCCAGGTAGGGATGCCACTTGCAGCAGATGCGTTGGCCCAGAGAGCTTGGGANCTGGAAAAGCGATGTTAGTAATGATATAGTGAATGTTAGAATGGACTTACACATTGGAAGTAGTACTCTGTGAAGATCTGTGATATCACGTCATATGGTGTGTTCAATCCATCTACGCCGAGCGGATATGCTTCTTTGATAGCAGTCACGAGGGCAGGTGAGCTGCCGAAATATGTATCGAGAAAGGCTGTGATGTTGTTTTGCCCGACTTCGAAGACACTGTACAGTATAAGCAGAGGCAAATCAACAGTACAGCAGTAGATCCATACNCGTCCTTCCTGTGCATTCGTACCGCCCATAACAGGAATATTGGCAGTCTCTCCCAATACACGTCTTTGAGCAGGATTAGAGACAAGAGTGATATTGTCCGCAACGGGACTGAACGTAAGACTGTTAACATCGATGACACGTTGGATGTCAGTCGCACTTGCCGCTCTGACACAACTCAGGTTACTGCCAAAGTTGCCTGGACAGCCGAGCTCGGCAGTAAGATTGTACCATGCAGGAATGTTGCTAGTCCGTGGCGTAGGTCTGTAGCTGTACTGACCGCTCTGGAGTATAGCACCACGGAATGGCGGATTCGAACCCTTTGGAAAACTAGTGAGTAGTGCATCTACTGAAAATGCTCCAGCCGACTCTCCAAAGATCGTAACTTTAGAGGGGTCTCCTCCAAATGCGTGGATGTTGCGTTGTACCCATTCCAAAGCAAATCGCTGATCTAGGAAGCCGAGGTTATGTCCTGAAAGAGGCAACTCTGGAGAGCTTGGGAATCCGAATACGTTTGTTCTGTAGTTTGTAGAAACAACAATCACATTTTCGAATGCGGCAAAATGACTTCCATCATATGCGGGCTGTCCGGCATTACCGAACTCGAGAGACCCACCATAGATCCAGAACATAACGGCCAGTCCCTTACTGTTGTCGCTTTGTGTAGCAGGTGCATACACGTTCAGGTACAGACAATCTTCAGATTCCTGAGGCGGAGGGTTGTTGAATACTAGTTCAGTAAATTGTTGAGAAGCCAGAGGATCTGTGATCGGTCAGACGTGCTTGGTTAACTACGACATGGGTTTGATACATGTAAACTGTTGAATACATGCCGGTTTCCAAGTTGTAGCGTTGATGGTAGACATGTGAGGTGCTGCTCGTGGAGGGGAGAACCGCTCAGGTGGTGATTGAGCGAACGGTATGCCCAAGAACTTGTTGACCGTCGCACTTGCAGCTGGCAGGCTAGTCGTCGTTCCTATGATCAATCCATTCTCTACACGTGCTGTTGGACCTGTATGAGCAGAGCCCGAGATAGCCCTAACCAGGCCAGCAATTGAGAAAAGGAAGACGAGGGAGTACATGGCGGGTCAACCAATATGAAGGTGGATGACAGTGAAGAAGGAAAGCGATGAACGATACTGTACGACTCAAATATATAGCTTTTTGCCAAACCGGACAGGGATGCTTGATGAAAGCCTTACCGAGGATGTCTGAAAGAGCCCATGCCCTATATGGCCTTGACGGCACAGAACACTGAGGAGAAGCCGAGTGCGGCCCATAGGCTCTGTCTCAAAGATGTCATGGATTGTAGTGCTAGAGCGTGAGAAGGTTGTTGCTGTCACGATGGAAGCAATTGTGATGCTTCACCTATGCTTGAATAATAAGAGACCTCTTGTTTGAAGTAGATGGTAATTCTCATGATTCGTGTTGTCTCCTCATACAACATCGACACTACTACTCAGAGAGTTAGAGACCAAGAGCTGTCATGATGGTACTTTGTACATAGAACTGGGGTATTGCGGGGTATGCATTTCTTCCAAGGTCCTCGGTCCAACATCCACAAACCATATCATGAAATTACAAGAGACTAGAGGGCAAAATAGAACCGAACACTTACGATCAAGTATAACGTGCACAAAATGTTGATGGAGGGATTCAGATGTCGCAATCTCAGGTTCCGATTCTGGATTCCGTTACTATGCCGATTGGAGGACCGTCCATCGAGTCTCCCAACTCGACCATAGTTTTGTCATAGACTCTACTTGTTTGCATGTGCCAATCGTCGTCGTCTTCGATATCATCAACGTTGATGTCTTCAGGTTCGTCACCATCCAGAATCAGATCACCATCAGTATCAGTGTCTTCTGGCGAAGGTTCACGGTCGTCTTCGTCCTCATCGAACTCTCCTTTGTTCACGACTTCGACGACGCATACTCTTGTCCTTTCAACCAAGCTCTTGATACGGACCTTTTCGGTGCCGCTGACCCCACGACCTGTGTTGAAGCCAGGAAGCGTCTCATCGGTGGCAACATCTCTGCCTACGATCAACGAGGCAAAGGCATGGTCTAACTTGCCTAGCAGTCTGAACAGCGGGCGAGGAGCAAGTGGGAAGGCCGGGATCATCGTATTGACNAAAAGGGCGAGGTTGATCAGGTACGGGACCTGCAGAGCTGGAGTGCCGCTGATCCAGATGACAGCGACGAGCTCATCGACATCTTTNGCTGCTTCGCCAAAGCTGGAGTAACCTTGTACATCATTCCACTCGTCTGATTGTCGCAGTCTTGTCTCAGTGGCAGGATCGTTGAGCTGTTCAATCATCCTGCCTTCCTCGTCCATCTCTCGCACTCCCGCGCGTCCAAGTGAAGGATCTCTCTTCGCGAAGCGCCTTTGGATGTGAAGCAGTTGCTGGTCGACATGGCGAATCAATCTCGACTCCTTGGTACCACCAGGCTTGAGGGGTGTTTTTCGTGGTTGCGGCAGCGAGTTTGGCGTATTCGAGGACGCGACTGAGGACGGCGGCGGTGACAAAGGCACAAAGCCTCCAGCAAGATCCATGATTGCGTTTGACAGGAGCGGCAGCACGCGATCTTCAGTTATGCAGTTGTTATTGCCGCAAGTACGGACGTAAAAGTTCGTAAGAGGAAGGTGATGTCAAAGGTTAATGTTCAAGCCGCGCGACCCGCCGGAGTCGCTCGAAGCCGAGGAAGTTTTGGTCGTCGTTTCCAAGATGCAAGGTTGCCGCCAATCAAGGCAAGACGGACAAGCGTTCCTGCATCCACTCTTGACTGACACAAGCAAATTTATCTCGTACTCTGAACCCACCTTATCGTCTCAAAGCCTCTCACCTGCCCAAGACATTCTAGCTCGCCATTGATGTTCATCTATTTCCCCTCAAGATCCCCACCAATCTGTGTCCCTTGCAGTTTGTTCGCCTTCTCAACACGACGATCATTTCGCCATGAGGAAGTCTGTCATGCTACCATGTTTGCACATAAGTAGAGCCATGCATCCGTAGAAAACTATCTTGTCTCAGATCACCTTCTCCGTCCAGCTCCAACCTACAACATGAGTGCTGCAAAGCTGTTCTTGGTCGCTGGCTTGCTTGCCAGTGGTTCATATGCCTCGCCTATTCAAGCAAGAACTCCTTATGCTGTCAAAGATTCACACTTTGTGCCTTCCAAATGGAGACAGGTTGCTCCTGCCCCTTCGACTCACAACATTGATCTTCGTATTGCCGTAAAGCAAAACCAATTCGCCGAGTTGGAGAGTCATCTATACGAGGGTAAGTGATACCAACTCCACGATCTAGAGCACCAATTGCGTATAGCCATAACAATGCACAAGAGTATCGGGAGAGCTGGTACTACCAAGAAGAACTGAACCTTGATGGAGTCTTCTTGGCAGTATCTCTGGGTTCGGGATCAATTGTGCATTCTTAGAGCTATATCTGCTTGTGGAGGCTGCACTACCATTTATCAAGTATTGTTATGTCTGACCAAAAATACTAGTTTCTGACCCCGACCACTCGCGCTACGGCCGACACCTGAGCGAGCTTGACGTCAAGAAGCTTGTACAACCTGCCGAGGATTCATTGGCCTTGGTCCACGAGTGGCTGGCCGACAATGGCATCGAGACGAGTCATCTCTCTTACAGTGCCGCAAAGGACTGGATCAAGGTTTCCCTGCCTGTACACCGCATCGAAAGTCTGCTCGACACCAAGTACAGTGTCTACCGCCATGAGGATGGCTCAGAGACCGTTCGTACGCCAGAGTGGTCTCTTCCTGTCCACCTTCACGAGCACATTGACACTATCCAACCCACCAACTCGTTCTTCCGCAGCACGCCCAAGGCTGTGTCTCTTGAGGTCAACAAGGTTGGTGGCAGCTACTCCAAGGACGTCATGTATCACCAGGACCCCAATGTCACTTCGATCTGCCACACTCGTGGTGTCACCCCTCTGTGCATGAGAACCCTGTACGAGACAATCGACTACGTTCCCCAGTCCGCTGGCAAGAACAAGATGGCTCTTGCCAACTACCTTGGCGAGACCAACAACCGTTCCGACACTTATCTCTTCCTCGACAAGTTCCGTCCTGAGGCCAAGGAAGCAGCCTATACCTTCCAGTTCGATGTCATCAACAATGGTAGCACATCACAAGAGGTCGTACACACCAGCATTGATGTAGAAGGTGACCTTGATGTTGAGACCATGTTGGGAGTTGGCTGGCCCACTCCTCTAACTGCTTACGCTGTTGGTGGCTCTCCTCCATTCATTCCTTCTAACGGTACCACTACCGATACCAACGAGCCCTACCTCGACTGGCTCCAACACGTTCTTGCACAATCAGACGACACCCTGCCTCAGGTTGTCTCTACATCCTACGACGACGAGGAGCAAACCGTTCCTCCCTCCTACGCCAAGCGTGTCTGCGAAGACCTCGCTCAACTCGGTGCTCGTGGTGTATCCGTCTTCTACGCATCAGGCGACAGCGGAGTAGGCACTTCAGGCACCTGTACCGCCAACAACGGCAGCGGAGCCAAACGTTTCATCCCCGAGTTCCCTTCCACATGTCCCTACATCACTTCCGTGGGCGCAACCATGGACTTTAATCCTGAAGTAGTCGCTTACCACTCTTCTGGCTTTGCATCTGGCGGTGGTTTCTCTGATCTCTTCCCTCGTCCGGCATACCAAGATAAGGCTGTTAAGGCTTATCTCAAGACCCTGNGCGATAGAGATGCTGCATACTTTAATGCTAGCGGTAGAGCATATCCCGACATTTCCGCACAGGGAAGTTACTTCGCTACAGTGTGGAACGGAACCGAGACACTCGTGTCCGGCACCTCTGCTTCTACTCCATTGTTTGCTGCTATTATCGCTCTTGTCAATGACGCCCTAATCGCCAATGGCAAACCCACCCTTGGCTTCCTAAACCCCTGGCTTTACAAGAAAGGATACCGTGCCTTCACAGACATCACCAGCGGTTCAGCAGTTGGATGCTCTGAGATTGGCGATGGCAAAGGTTTCCCTGCTGTTAAAGGCTGGGACCCTGTCAGCGGATTCGGTGAGTTACCTCCACGACCTGTTTGTGCAATGTCATGCTAATCAATCTATCCTTCAGGTACCCCTAAGTTCAGAGACATTGTGCACCTTTTGGGCGCACACGGATTCTGGAATCATACCGGAGGCTTCAGCTAAACTTCCCAAGCTTCACAGGCTTTATGTTTGATATAAATGTCAATAACGATCCTAGAGTAGTATTTGTACAGCTATAAAAAGTCACCTAAACTTCCCTGTACAAAGATGTGGTCATATACAGTTTATGAATGCAGCATTGGTCTGCATCTCCAAGGGTAGTCACCTCTGTCTTTGGTCTATGCTCTTACTCAATTCATGCAACTTCGCCCTCCGCACGACAGTCAAACCACAACAGAAAGGAGGCGTGAGATTCGCAATATTCGCACCTTGGTGAGAATCCGAAGAGTCAAAAAGAGAAGCGAGAAGAAAAAAGCAAAATGAGCCACAGTATAATAAGTAGGCCAAATCGAATACAGACGTGTATGTCCAATGCTCTTAGTACGGTTGCAAAGTGACCTTGACGAGACGATACGAATGAAATCGGACAATGGGAGATATCAAAAGCTGATTGCGCTCTTTTCTGAAAAATTGGAAGGGGCTCCAGATCATACGCACAAAAGGGGAAATCTCAGATTGAGTAAATCAGAAAAACACAAATCCGCTATGCTTTGATATTGTGTTGTAGAATTCTCTTTCTTCTATTCATTGCTTTTGTATCGAAAAACAAAACTCCCAAGAGAACCAGAAAAACACCATTTCATTTCGTCTATGCAAAACAGAACCGTTCGAAAAAAGTCATGGGGGCGGGTTGTGGAGAGGAGGCTGGGACACTGATCGAAGGAACAGTGGGCGGAGTGTGAAGAGCATCGTCTGTGGGAGTGGCAGAACGGCTCATCGGAGGCGTGAGAGGAGGCGAAATCAGAGTGGGAGCAACTCTTCATGCGCTGGCCTCAATGGTACCGCGGACACCGGTCTTGGAACCGACCTCGCGGGCAATGACCTGGACTGAAAGGTCGGCGTTGACGTTGATCTGGACCTCGACCTTGCTGCCCTTCTTGACGTCCTTGACGGCGGCCTCGGCGATAACGTCACCGGCCTTCCAGATCTTCTCGCGGGTCTCCTCGGGCTCGTCGTCGCTGTCATCGTCAGAGTCCTCGTCGTCACCATTGGCCTCCTTGGGTGCGGGCTCCTCCTTGGTAACCTTGATCTCGCTGGTACCCTCGCAGAGCTTGACAAGAACGTCACCCTCGGCAGCGTTGAACTGGGCGGTGCGGCGGACGGGAACGGCGGTGTTGGCATCGATCAGAGTAACGAACTCGTCACCAACGAGAACACCAATGGCCTTGGCGAGGTGAGGGGCGACAGTGACGGCGGGGTGGGTGCTCTGCTCAACATCCTCCTTCTCGAACTCGCTGATCAAGCTGGCCTGGATGGCGGCACCACGGACGGTAAGCTCGCTGGGGTTAACGGCAGCGGGGTTGGTAGAGGGAGCGGTGATGGTGGAGTCGGCGAAGATGGACTGGAGGTTGCTGGCGATCTTGGGGGTGTGCGAACTACCACCGGAAAGGAGGATCTCGTTGATGTCGAGGTTGTCAAGACCAGCCTTTTGCACGGCAGACTCGATCAGGCGGTTGAAGGAGCCGAAGACCTTGCCGGCGAGGAGCTCGTATCTGGTACGGTTGATGGTCAAGCTGAAGTCAATACCGTCGACGAGCGACTCAATGCTGAAGGCAGCGGAGGCACCGAGGGACAAGGCCTTCTTGACGGCCTCAGCCTCAAGCTTCAGCTTGGCGAGCGAACGGTCGTTGGTACGGGGGTCGGTCTTGTTCTTCTTCATGAACTCCTTTGCGGCGTAGTCGATCAGGGCTTGGTCGAGCTGAGCACCACCAAGCTCATAGTCGTGGGCGGTGGCCAAGACGGTGTACATACCACCGCGCGAGGCAACAACGGCAATGTCGGTACGGGTACCACCAATGTCAGCAACAACGACGTTCTTGTCTTCGGTCGAGTTCTCGTTGATCTTGGCATCGTGTGCAAGGAGAGCAGCGACGGGCTCGGGGATGTATTGGATAACCTCAAGACCGGCCTCGGTGGCGGCCTTGTTCAGGGCATCCTTCTGAGCATCGGTGAAGTCTGAGGGAATGGTGATGATGGCAGCGTTGACCTTCTTGCCCAGGTAGTCGGTAGCGGAAGAAGCGAGACGGCGGAGGTGACGGGTGGTGATCTCGTGGATTGTGCGGGTGTTTTGGGCATCGGCCTCGGTGTCCTTGATCTGGAAAGCAATGGTGTTCTCGGCGTCGACGGGGTGAGCAGAGGCGTGGCAGTTGGTGGGGTCTATCGACTTGAAGTCCTTGCCGAGGAAGTCTCTGAAGTATGCGACGGTGTTCTTGGGGTTGCGGACGAGTTGCGACTTGGCCTCGGTACCCTGGAACTCCNNCTCACCGTCGACGTATGAGAGGACGGTAGGGATCTGACGGTCACCGAGCTCGTTGGCAATGACCTCGACCTTGGCCTCGCCCGAGGTGTAGGCAATGGAGCTGTACGAGTTACCAAAGGAGATACCAATGGCAACCTTGGGGGCGGTCTCGCCTTCGGAGCTCATTTTGAATGTGATGTGTGGGTGAAGCGGCTGAAAAGACTGGTATTGAAGATTGTCGCAAATGGGGATAGAAGCGCGACAGGACAAGGGTGGATTGATTGAGTGCTTGTTCTTCTGGAGGGGACTTTGCGCTCCAGACTTTCTTGACCTCGAACAAATTTCTAGCCGACGTTAACCCGGCGCTGCATCACCCAGACCAGCCCTTCGTCATTGCCGCAGATTTCAGAAAACCAATTCAATCATGTCGTCGACCGTCATTGTCCTGCCCGGCCAGGAGCTGTCGCCAGACCAGCTGCCTTCTCAGAACACGACCCGCACATTGACTCTTGGTCCCGGTCTGCGACACATCCCGCCCGTCACCATTGTCGCAACTCAAGCTGGAGAACTATGTACCGACTCAAAGAAGAATGCCATCTGGATTGAGAATCTCGGAGGTCGCTACCTACCTCACACCGGAGATCTTGTTGTTGCCATGGTCCAACGCTCCTCCACCGATACATACCACTGTACCTTGACGCCGCATACTCCATCCGTCCTGCTCGGTCAGCTCGCTTTCGAAGGCGCCACCAAGAAGACAAGACCCCAACTCAACCCCGGAGCTCTCGTATACGCTCGCGTCTCAAAAGCCGACAAGTGGAGTGATGTCGAGATCGAATGTGTCAACCCTGCTACCGGAAAGTCTGACGGTCTTGGTCCACTAAAGGCTGGCATGCTGTTCGACGTCTCGCCCGCATTCGCGCGTCGCTTAATGATGGGTGCCGGAAAGGGTGGTGTTGTGCTGCTTGAAGAGATTGGCGAGAAGGTCAGATTCGAGGTTGCTGTTGGCAGAAACGGANAGGTCTGGGTCGACAGCTCAACCATCGCAGAGACTGTCGCCATTGGAAGATGCTTGACCGAGACCGACGAGAAGGACTTGGACGTTCAAGCACAGAAGAAGCTCGTCAACAAGATGGTCAAGACTGTCTGAGTATCGAAACTCAACTGAGAAGATAAGACCATAATACCGCCTGCACTCCGCAAGCAGCAGCGCCGCATACAGCTTCTTGCCTGCTAGAGAGAGGGATATTCTCAAGCAAGCGTAGAAGAAGCACATATCTCAAGCTGCACAGGAAGAAGAGCCGAGTTTCCACGTCGAGGGGGCTCGAGCTGTGGAGGATCAATCTAGGCCATGCTCATATCGTCCGTCTCTACAAGAGCACGAGACACCTCTTGGAGCAACAGCTCAGACCAACTCAGGTCAAAATGGGGTCGAGGAATGGCAATCAGAGACAGGAAACTCTGATGCAGCAAAATGACATCCGAGCAGGTACCACTAGCTGACGAATAATTATCAATACATTCATGCCATTCGTGTATCATATCTCAATTGCTTCATTCATCTTTCTGTGAACCATCTTGCCAAGAATCACAAGCCAAACTCGAAGCTTCAGAAAAAGTCCGCGACCAACGTCACCGTTCGAGCCCCCACCTTGCCCAGCATAGCACTTGAGAAGTCACTGTTTAGGTCCGATATCACAACCATATCAACACTGCCATCATCCTTGTGGGATTGTCTCAGCAACAATGAGCACACGCAATCGCACTCCGCCGCTCTTGGAACCCTACCTCCGTCTACCCTCCGAAGGATCACAGCTCCTGCTAACCGGCGTCCTCGACTCGTCTCCCCAATGGCTCGTCACCCGCCTGCTCCGTAGCGCATTTACATCGTCCTCAGAAACAGAAGCATCAGAAGAGCAGGATGTGACTGTTGTCTTGGTATCTTGGTTACGCGACTTTGAGTTCTGGAAGAGCGAGGCTAGAAGAGGCGCTGTAAGACTTCGCATATCGTTCGAGAGATACAAAAGGAGGGAGAGATACTGATGTTTAAGGCTGGATATAGNNGGAGTTGATCTTGCACGTCTGGCACAGCAGGATAAATTCGTTTTTGTGGATGGGTTGACGCATTTGTTTCCTGTTGCGACAGCGAATACTGCGACTGCAACATCGACGATACCTGCTCCAACAGCACAGAGAACACTGCCTGTGAGGAACACACCTGCGTCGCCATTGCCGAGTCGAGGTGGACCGTTACCGGCTCGAGGCCCTATACCTTCTCGAGGACCACCAGCTGCCGTTCCTTCANCAACCACAAATCCAACAAACCCAACAACCACAAACCCCTCCCAGCCAACCATCGAAAACAACATACCTCAAAGAAGCCTCGATAGCTTCGACCCACAAAGCCCTCTCCTCACTCCTATCTTCCCTGCAACCTACCCACCCGACCCGAAAAATCCACTTAATCCTCGACTCACCAACCACTCTCCTCTCAACCTCCAGCACTCCCTCCGCCTCCTCCCTCTCTTCCCTTTTACTATCCCTGCACTCTTTGGTGTCANNACAACAACTCTAATCCTCGAAGCCGACTTCCCTTTTGTATCTGCAGCACTGCCGGACATAAACCACAACCCTACACCGTTAGAGGCTGCTCATGCAGCCTTTGTGGTTCAGCAAGCACATATCAGTAAATGGGTTTGCAGTCTGCGACCACTGGATACGGGAAAAGCTAGGGATGTTAGTGGTGTGGTAAGGGTGAGTAGAGGTGGTGCTTGGGATGATGATGTTGAGGAAGGAGATACAAAAGAGCCAGAGAGGAAAGAGTTGGAGGCTTTGTATTTTGTGCAGAATGATGGTGGGGTTAGAGTGTTTGAGAGAGGCGAGGCTAGTGTTGGTTGAGAGACTCATGAAGAACGAGAAACTGGGTTCTGCTACTAATTTACAAATCTTCGAGTGGATACCTACGATGTCATGGCCATCAAACGATCGAACGCATCCTCGACCTCCTCTACTTCTTCTTCGTTCATTGCTCCCTCTTCCATGAGCTCTTCCTCCTTTGCTGCCTCTTCTTCCTTTGGTGTTTCTTCCGAGACTCCTTCTTCCTCTTCAGACTCGTCGGGCGTGAATGCCACCTCTGCAGCTTCCTCCTCTGCACCTTCCTCATCTGCAGCTTGCTCCTTTGCATCTTCGTACTCGGAGACTCCTCCCTTCACTTCTTCCTCCACGATTTCGCCAATCTCAAGCATCTTCTCTTCAGGGGTTTCTGTTGCATCCACTTCCGTTATGTTCTCTTCAGTTTCGTTGACACCTGCGACATCAAAAGCAGTCTTTTCGACGCGACCACCCACAGCATTCTCAGGCTTCCATTCCGCGAGAGGCTCGAGCTTGATACTATGCAGCTCAGTCTTGTAGCTGGACTTGACGACCGGTGCTGTACGTCTGACTCCACCATTGGCAGCAAATGCAGTCTGCAATGCTGAAGGTCCCGACTGTCTGGTGGCAATCTTGCCCAGCTCTCTGCTGAAGATCCAAGGGTATGTGATGAGAGGTGCGCCTTTTGTGTCTTCTTCGATCGACACCAACTTGCTCTCNTTCCATTTGATCACCTCTTGTTCTGTGACGGCGTACATGGCGGCCACGAAGGGTGCAAGGATGTTAAAAGCCTTCTCAGAAACCAAGTAACCAGAATCGACAAGTCCGAGATACTCTCTGACCTGAGCTTGGTAATCTGCCCTGATGCTGTTCATGACATTCCCGAGATCCTCTGCTAATGAATACCAGTGCTGCTCTCTGTTGTGGTTCATGACGAAGGCCGTCCAGATCTCGAACTCGGTGTCGATATTGTGCTGGACCATAATACGACGCATCTGCTGGTCGTACCCGCGCTTGATCTCTCGTGCCTTCTCTAGATGCGAGTCGCTCAAGGTGTATGCATCGAGGATACGCCTGTCGAACGGCTTCTCGAGGTGGGGCACAAATGGCTGGGGTTGTACCATGTCGTACAGAACTCCTATCACCTCTGAGGAGATGTACTGTCTCGACTTGGGTTTTCCTGGCATCCAATGGGGCCATTCTCTCGGCACGAGCCCTTGATCCACCTTAGCCGGAACACCTGTCTTGTTGAGGTCGACAGCTTGAGAGTGGAGCTGAGCCAGCCTTTCACAATTAGGATGCGCAACGCCCTTACCTGACCCTTCTCTGTCAGCTATGGCGCGATGGGCGGTGGCAATTGCACCAAGATTGTCATTCTTGATGTAGTCGATGAAGAACTTGACGAAATGCTCATCTTGCACAGGTCCGGCACACATGACAGGTACGGGTGGTTCGTAGTTCATGGGCTCGTAATTCCACTGCTTGACTGGTGGCAGCAGATCAGGGTCCCACATGACAAGATAATCATCGCCATCTAGATCTCCACCAGAGCACATGTTGGCAAGCGGTCGTTCTCCTTGCTGTGGCAGGACAACAACATTCTTGAGATGTTTCAGAGCCTCACACTGGACAGCTCGGACAACGCGGATATCACCAGCATGTAAGGATGGGTTGCGTGCAAGTAAGCATATACCTTGCGCAGTCTTCCATTCGCCTTCCTTCTCTCCGGGTACCTGAATGAAAATTTCAGGAAGTTCGCCAGGATCCATCTTGAGCGTGTTAGTCTCATCGACACATCCAAGCACAAATGCGCCCTTCTCGACGAACAGCTTGGCCTTTTCTTTGAGATGCTTCAAACTCCAGGTACGCCAAAGCTGCAGGAGGATCTGGCACATAGGTTCGTTGGCTTCCATGAATCCGTCAAGTATCATGCCCGACATGGTCAAGGTGATGTGATTGAAGTCGACGTTCTTCTGAAGCATTTCCAAAGCTGTAGCACCATCGTCCATGGCGAGGTCGATATCGTGAAGTTCTTTGGCCATCTTGTCGACAAAGATTTGCTTTGAAACTCCTCGAGTAGTGAGAACGAGAATGATCTGTTGGTTGAGTGTTGAGGAAGAAAACTTTGAAGGCTTGATGATTTCGAGCTTGTCATGACCTGCTGCATCGAATTTGCGCTGGCTAGGTCTGACCTGGACCGTTCTTCCCTTCAAAGCAGGATCTACCACAAGAATCCCCTTGAAGCCACGCATACGGAATTGGAAGGCGGATGGATGTTCATCGGGACCAGAATTGGTGTACAACTCGTTGGCTACCATCTGGGCGACGAATTTGGAAATCTTACCAACACCATCGGTGAAGCAGTAGCCGTTCCTCTCGATATCCTTGATCTGCGTGCTGTTAACATTGCCGATATTTGTAGAAGCTCTAGTCGTTGAGAAACATTGGCCAATGCGAGCCATGCACTTCGCAACAATATTGATACTGGAGAAGTCTCCCAGTGACATGCGGATGTTGCGGGCAGTCTTCTCCTCGCTGTAGGGTGCGAAGAAGTAAGCACCCCTCTCACGGAATTGCGAGTTTCCACATGCAAGCCAGTCGTAGTGGCGGCCGGCGATGTCAATGCCATGACGAAGACAACGCTCTATGCGAGCCCACACCTCATGCTGGTTTTCATAGTGCGGCATTGGCATAAGACGCCCAAAAGGATCCTCGTCTTCGAACCTGACACGTAAGAAGTTTCCTGCAGCGTAGAAGTTGTCCCTGACGACACGATTCGACACCTCCACCGACGGTGTCTTGACGTAGAAAGTGGTAGGTGTGATGATTGCTCTCCTCATCAAAACACAACCCTTGGGGATTCGATGCTTTCGTGGATGGCGAAGTTCATAAGTGCTGAAAATCTCCATTGGGTCAAAGAATGTCCGCTTGGAGTCCGCAACGTTTTCCAGAAGGGCAAGAGCTGGTGAGATAATTGAAGGGTTATTGGAGTCACGAACGAAGTCTTTGTCCAAGGCACTGAGTTCAAATAGAAACTCTCTGCTCAAGGTGTGATCAACAATGTTGTTGTTCGAGATACAGACCTCAAGCTGGTAGCGAATCTCTTGACCAAGGTGCATCATCTCGTCTTGCATCTCATGAAGATCTGATTCGTGGGAAGCTTGGTGTGGGTCGAGTAAATTCCACACGACTGGGTCTTGTCGTGGTACAGTGTCGAATTCAGCGGAGGTGCACTTCTTGACAGCTGCATTGTGATCTTCCAGAATCTCGACAATCGTGCCATATGCAAGATCATCTATCTTGGCCGGAAACTCCAGCTTCCATGTCAGCCAACGACCTGTGTCGACGACTGGACTGGGAGGTAGGAAAGCCACTGGACTGAGATCACGCTCTTCCGGATTCAAATCTATGTCTGTAACACGACGCCAACCTCTAGGAAAGTCTTGAAAGTTCTGAGGCTCGGGGCTGTCTTCGTAAACTTCATCAAGGAGGCTGCCTCCCACACTCTGCCACCATTTTGGTGGAAATTGAGAAGTTATGATCATCTCTCTGCGGCCATCTTCATGACGAATTTGCTTAATCTGAAGAGGTGTGCTGAGACGAAGTTCAGCCTGGTACCAAGGTGCATCAACTTCAGCTGTAATGAANAAGCGGAAGTCTAGTGCATGTCTTGCATCGGAGGACAAATCAAGCACGACCACGGCTGGGTGATCAATGGTGCTTGATATCGTGTGCATGACCATCATACGACGCTCATCAGTCATGGTACCGAACTCGATCTGGTTGACTGGAAGCGTGATTTTCTGAGCGATAGTCTTTGCGGTGTTTGCTGGGGATCGAATCAATCTTGGCCTGTATACACGGCTTGTGACAAATAGCCTTGTTCCGCCGACGTGCAGAGGCTCGCTGAAGATCTTAGAGCGAACGAAGGACATGAGAGCCGAAGCTTTNTTGGTTCCATCGTGACAGTTGATGCAAGATACATGTCCATATCTGATAAGGATGCGGTGAATCTCGAGGGCACTGTGATAGGCGAATGGGATATTATCGAGGTCAATCCAGGTCGGCTGCCAGGGCTCGGACTTGCGGAAGGAGGCGCCACGGTTATTATTGTTGAATCTGGTCGTCTGCGGTGGACCACGTTGGCGATTGTCGTTAGATGTGGATCTCTGGAAGGAAGATCGCTGTGAGTTGGCGCTGTATCTGGGCTTCTGCGTCGAAGGACGTTGACCATTGATGACAGGAGGAAGAGCTTGTTGACCATTGGTCGCAGGAGAAAGAGCTTGTTCACGGGTAGGTGAAGCAGAAGCTGGAGAGTTAGGAGGGCGAGGTTGTGGGAGATAGCGATGAGGGCCTTGCTTGCGCTGGCGCTCCTTATCCAATTGGTGGTTCTCCATGGGTGTGAGGATGAATAGTACAGGCCAAGGTTATAAAGGATGTGACTTGCAGAAGCAAAGATCGTGTGTGAGATGGAGTAAAGAGTGCAGCTGCTTAACTCTGACGTGCGAACCGCGAGTGAGAGAAGGTGCAATGAAGCTCAGTGCGTCAACTTCTGGAAGGAAGAGAGCGGTAAAGCACAAACACAGGACAAACAGAGAACGAGAAACCGACACCTTGGAGTGAAGATATGCCTGCCGCTTTCACCGCGTGGTCCCTGCCTTAGCACTGACAGGCTCAATGTATCAGAAGCGGTAGTCTGAGTGGTGTTTGTGGTAGTCGGATTGCATGTTTGATTGCGGCGCAAAGCGTGCAGTCGGCATGCCGACTGATAAGCAGTACTCATTCTTGCTATCATCACTCGAATTGTATATTGAGGCCGACCACACAATAAGCTGGTAAAGCGCCAATCTAGTCATTGTTTGCTGCTGTTTTCAGCTATGTTTTGGGTTGAAGAGCAAGAAAACATCTGCCCCGCAGGTTGGTCTTCTCCCCTGCATGTGGGACCATGCATCATGCCATGCATCTACCCTGATTTGACGGCACTTGAGCCGCACAGGCACATGTCATCTTTTTGAACATCAAGCTCCATTGAAGAATAAGAAAACAAAACTTCGTTGGGTATCCAGAACTCATATGCAATGACTATGCCCAAACTAAACATCTGTGGTACTTGCATCCAGACCATCCTCTGGCTTATCACCCAAACCAACGCCTGGAGTGCCCGTCATTATATGGTCTGCAGAAAATGACCAATCTTCAAGTTCCCGCCTTTCGGCAGTGTTGATTCCGAACCCATGGTTTTGGACATCGTGGAATGCAACTTTGCTCGGCGATCTGGCTCGTACAGGTGATCGATTGGTCGGCATGTCTTGCAGAGGCTGTCTCTTAATAGCACTCTTTGTTCGCATCATAGCTCTTGCAGACCTTGGTGCGATGCTCGTTCTCTTCTCCTGTGTACTTGCCGGTCTCAATGACGGACGAGGCCTTGCGCGCTTTGGGGTAGGTCCATTATCTGCCGAGGCGTCAGACATAAACGTACTATTTGGTCCTTCGTCTTCATGCTCGTCATCAGAATGCTGTGCGCCAGGCGCAGGTGTGAAGGGGACTTGTGATGGTAAGGCGGTTCGTGGTGTGGATGAATTGGTAGAGGCAGATCGCACAGGCAGTACTGACGACCTTGCTACAGGCTCTTGAGGCGGAGCCATCATGCCACCAAGTCCCATGGCGTTCATTAGTCTGTTTCTCATCTCCTGCGCTTCAAGCACTTGGGCGTCCTTCTTTGTGCAGTCCTTTGTCAAGCGCTCGATTCGCTTGCGAAGATCTGCAGTCTTTGCNTTATTTGCTTCGTGCTGTTGCTGGAAGCCGTCTTCTGCCTCGGCAAGATCCTGTCGAGCTTCTTCCAGTTGCTCTTCAAGATGGTTCTTCATGCTCATCCATTCTTGCTTTGCTCTTGACATGGCATCCTCGAAGGCTGTAGCAGTCTTCCTAGCTTCAACCTCCGAGTTCTGTTTGGTAGCCCGGATCTCAGTCAGCAGGTTCTCATGCTGCAGCTGACGTTCCTTGATATCTTGTTGAAGCTTGAGAATATCTTGCTCCAGCAAACTATGACCTTCAAGCAGTGTCGCTCGTTCTTCCTCAATTTGTGAAATCTTGTTTCGACTCTCCTGAAGCTGTTGTTCAAGATGTCCCTTTTCAGATTGCAAATTCTCATACTCAGTATTGTCATGCTTTCTCGACTCCATCGTGTTGTTCAGTTCGGAACGCAAGTCCTCGACTTCCAGTCTGGCCTGGTGGAGTTGTTCACGTATCTGCTCGAATGCCTCTTGCTTACAGGCAATATTGGTAGCATGCTGTACTTCCAGATCTTGCCTTTCGTGCTTGAGCTGATCGATGTCTCGCTGTGCATTGTGGTTGGCTTCTTGAAGCTCCCGAGTAATCGTGTCAATTCGCTGTAGCAGATCTCGTGTTTCTTGGGAAGAAGCTGCCAGGTCATTCTCGTGACGATCATTTTCTGCTTCGAGGGCGTTGATGCGCAGATCCCTATCCATTACCTGGCCCTCAAGCTCTCCGTATGCTTTGTTCAAGTCTGCATATCGCTTCTCCAGACTTGCGAACTTTTGACGCTCTAACCTCAGCGGCTCCTCGACACTCTCGCATCGGGCCTCTAAGTCGTGACAAATGTTGATGAAAGAGGCTACCAAAGACGTCTCTTGATACTTGGCATGGGTCTGCATCACTGCACTGAGACGCTCTTTCCAGTGTAGACTTGCATCTTGTGACTCGGGTGTAGCTTCGATTTCAACAAACGGCGTCGGACGTTGCGGTGCTTTGAGTCTTGTTTGCACACATATGGGACAGACTGACTTGCTTGACTCAGCAACTCCGTGATGTCGAAGAATCTCAGGCAGCAGTCGGCGTATGGAAGAAGTCTCTTCTTGCGACGCAGCTAAAGATGCACGAAGCAATAGAGAGCAAAGCGAAGATTTGAGCTTGTTCTTCGAGGACGTGTATGCAGCAACACAGAACTTGTTTGTGCCTAGACCCGTGTCGATTTCAGGAAACGCATTCAGATTGGCAAAGAAATGCTCCAGCTTCTGGTGATTGTGACTAGAATGCAGAGCTGCAAGTATGCCACGACGACAAAATTCGTTGTCTTCGACCATGTCAGCGATGTGGTCGAGAAACAAGATATAGCTATTGGCTGAGTTGAACAATAGAGTCGGTGGTGATTCTATCAACAAGCTTATGACCTTGTCTAGAAGTTCTTCCCACCACTCAGGCTTGAACTTCGATGACAAACGACAAAGTGATAGTCGCAGTGACACGTCCAAGTACTCGTGTTTGAGGAAAGCAGCACTCAAGTCTAGCAACGATCTCTCGTAGAAAAGCGTTGCTTGAGACGGTAGCATGTTTTTATCAGACAGTGAGCTCAAGAAGGTAAGGACCTGGAAACGAAGAGCAGGAAGCATGTCAGGCACGAGACACTTCTCTTGCAACTTTCGTACGATGACTGCATTCTTTTGAGACCAATCGATGACTGCTGATTGGGATACCCCAGCTAGGATCTGGTTGACAAGAGTGACGCTAGTAAGGCCTTGTCCAGTTGGATCCGCTGATTCTGGTCTGCAAGCCCAGATGACTCGTAAGACCAGCAGCTGCATTGTCTTGTGAGTCTTGTTGCCATGAAAGAATTGCTTGATGGCTTCGGGTGTCCATTGCGAGTTGGAAGAATCGACAGAGTGGTCAAGAGTGGGCCACATGTCGTCGTTTCCAACCTCTGTCTGGAACTTTTCAAGAATCATTCTCATGATTGCTAGACAATACATGCCCAAGGACTGATCCTCGACACCAGAAGAGCTTTTGAGAATGGAGAAGATGTACTCTTCCAGGTGGGCCAGAACACCTGGAGAGAGGACCCCAAGAATAGGCTTGCAAGCTCCGTACACTAGTCGGTGTATCTTTTGAACAGTGGCAGCATCAGGCTGGGTAGCAGCACGGTCGAAGAGCTGAAGCAGGAAGTTCTGCGCAGTTGCTGGCAAAGCTACATCTGAAGGCAGAGGGTGAGATAGGAGGGCTACGGCAGCGTCCACATACTATGATCGAGTCAGNCGGAATCAGCACAAGTCCATGTTATATCTCATTCTCACCTTTCTGCTCTCAACTCGAGATTCTAAAGCATGCGTTAGGAGACGAGGCAATAGTGAGGGCTCTCTTTGCACGAGGGCATTTCTGACATCGACAGCACAAGACAGGCGAGTTATGATTTCTAAGACGTATGGCCATTGTGATAGTGCATCTATAAGAGCCTGACTCAAGGAAGAAATGCGACAGTGATAGCAAGAGGCCCAAAGACATATATTTGCTTCGGACGTCTGAGAAACGATATCATGGAGGGACTACAGCAAGGAAGGATAATCAGTATTACAAAAGACAGCAGTGGCGATGTCACCAACCTTTAGTTGGGTAGGATACGGAGTAAAGACTACTCGATCGACCTCTGCGGCGAGGGTATCCATTATGCTACAGGTCTTGGTGGAGTCGCATGCTCGACTAAACAATGCATGCACTTAATTCGAGAAGCAAAACAAACACGCCGCGCCGCTGGTTGACGCGCATCGGACGAGGATCGACTTTCCACGCTGTCACATGACGGACCAATTTCGGCATCGCGTGAGCTTGACCCGAGTAGCCTCTCAAAGTCTCAGCTCTCCTTCAAGTCTGTCATCTCTCATCATCAGGTTGATGGATTGCAAACACAACCATCTCCACTTCAATTCGTTTTGATCACCATATTCATACCTCAACAATGGCGTGTTCAGGGCATAAGGGCATGATGCCGAAGACGCAACACAACCCGCATCAATTGGCGAGAGTGGGGATATGTGGTGGAGAAGCGGGGCTGTCAATCCAGCCTTGACGAAAGTGCCATTGACAAGAGCCGAGCTATTTATGGCCTAGACAATACAAGACGCTCCTGTCCTCTTTTCTAGGATTGGTCTCCCTACTGCTCTTCTCTCGCTCTAACCAGTCCAACAACCATGGCACAGCAGAATGGCCCTTCGGGCGAATACCGAAAGCACCTCCCGGATCTCAATGTGCCACGCTTCCAGATGATGAAGCAGCAGAATGCACATGAGTATGCACACGAGTTCAAGACCAAGCACAATCCACCATGGCTTCATGCCTTGTATATGTACTGGCGTTCGTTGCTAGCTGAACCCTTCAAAGGTGTCACCAGCGATGGTAAGCTAATCAATAAGACTCACACTGCTCTTACTGACCATGTTCCCACAGGCATTGTCCGAGAAGGCCTCTTCAAATACGAAGACGAAGGCGTCGATATTGAAAGCATTGTCGACGCCGCTCAATCCCTCCTCTCCCAAGTCACCGACGAGCAAAAACAAGCCCTCAGCTACCACATCGACAGCCCCGAATGGCGGACCTGGTCAAACCCTGAATTCCTCCNNCTCGCCCACAAGGGCGTCCGTCTCGACGAACAAACAGACCAAGTCCGTGATTCCATCCTCGCCGTTCTCAAAGCCACCTTGTCACCCGAAGGCTACCAANAAGCAATCTCCGCCATGCGCATCAATGGCTTCCTCGGCGAACTCGTCCAAGGCACAGAAGTTATGAATGAGTTCAGCTACAACTTCGTCCTCTTTGGCGAGCCTTCCTCTACAGAACCCTGGGGCTGGTCATTCTACGGACACCACCTCTGTCTAAACATCTTCCTCTTCAAACGCCAAATTGTCATTTCCCNNCCCTGGTTCACAGGCGCCGAACCCAACGAGATCGACTCTGGCCCCTACAAAGGCACACGCATCCTAACTCGCGAAGAAGCTCTGGGCCTTGAACTCATGCAATCACTATCTCCAGAGCTGCAGCAGAAAACTCAAATCTACAAATTGATGAAAGACCCAGCAATGCCAGAAGGTCGCTGGAACAGAGACGATCAACGCCATCTCTGCGGTGCATACCGCGACAACCGCATCGTCCCCTACGAAGGCATCACCCTCGCAGCCATGACCTCCACTCAAAAATCCCTTGTCTCCAAGATCATCGAAGAATACTTCTTATACCTACCCGCTTCCTCGCGCGCAAAGAAACTCAACCACGCAATGTGCTTTGCCGACGAAACCTACTTTAGCTGGATAGGAGGCTTTGGTGCTGAAGACCCATTTTACTATCGTATTCAATCTCCAGTGGTGATTATAGAATTTGATCACCATTCGGGTGTGTTCTTGAACAACGAGCAGCCGGCGAAATTCCACATTCATACGCTGTTGAGGACGCCGAATGCGGGTGACTATGGTGTTGCGCTGAGGAAGTGTATTCCTGCTAAAGAACAGTTCTTTACTTGGGAGCCGGAGGATGAAACCAAGGGGCCTGGTAACCATGCTAGTCGTCTGGATTAGATGGGTGCATGAATGTTATAGACTCAAGATGTTACTTGGAGAATGTATAGAGATGGCGGATATACTCATGTTAGAGTACCACTGCTTGTCTTGCTCTTCTTTCCAGTCTGGAGAAAAATGCTACGAGCGAAGTTGGGTATCTCGACTGAGTCGTCGTGACGATGAGTCTTATTGAGTCATCGCAAATACTCATATATACATGCGCATCTTCTCGTTCAGCCCTCTTTCCCCAATCAGAAATATTGTGTTGTCGCACACGAAACCCAGATTCACGAACCGACCTCTACCCAAAAGGCAAGCCATCGAGCTACTGTCATAATCAGATCATAAATTTCCCATTCACCCGCTCAGATTTCGACCATCTACGACGATCACCACATGTCTTCAAGCATGCACACCATTAACACCCAGGCACGCAACTATTACGGGTCCTGCCAAGCATGTCTCGACACCGATGAAGAAGGAACCTTCTTAGCTCTACCTTGCAACCACTACTGGTGCCACGAATGCCTCTCTCGTGTTTGCTCAGGAGTACGGACCGAAAGCGACTTACAGATAAGATGCGACGACAAATGCAACATTCCGTTAGAACTCGCTTTAAGGGCTTTACCACAAGCTGAATCCAGACGTCTCGAATGCAAGTTACGAGAGCTAGAGACACCCACACGCGAACGATTCTACTGCGCCAACTGTAGCGAATTTGTCCCACCGGTTTTTCAAGTAATCGATATACTTGCTGACTGTGAAAAGTGTGGGTATTCGACTTGTAAGTTATGTCGCGCTCTTGATCACGAAGGCGACTGTACGAGTCGCACAAAGGCAGACCGGCAAACCTTCGACCTCATCGAGAAGGAGTACCAGAAGTGCTCAAAGTGCCGCACGGTGGTAGAAAGAACACAGGGGTGTCCCCACATGACCTGCATTTGTGGGTACGAGTTTTGTTATCACTGCGGTGGTCCGGTACTCAGTTGTAATGGGTGTGGTCATCTGGAGCCAGAAGACACTCCCCAAACACTACTCACGATGGCTATCGAATCTACAGTGGAGGGATCATGGGCAATAGTGGAGAAGGTACTGCTTCTTGGTCCTTTGATCTGCATAAACCCCCTTCTCTGGATATACAATGTTAATTAGATTGGTGTTTGATATAATATCTCTCCCATGCCAGTGCTCAAAGCACCAAAACCACAGTTAATGTGGAAAGACTGGGAGCAACGTACCAGTTCCCAGAATACAAAAGACCTTGTCAATAGCGCTAGCGCTCCATACGAGCGACCTATCTTAGTTTAGTATGTCCTTGGCTTGATCATAATGCAACCAGCAAGAGAAAGGAACCTAAAAAATCGTCAAGTCATCATCGTGAATCTTTTGAAGGTTAGAGAATATGTTCGAGCATCGCATTGCTTTCTACAACATGAGTCCTCCACGTGTGCTGAAGCATATAACGGTATGGTAGCCCGATTATAGCGGAAAGCATCTCCATCCTTGTGGAAAAAAAAAAAGGCATAGTTGTCCTCGGGAGTAGAGATATGGCCAAAGAGAGCTGATAATTTATCGTCTCTCAGTGGACACTAACCTGTTTCCTATTAGTATTGTGCATTTTTATAGTCAGCCGCGTTACATACCATCTGAACACGGGGAGGGTGGATAAGATCAGAGAGTAGTTGAATATGCATGTTGAACTAAGTTGCTACGAGCGAATTTGGGGGTATCAGAAGTAAAGAAAAGCAGCATGCAGCAAAGAGCAACCAGAAACTCCAAAATCGTGAAAAATCATCATGGTGGAACATTAGTATCAGTCTCTTTGAGTTTAAGCCGCCCAAGGAAAGTCCTCCTCCATAACCTTCGTACAAGTCAGGTACCCCAGCCCAACTGATGGAACAGCAGCACTGTTCCTTCCTGAAGTCGACGGGACAGCCAAACTACTCAGATCAAGCTCCAGAAAGTTGCGAGTTAAAGGTTTGACAGCATCTCGAGCGAGGTTCTTGAGTTCATCGACTCTTCTCTCGAACCGTCTAAGGTTATCGCGAGAGTACATCTCTGGAGTGAGTTTGAGGAAACGTTTGCATTCGTCGTGGTTCAAGTAGGCGTCTTTGTTTGTGCTGCCCATCAGTCTGTGTATGCGACCTAAGTTCTGTGGGGGTAAGGGTGACTGTTGAGATGTTGATGGTTTAGCAGGGACTAAGGCGCGTGAAGTGCTTTGACGGCCTGATCGTCCGGATACAGATGCAGATGCAGATGCGGCGTCTAATGACGAAGGTCGTGAAGAGTTCTTGAGGATAGATACAGGAGCTGGGGTGGTGTTTTCAGCTAGCCATTGGCGGAACAGACTCATGGCCATCCAGTCTAGATAGCTGTTGGAAGGATTGACACGTTCGCCTCGACTGGTTGTCAGAGTCAGTCTGAAGAGGCGAACTTCGATGCGCAGTTTCATGTCTTCCAGTTCTTGGACCTTGTCTTCGATGATATCGAGGACGAGAGGATCGATATGGTTGACGAGCTGTGATTGTGCTTGTGGCCATTGGCCTACTACATGGATCAGAGCTTCTGTGTAGATGACTCTGGACCTAGCTAGACATGCTAGTTTGAGATAAGATGGCGGGTAGCGAGCAATCTGCTTGAATAGGCGCCCTTGAAAGCCCAAAAGATGATGATCCACGCGTGAGCCTACGATATCAAGGGCATCATACATCTGAGCCAGCTGCAGCAAAGTCTTTGACTCGGTGTACGCATCTGCGATATTGACATTGCTGAGAGAGGGAGGATAGTTGTAGAAAATGCGAAACAGATTATCATAGTCTCGCAGGATTTCATCGTCCGGGCCTAAAGAAGCAGCAGGTTGAGGGTTTAACGACAAGGCAGATAGATTCGACATTGAACGAAAGAAGGCAGAGGACGAAGCGGGCGGCTTGTTACGCGAGACGGGCGGCGGACTCTGGCTCGGAGGACGCTGTATCAATCGTGGTATGTCGTTGTCTCTTGTGTGGTGCCAATCGAGGACGTAATTCCAGCGACGTACATCGATCGAGTCTAGACTGCTTCTGCTGGAGTTGGTCTCGCCAATACGCGAAAGTGGAGCCGGGCTAGGAGCAGGGAGAGCATTGTGTACGAGTGGCCGTTTAAGATCGATGGCGAAGAAGGATGAGCACTGGCTGAGAATGATGCTGTGCAAAACATAGCGCTGTTCTTTGCGACCACTAGCCGAGGAGATGACAACTTCAACGTCGCCGGTCTGCGCAAAGACAGGAAACTCATTCAGTGGTAAGGCAGGCGAGGTTGTGTGTTGAGAGCGCGACGAACGATGGCGTCTTGTTGTCGAAGCTCTACTGGTGGCCGAAGGAGGGCGTCGCGGAGTGTGTAGCACCTGCTGAGGTGGCTCAATGTGCGACACCATGGCGACAGAGTGTTGCTTTTCCTACCGTCTTGGGCACGCGGTATATAGCAGATTCTCACTTGTCCAAGCTGTCTTGAACCATTGCGACAAGAATCAGTCGAGTACTCACAGCCTCGGCGCAGTCCAGCCATTCGACTAATCACATGCCCCAGCCATGTCTTGTGTAGCACAAAAGACTGTACCAACCTTTACTGTCTTAACTGTACCTACCTGGACTGGACTAAAGACATGTCTCTTTTGGAAATCCATGTCAGGAGACAAAGGAGCAAAGGAGAGAGAAAAGTGGCATGACGCGTTGCTGTCTCGTTTTGACGGTGAAACGGGCGCGGCGTCTGTTTTGTCAGAGCTGCCTCTCGCAAAGCTTCAATCAATGAATCTTCAACAATTATCAACCTTAAGTCGCAGCCGTGCTGTCGGCAGACTCGCCTATGTCTCGAATCGCTGCTATACCCGTCCTTCGATAGCCCCAAAGCCTACCGTCGATATCAGACACATCCGCAATGCCCCGGGCCTGTACGAGCAAAACTGCGTAGCCCGCAACTACAAGCAGCAGTCGAAAAACTCATGGCGCATTCTTGAGCTACACGACAAGTTGCAACTGCAGCAGCGACACTCGAGGAACTTGCGCGAACGCAACAATGCCTTGCGACGTCAACTGGCAAACCCGGCCACAAGGCAGGACCCCGATCTGCTCGAACAGGCAAAGCAGCTGAAGGCCGAGCTCGCAGAGATCGATGCTCAAGACAAGCAGATGAACGATGAGATTGAGGAGCTGGCGCTGGCACTTCCCAACCTAAGCAGTCTAGAGACTCCGGAAGGTGACGTGCCATCCGTCAAGGAATACATCAACGAGCATCCCGATCGCAACCCTTCGCCCTCGGATCGCGTCTGGCGCAACCACGTCCATGTCGGCTCAGAGCTCGACATGCTCGACTTTACTGCCTCGGCAACCACTTCAGGCTGGGGTTGGTACTTCCTCAAGAACGAAGCCGCTCTCCTCGAACAAGCTCTGATTCAATACGCTCTCACTGTCGCCATGAAGCGCGGCTGGAAAGTCGTTTCTCCTCCATCAATTGTTTACTCTCACATTGCTCATGCTTGTGGCTTCCAACCTCGCGACCAAAATGACGAACAACAAATTTACGCCATCACCCAGCCAGAAAAAGACAAGAACAAGCCTACGCTATGTCTAGCTGGAACAGCCGAGATTCCCTTCGCAGGTATGAAGGCAAATACAGTCATCGAGGAAGCAGACCTGCCGTTGAAGATCATCGGTGCCTCCCGCTGCTACAGAGCAGAAGCCGGTGCCAGAGGCATCGACACAAAGGGCCTCTACCGCGTCCACGAATTCACAAAAGTCGAAATGTTCGCCTGGACAATGCCCGACAATGTGGGCGACGACCATTTCTCAGAGCCCACGCCTTCACCCTCAGAAACCCTCTTCGACGAGATGGTCTCCATCCAANAAGAAATCCTCCAAACCCTAGGTTTGCATTGTCGAGTTCTGGAAATGCCTACTACAGAACTAGGTGCCTCCGCAACCCGTAAAATCGATATTGAAGCTTTCTTCCCCTCGCGCAGAGAAAAGGACGAAGGATGGGGTGAAGTCACTTCCGCATCCATTTGCACGGACTATCAAACCAGACGTCTAGCCACCCGCGTCAAGACCGAAAAGTTTGGACGCAAGCACGAGTGGCCGTACACCGTCAACGGCACAGCCCTCGCGGTCCCCAGAGTTCTCGCTGCTATCATGGAAGCTGGTTGGGAGGAGAGCAGCAAGAGTATGCTTATTCCTGAAGTGTTGAGACCTTTTATGGGTGGGTTGGAGAGGATCGAGAGAAGTAATCGTATTAGCATTCAGTAAGCAACAGAGCTTCTTTCCTAACTTTGAGGCAATCATACCACTCTACCAGAAACCTGTGTCTACCTTCGTACCTACGAGCAGTCTTCAAACGCGGAAAGCAGATGACCATAAACTTGATCTCTCACACAATATCTTCTTTCTATCCTCGCAATCTGATACTACGAAAACTCTTAAGCACAGAGTATACATGACCTTTCCCCGACTCAGCCTGAGCAATCTCTCCGAGCATCCCACGCTCGTATAGCCAGTCAGATCACCCATGATACAGGCGAGGAGCGGTCGAAAGACTACAAAGGTCAGATTCAGTCTACAGATGCAGTGACTTTCAACGGCACCACGGCCCGACATCCCGAAACATCTAACAAACGCTATACAAACCCTTACAACACGACAATGCACAACAAGAGAACTCAGAGTCAGAAGAAACTATAACCTGACAATGACTCAAGAAGCAACACAAGCAAGCACAGAAAAATAGGTTCATCGGAAGGTCGATGCCGTTGAGATGTGAACCGCAGAGCTTGTGTTACCAACGGTATGGTCCGTCGCACATCCATATCGGAAACAAGTTCGACGACCCGAGAGAAGATCGGGATCTCCTCCCGATCAACTGGACAGCAGATTCAATGGGCACGGGTGTGTGGCACGGAAACAAAGGGTGCGCATATCCGAAACCCATCTCCGATCACAAGAGAATGATCAATCAGATAATGCAGACATGCAAGGTAGTAAGCAGGTGGTTAGGCGCCGAGGCAGAATGCAACATGTAAAAGCAAGGCGAAAGGGCAAAAAACAAACAAGGGTACCTGAAGAATGAATACATTTGTGACGACGGCTATAAGCATCTGCATCGGGCGGTTAGGCGCTACGGCATGCTTCAAACATGCGTGCCAGCTGATCGCTATTCTAAAGCAAACAGAAGTTGAACATGGATACAACAATGCGCCACTGTCTTTTCCAGAAGGCTGGAACGTGGGTCCATGCATGTCCCTCATTGTTGCAGTAAGCGAGCATGCGCTGGGTCGGCGGCCCGGTGGGCAATACAGCAATATCAGCGATACCGATGATCCGGATGGATACGCGGACATGTGCCCGGTGCCTCAGTTGCTAGGGGGGTCAAGTGGGACGCAGTCATGGTTGGTCGTCGGTCAGGTCCCGGATTGTTGTCTTGTCGTGCGTCCGGATGCCCAGGTTGGGTAACCTCCCAGTCTAAGAATGATGTTGTAGCTAATACATGTCCCAAATAGGCGTCATTCACAGTGCCTTGCTCTCCGAATTCAATAGTTCTGCCCTCGCAGGGCGACAGAGTCTTACCTGACGGTTGACTTGGACCGCTTGTTCTACACCGACTCACAGCCAAGGCATGCAAGCCTCGTCTCGCAGGTCATCTGGTCCTCCATTATCCTGTTGATGCATTATGCTGAATTCTCGCAACGTCTCGGCACCGACACTGCGCTTGTTCTGGATTGCTTTGAGGCGAATCTCGTTGATCCGGGTGTCTGCCGCAGCCATCCGGTCTACAATACTCTCCTGTGATCCGCGCCTCTGGAGGTTTTGTTCCTGCTGTGGTGCACCTGAGCAAGTACGGCTACTTGCATTGGGTGCGCTTGAAGTTCCTGACGTAGTCCGGCTGTTGCGTCGCATGTGCCGCCAGATCCGCCGAGCTTCATCTTGTATCACGAGACTGTCCGGCCTCTGTCCGTCGGAGTGATGTTCATCGACAGGCATTCCTATGTTTGGATTGCCTTCTTCGGGTGTTGGTGTCGATGGGGCTGTGTTGAAGACCTGCAGAGCCTCGGTATCGGCAAAATGCAACGTGGTTCGGTGCGTGCTCTTCGAGTCTTGATGCTGTGTGGCTGTTGTAGACGACTGTACTACAACATTGGACATCTCCATAGACACTTCTTTTTGGAATTCAAGTTCTTCACGCAATCGACGCAAGACTGGTGGCCCGTCATTTCCGGACCAAAACTTGCCAAACTTCTTGTGCAAGATCCTGATTGCAACATCCGGGGGATAGTTTCTTGCAGCAAATTTAGCTTTCTCTAACTCAACATCCACGCGACCCTTGTCTTCCTCTTCATGGGTTGCACCCCATTGGCTGTTTCTGTTCGTGCGGATCAACTCGCATGTCTGCTCAGTCCGCAGTTCTGTGTCGCGTGGGAGAAGAGAGTGTCTGTATCGCACATCCGCCTTGAACAACTCACTCTTGACTATACCCAGTGTCTTGTGAAGCTCACTTAAGAGACCCTCAACCGAGGCTGGATCTGCACTTCGCTGATGATCGACCGCAGGAATGCGGACCTTCGCGAATAGCGTAGTGCATTGACCCGGATGTAGTGTCGCCTTCCGGGGAGGCGTGAGGAGCTTTTCCACGCGACATGGCTCGGTCGAGTTGATAGACACTCTGACGTGTGAAAGTTCTTGGAAGTGATATGTTTCACGCGCTGATTGGACAAGAGCCTGGAGAACGGTGTTGGGAGCTTCTTCCCAGGCAAAGCACCAGCCACCTGTTGTGACTTGTTCGCGAGAGGGCGATTCGTAGGCATAGCCGACTTGGACTTGATGAATTGGCCACGACACATACTCGCGAAGGATTGATGCACATCTGTGCGGAAGCGGGGACAACACAATTGCATGTGTGAGTGTGACATCCAAATCCTCTTCTATATCGATCACTGACGCTAGAGCTTCCTGAATCATGTCAGATAACCTTGCGGCCGAGTACTGTGACGTTGCCTTGCTAGAGTCTAGCTTTGCCACTTGATTCGAGAGTGACGATGCATCCGGTTTCTGCAGAGCATGAAGCTGACAGCCTGACTTGGTATCAGAGCATTGCGATTCGTGGGAGCAGGATGTACAGAAAACTGCCAGACGATCACGGTGATCCCGTAACAAACTGCAAAGACACCGGGTAAATTCGGATATGTTGTGCAAAGCCAATGGGGAAGCAAATGGNTCTACCCCGCGTCAGTGTCTTGCAACGAATGAGGATTGGAAGAGCACAAACGAGTTGTCAATAATAACAATAAGAGTGAGAGGCTTCTGGATCTTAGAGATATGCTCAGGAGAAGCCGAGCGGCGCACGTCGCTCATGCCTCCGGTGGGTGATGAACCGCTAGAGACGCTTGCTTCAGCCTTGATCATAGTCCACATAGTCGCTTCATCGGCCAAGTCCATAGTTTCACATGCAGGCATAACGGAAAGATTGACGTGGAGCATTGAGAGAGGCCTTGGTATGGTTTCACCGTGAGTCTGAGACAACCGAGCGAATCTTTTCGGGCGGGGAGTCTTTTCTGGTGACGGTGAAGGGCTTGACTTGACTTCTTGTGATGGGCTTGGGTAACTGCCATCACTTCCAGGCAAAACGCTTTTGATATCAATGTTAGAGGCAGGCAAGATGTCTGTCGTCGGGCCGATATCTCCCAGAGGTGAATCTGTTGAGACAAGGCTCTGCACTGAGCCAGAAGCCAGAGTATGCGCGGCATTTATACTTCCTTCAAGGTCTTCAGAATGATGTCCAGGCATAATCTGTACGAATCTTTCATGCTCTGAAGCAGATCGACTGATGGCGACGACATCGTCGTTAACTTTGACCGGAACTTTAGAAGAACTTTTGGAACGATTCAGAAGGCCTTCTCGGACTCTCGAGACCACTCTCTTGCGCACAGAAAGTTTGCGAGACAGTGAAGGGGCGAACTTCGACTCTTGCTTCTTAGACTGAGATGAAGTGTGCTTGGTAGGAGAACGCTCAATGAGTGTCGTAAGGTGATCAGACTCCCAACTGAAGCGATCATTCCTCGATGAAGGCCTGGAAGCTTCATCGTAGACAGTGTTCTGAATTTCACGAAGCGGCTGGACACTAGTAGGTTTGCTTTGGGCAAAATCGTGTACGGGATGTTCGCGTGTAGACGCAGCGTCATCGACGAATCCAGTCCGTAGATTCTCGCGTGTCTTGCGAACCTTCAGAGGAGAGGCTGACGTTCTGTTCAACAAACGTGTTTCGGGAGAGCCGACAATAGGCCTGTTCAGACCGGAGGCCTTCGTGGAAGATGTGTTGGCCCGCGATGGATGAGTGATGGTTGAGAAGCTGCTCACAGAAGCTGGTGACGAAACGAACATGTGAGCTTGTGGTGGGTGCCAGCCGTGCAGACCCAGAACGGCTGGTGTGTGACCATATGCCGTGCTTGATGAAGTTTTACTTTTGCTGTTCTGTGCTGCCTGTAGATTCTTCGGATCGGTGTTCTGTGTGTATCGTCAGAAGAGTGGCGAAACGTTGACTGAAGCGTGTGGACCTGCCTCCTTATTGGATGGCATGGCTTTGTTGCTAGAGGGATGCACTGGGCTATCCAATTGAAGCGATGATGATACAACAAGGCTGGTAAATCAACGGTGGTGTGAGGTCGAGATGGCTCAGAGATACAAGATCGCTGCAGACTTCATGACGTGTCTTGAGCAAGTCCAGTAGGGGGCAAGTGCGACTGCCATGTATAACCACGACTTGCTTCCCAAGAGAAAAAGCAACTCGAATCTTGTTCTCCAGACCAAGCCATCATACCGAACCGATTGACTACGGCCGACAACCTAGGAAAGCACAAACGTCGCAGCAGGTAGGAGTTTTGGGAACCAAACATTTCTCGAGGCTACCACACTTTCAAGGCAGATCAAGCAACCAGGTTATCATCAGCTTCCTGCTCCGTATGCCAGGGAACATCAGTCGCGTCTATATCAATGTTCAGGAAGTTTATCTGAGGCACAAGGGTTAGCTAGCCATGCTGCGAAGTAGTCTGCTTCGGCACAACTTACGAGGTCATCATTTGTACCAGCAGTACCGAATAGAGTCTGCTGTGACACACTTGCTTGCACGCCTTTCTTAACCCTCTCTTCCCAGACTCCTTCCCAATTCCATTGGCCAGGCCTTCGAGCACCACCTGGCTGTTGACGTGAAGTAGGAGACGTGGGGTATTTNCCATCCTCTGGTGTCGCAGAGAGAGGCGCATTGCCAATGACTCGCGCTCTATGAGTCTGCCATGCATGCCATGCGCCTGGATTGCCCGCCGCTTCGAGTGGCACCTTGTCAAGCACCTCAGCTGTGTCGAATGCACTTCGCATGTAGAACAAGATCTGCACAATGGCCAGAGGACCGTACGATGACTGCGAGCGTTCTGACGTCGATGCTGTTTCTGCGTCTAGGCCGACTTGAGATGTGGGCTTCGGCTTCTTGCGTCCAAACCATTGAGAAAAGCCGTGTCGTAAGCTGAAGCCACCGGGTGGAAGACGCTCGTCATCGGTGGCATGGACAGTGTCGGCGCCTGTGTCGCTCGTGGTGTAGGTGTATGTGGTCAGAGGGGTAACCAAGGGGTGGAAAATGTCGGTTGAGAAGGTGATGGTTGGAGGTTTGTCGGCAGCAAGGAGCAGGGAGAACTTGAGGATTGCGGGTGTATAAGGGCCNTAGAGCGTTTGAGAAGTCGTCCAAACATTCATCATGGCGACCCTACCTTTGCGAACAAATAACACACCTTGCCAGACGTGTGGATCGCGTGGTGTGGGCGTGAGGTAGATGCCCTTAGGACAGGCCTGTTTCACGCTCGCACTACACAGGCACTCATGAGCTTCTCGCTACATACAGCTCAAGGATGGGACAAGCAAGCATACAAGTCCAGGCGACGTTGTTGTGCCTCAAAAGCCTGCGGTCCTCCGCGAATGTTGGACTGCGCCAAAGACATTGAATAGTAGGTGGTGGTGAGGTTCAGAGTGAAGATCGCTGTTCTCGACGTCGTCGCCCTTTCTGTCGGCCCAGACGGCGCTTGTTACAGACGCCAACGCACAACACCCGCTACGAAACACCACAACTTTACGACAAAGCAGCTAGATGAATTTGTTCCTGTGTGCTTTGCCAATTCCATATCTACGCACGTAGAATATTAAACGTATCTCAAAAGCTATTCTCCTAATTCCGGACACGAATGACCTTGCATTGGTGAATCGCTGACCTGTCAATTGGGTTCAAGCCGGCGTCTATCGCACGCGTCTCACAACGGTGCTGCTTTGTCTTTTGAAGCAACGACTTCGACTTTGTTTCTTCGCTTCATGCATTCCTCCGTAGCAAGAGCATCATAGTGACCCCTATTGACCATAGTCTAATAGGTCACGAGGTCAAATTTGCATAGGCCCAGCATCGTTGAGCTTGCGATCCATCTCTTGACAGCAGCATCTGGATCTTCCTTCTGGCCCGTCATCCGTGGCTGCGTGGTGTTTCGGCCCGTTCGCCCGTCGACAGGTCTTTTGTACAACACGAGCGTCGAGTTCAGCGACAGCCACGATCACTGCTCGTATGCACAGTATTCATCGTATGTAGGCTGGCAAGCGGCAGTTCTCCAGCCAGAAGTTGTCGCTGTCTTGTTTATGGTGCCTCGCGAACAATAACTCACAATTTTCTTGTCGACAAACACGACATGCTGTGTGAACCCGCTCGCATGCCGCCGCGCCGGCTTGCTGCAGCCAACCCGACCTCCAGGAAGATTGATGCGACAGGGGGCACTACTGTGTCCTTGTCGATGAATCTGTACCATGACGTGGTGTCTCCATTTCCCAAGATTCCCCCAAAAGTCAAATTGCCAAAGTTGAAGACGGCGCATCGCAGAGGCGGGAACTAGAGAGCGACTGGGAACGTGTCGGCGGGCCAAACCTTGTGAGGAGCCTATTGCAGCGTGTCCCTGAACTAGCGTGGGAGCTGTTTGAAGTTGATCGAAGAAGGTCCTTGGAAGCTTCTGTCTCTCCGTGACTAGCGTCGCAGCCGAGCCATCCCGAAACCCACTCGCCTGGTTTGCTGTCCTGCCATCGATAGATGAACCAGCATTGCCAAATCTCCCAGATTCAGAATATCTCCCGGCATCTGATGCGTTACATGGACCCTTCTTGCCATCTACAAGACACCATTTCGGTACAACGACAACTCTCTACTGCAGCCGGCAGGAGATCCCACCTTTCGGCTACTGACTGCCGCCAGTCGGGCGATATGTTGACAGCTCTCGGCAGTGGTTGGTCGTGCAAACAAGGCGAATGACCTCTTGAATACTGTTGTACACTGCCTGAGGTGTGTGGGAATGTGTTGTCCTCCTCACCGCCAGTCAAGTGGGTAGCTGACTCTGTGGTCGGGCTACGTGCAGAACACATCATGTCTTGAAGCGCAAATCAATATAGTAAAGCTACCGGCGACAGTGCCAATATGTCGCCCAGTTTTCAAACCAGAAGACAGGTCGAAATCTGGGAGATCATTGAGATATAGGGCTGTAGATTAGGCTCAATAAACCATCGTCGCTAGACTCCGAAGCCGAGCTCCCCGGTCCAATGGCGTCCCACTATCCGAAGTCTCGGGGCGTGGAGTACAGGTTAGTTTCTGCTCCGCGCTGGTTCCACCACAAGGTTTCATGACCAACAGGGGAAGCATGGAACCTTTCGTACTTCCGCGATCCGCGAGATGTTCGCCCTCTTGCCTACGCACACAGGCCAATTCCTTAGGAATGCACTTCACCGACTGCAACGGCGACCCGCTCTTGACCTGGCCTGTCAGCGGCAAAGTGACGATGGGTAATAATAATCTTGTCGCCCTGTCTTCTTCCTCTTGTTCCATCAAACGCGCCACCTGACTTGTCCCTCTTCACCGTCTCTTGAGTGGTACCACCATTCATCCTGCACGTATCCGCCGGCCTTTGCTTCGAAGTCCCATTACGTTCGCAGCAACTACCCGGATCTGCGGTTCTTGCGTTCCACCACCTTAACAAGACCTTTTCATCATTGCATTGTCAGCCGCTCCAAGACACTTACCGGAATTCAATTTGTTCATAAGGGCCTGCCTTCGCCAGAAGTTGAAACAATTGTGCTCACTTGTTCCCCCTTCAGCTCGTACAAAGGAATTGGAATTCTTCACCGTCTGTCGTGTCCCACTTTCATCCGCATCATGTTGCCCTCACATGCACAACGTCGCCGAGTGCAACAGCAATCAAATGCCTTTCCTACTCGACAATTATTTGTCCTAGGTATGGGTCAACATATACTCTATCGCATATACTCGAATGACTGACATTCATCCCAGNCATTGTGCCGTATATGCGAGCCAATTGCTTTCATGTCAATCTTTCCTTATGTCTATTACATGATCTCCTCTTTCCACATCACCAACGACGAGAAACAAATCGCTCTGTATGCTGGCATGGTCACATCCGCCTTTGCCTTTGCCGAATTCTCGACAGGAGTTATGTGGGGTAGGTTGAGTGACAAGGTTGGACGCAAACCTATCCTCCNNCTGACGGGATTGGCGGGCACTGGTATCAGTATGATTGTGTTTGGGTTCTCTCCCAACTTGACCACGGCTCTTATTGCTCGTGCTTTGGGAGGTCTTCTCAACGGGTTAGTTGGGAATTTATCCACCTTATGACCATTCTGACGAGTCATAGGANACATCGGCGTCTTGCAAACGACGGTCGCAGAGGTAGTCACTGTTGAAGCACACCAAGGTCAGCAAGTTCCTCAAGCGTCCACTGGCGAATTCGTGTTGACAACATATANNGCACGTGCATATTCGATAATGCCCTTCGTCTGGTGCCTCGGGTAGGCCTGTTTCCTATGCCACTCGCGCCATCTTACTTACAGTGTCAGATCAATCGTCGGCTCCGGCTTAGGAGGAACTCTCGCAGAGCCCGTGCGCAACTACCCTGGTTATTTCGAGCGCGGTTCGTTATTTGACAGGTTCCCGTACCTGCTTCCGAACTTGGTTTGCGCAGGAGTTGTCATCTTCGGAATGATGGTCGGCATTCTTTTCCTCGAAGAGACTCACGAAGATCTTAAGGACCGTAGAGACTATGGTCTCGACATTGGTGACTGGGTTCTGGACTTCTTTCGACCAAATCAGCTCCATGAAAAGGCTGGCGAGACACTGGCTCTGTTCGAAGATGCTGCTCCTGACTATTCATCGAGCCAATCATCTCCAGTTGTGAACCCAATTCTGGTTGGAGAGCTGCCTAATGAAGCTCAGCCTGTATTGTCCCAGCCTACATGCTCCCGTCGTCGTGATGCGGCTGTCTCAAAAGCTTTCACGTGGCAGGTTTGTCTCAATATCGTTGGATACGGTATCCTTGCGTAGTAAGTCTGATTCGAGGAGAACTGCTTGGTAACTTTTTATTGACGACTTGTCAGTCACACCATCTCCGCCGAGCAACTTCTCCCTGTGCTATTCAGTTTGCCCGAGTCTCAAGAAGCGCCCCACCTGCCTTTCCAGTTCTCTGGTGGCTTTGCCCTCCCGACAAAGGTCATTGGCTTTATTCTCTCTGCTCAAGGGTTTATCCAGATGTTTGCCACGCTGTTCGTGTTCCCGTTGGTCAACCGCAAGATTGGAAGTCTGGCTACATTCCGACTCGTCATTCTCTCGTACCCGATTCTCTACTTGATGGTTCCTTATCTCACGCTCGTTCCGACAGCTCTGCGTATGCCTTGCATCTATTTCGTGCTCATCTGGAAGGTTACAGCACAAGCCCTTTCGTACCCGTCCCTGGCCATCATGTTGGCCAACGCAGCCCCTTCGAAGAAGGTCCTGGGCACTCTCAATGGTGTGGCAGCCTCGTCGGCAAGCTTGTGCAGAGCATTCGGTCCTACGCTCTCCGGACTGGTCCAATCTTTAGGTCTTTCCGTGGGTGTGCTAGGTCTCCCCTGGTGGGCGAACAGCTTCGTTGCGATCATCGGCGCCATTCTCAGCTTGCGTATGGTAGAAGAAAAGCGTCAGTACTCAAAAGCCGAAGAAGCAAATCTGGACTCGGAAAATCTCCCATTTCTGGACGCAGACGTACTAGAGAGCTCCGACGAAGAATCCTGCCATTGATTCCTTGGCGCAGCTTCAGTTCTGCTTGAGGCATTGAACCCATTTTCATACGACTCACACGATTCTTCTTCTCCCAACTACCATCAAGACCTCTTGCTTACAGAGTCACCATCATTTTCATAATCATTGCCATTCGCTTCCAAAAATTCACCTAGATGAAAGCAGTTTCACGGCGGGTCCCGTATTTACTCAAGCGATCTGAGATCGGCTTTAGAGGAGTTCTTATTTATGTTCGGGAAAGGGTTTCTAGGCGTTTTCTCTGTGCTCAGTACGACCAGCACTAGGTTCCACTTTGGGCTCGGTGAATGGGACGATCGGCGCTATATACCCGTTCTTGCTTTTACTCGGAGAGTGGTTGGATCCAGGATGGAAAAGGCGTTTTGCTCTATTTGCGATGTGACCTGGATTCACATTCGCTGTAACAATGATACGAGTAGGTAGTTTAGCTGCGTTGATTTTCTTCGATAGACAAGGCCGAAAATGTCGATTGCTATTTTTCTCAAGTCATGTCTTTTCTTGTGATCATCATGACTTTTCAAACCAATCTCCGACATCTAGTCTGCAGAATCGCAACTTTGACGCGAATACAGAGAAGCACCGGATGAGCACTGCTAGACGAGAATACCATCGTGTTGCCATCAAGATAGGCCAACCCCGCCGGCGATGCGATAACGGTACCGATCCAACCTTACAACATTCAACTCTGTCCTTGAACGATCAAACATCTCACTTCTTTCAACTCGGTTTTGACTTAAGACTCGGTTCTTACACACAGTCTCAAACATGTCCAGCAAAACTGCAGTTCTGACCTCAAAGGCACCCAAGCCTCTTCCTGGCATCTACAGTCAAGCCATCATCGCCAATGGTTTCGTATACTGCTCAGGAGCCATCGCCATGGACACCACGGGGAAGATCATCGATGGTGACATCCAAGCTCACACTGTAAACTGCTCTCCTCTCCCTCAAGCAATGCAAGATCTTTGACACTCTCCACAGCATCAATGCATCAAGAACCTCACCGCTGTTCTCGAGGAATCGGGTACAACCATTGACAAGGTCATCAAGGTCAATGTCTTCTTGTCTAGTATGGATGACTTTGCAAAGATGAATGAGGTATACAAGACTTATTGGGGTGATGTCAAACCGAGTAGAACGTAAGTGCTTCATGACCGATGTTTCAGTTCGACCTGCTGATTCGGATGTACAGGTNGTGTGGCTGTCAAAACGCTGCCTATGGGGACTGATGTAGAGATTGAGTGTGTAGCAGTACTGTAGATTGGTGTTGATGGCTTTCAAATATTATTCGGTATACGATTTGACTGACCCTGTCCGAGTGTGAGAGCAGGGTGGTATCTACAGCAATCATTTGAAGTTTTGACCGTTCGGAAACAGCAATCTACGGTCACTTGAAAACTTCTTTGGCATATCAGAACCTTTAACATATGGCTTCAGATCATCTGGTGTCTTGTGGCGGTCATAGTTGACAGGTTGCGCTATCTAGAGCCATTTTAGAAAGAAAATCTTACCTGCACCCGAAACTGGGTCTGTGATTGTGCGATGTTGGCCGAGACCCAGGATCAAACGTGAAACTTGCGCACACTGTCGAATTTTCCATGCCAGAGATGAATTGGGAGCACTCATCCATCATTGTCTCAGTATGTCAATTAGGTAAGGTGGTAGTCCTTGCCAACATCAATATTTCTCTTTATTTTGCTCGGACAAAATATTTGGTCGGGACAGCTTACACCCGAGGCTATAAACCAATAAGGTTAGCGCACCATCTCATGCCCAACATCCTTCTCCACGCAAGCAAAAACCCAATGACTGGGGCTTATCAGTGCATGATCAAATACCGGACATAAGAGAACAGGTGGAAACGCGCGACGAGTCATTGTCAGCGAGTCGACTCGAAATCACTGCATCACAAACACAGAAAAAGGGAGCTATCAAAAGCGGCACATTTGACCCGTGTATGCGCCCATCTGTGCAACAAGACAAGGCAGAGACAGACCCCGGTGTGGCCTCCGCGTAGCCGCTTCGCGCTTGTCTTCGACAGCGATGCCGACCGCGAAATGAACAACCCAACCGAGTCTTTGAACAAGAAGAAGCGTGCCAATCCGCAGGCTTCAGACGCTGCTGATGAGGCCGTTGAAGGTGGTTCTGGTGATGGTGCCGCCGCCGCTGCTTCCAATGGCGCGTCTTCAGCTTCGTCATCAAACTTTCGCAATGTCAGCGCGTGCAATCGGTGTCGTCTGAGAAAGAACCGCTGTGATCAGAAATTACCAGCATGTACGAGTTGCGAAAAGGCCAATGTCAAGTATGTATGGTCCTCAACAGCAAAGTGGACGTTTTGACTTACCCATATCAGATGCGTCGGCTTTGATCCCGTCAGCAAACGGGAAATACCCAGGAGGTAAGACAACACAGTCTTGGAAGCTAATGACCTCTACTGACGTGAAACANGTTATGTATACTATCTGGAGAGTCGAGTGCAGCATCTGGAATCTTTGCTTCAAGCCAACAACATTCCTTATGCTCCGACGGATGATTTTAGCATGAGCGTGGCGACGCCTACCTCTCCTACGATGCCATCTACAGGCGAAGCAACGGTAGTTGGGGCGCAGAAGTATACTGACAGTGGTGCTGGTTCTGTCTCTGCCGTTTCCAACGAACAGACCGAGCAGAAGCAGCTCTCTAACCTGGTTCACAATATCGGAAACGTTTCAGTATTAGGAGCCTCAGATTCTAGGTACCTAGGTTCTACTTCTGGGATCTCCTTCGCTAGAGTTGTCTTTGCCGCAGTCAAGAGCTCAGTGTCTGGATCGACATCAGAACGTGGCGGCGTTCGGCCTTCGAAGCCACTCACGAGTGCAGCTACGGGAGGAACTACCATGAGAGATTCATTCTTTGGACTGCAGACGAAACCCGCCATCAAACCGGCAACCTTCCCTGATAAGGACATCGGACGACGATTGATGGAGCTATATTTTGAGCACTCTAACCCCCAAATACCTATTTTACATCGTGGAGAGTTCATGGCACTATTTGACAAAGTGTATGCCACTGAGGAGAGGAAAAGGACACCGCGGGAGCTTTACATGCTCAATATAGTCTTTGCTACAGGTGCTGGAGTCATCCTGGAAGCCTCTGACAAGAACAACGATGCAGAAAATGCCGCCGATGGCAAGTCTGGACAGAGTCGCAAGAGGCAAAAACTCTCTAACGAGCAATCTCGACCGGAAGAGTACCACGCTTCGGCGATCGTACATCTGGAGTCATTCCTTGGATCGTCTTCTTCTGCGACAGAGGGCATTGGCGGCGGTCTTGAAGAATTGCAGGCTGTCCTCCTCCTGGCAGGATTTGCGCTACTCCGTCCTGTCGCACCAGGCCTCTGGTATATTGTAGGCGTAGCTGTTCGCCTTGCTGTAGATCTTGGCCTTCACAACGAGGATCCAGAGGCTGCGACGGAGATCAACGCCGAGCAAGGGCAGAACGAGATGACAAGTGCTGCTAGAGAAGAGTTCGGAAGACGACAATACATTCGGGACTTCCGAAGAAGGCTATGGTGGTGTGTGTACTCTTTCGACCGCCTGGTTTCCACTTGCGTTGGCAGGCCTTTCGGTATCACAGACCAGGTGATCACTACTGAGTTCCCGACCTTGCTCGATGACAAGTACATCACACCAAGTGGTTTCTTGACTCCGCCACAGAACGAGTATGGCAGCATACCGAGTTATAAACACGTCTCGTACCACTACTTCCGGCTTCGATTGCTGCAGTCAGAAGTATTGCAAGTATTGCAGCACCGCCAGACTCAGCAATTCAGAGAAAGAGGCACCGTCAATGGAGGCAATCGATGGATGCACACAGATCTTCCTTCGCCATTCTTGTCGAGATATTCAAGCTTTAGGGAATGGCGAGGCGACATCGACCGCAGGCTGTACGAGTGGATCGAATCATCGCCTACGCAGACGATGACTGGAGTTGCGTTCTCGCCACTATTCTTGGAACTCAACTATTGGCTCACAGTGACCATGCTCTACCGCCAATCTCTATCAGTACCTCCATCATTGGCTGGGGAACTAGATGCGTCTACAGGCGATGATGTTACCAGCCCGGGTCACGTCGACTATGAGGAAGAAGATGAGGAGATGGTATTCTTGAAGGTGGCCGAAGCCGGTCAGAAGACACTGAAGATCTACCGCCAACTACATCGTGTAAGACTGGTCAACCACACTTTCTTGGCTACACACCACTTGTTCATGTCTGGTATATCTTTCTTGTATGCCATCTGGCATTCGACGGTTGTAAGGTCCAAACTTACACTGGATGATGTCGACTTCACTATCTTGGCAGCAACATCTGTGCTTGGAGACATGATCGAAAAGTGTCCTCCTGCTGAAGCATGTCGTGATGCTTTTGATCGCATGAGTAAAGCAACCATTGCAATGGTGGAGCAAACTACAGGATTCGGGTCGCAAGCGCTACGGTATATTGCACAGACGCAANAAGTACAACAACATGCGGACGCATCTACTGCAGGAGAGCACAACGTCAGGAAGGTCAACCACGGCACAGCTATGATGGCTCCTAATCAAGGCAGGCCTCACCCTCAACAACCACAGCAGCAACCGCAACAGGTCAGACGACCTATGCCACGATTTGACATGAATTTGCGAGATCTCTTTACAGATGACGAGTCGACCAATCGTCCGTCAGCGCAAAGAAGAGCACCCTTCCCAATGGCGCGGCCACCAAATCCAGCAGTCAAGCGAGAAGGAGGACCAGCTTACCCAGGCACGCCTACGGGACCTGCATATCAGCAGAATCAGATCTCTCCTCGCCTATATGCACCGAGTCCGCCAATAGATCCGTCATTACAATCGACACCGCCACCAATAGCGAGACAATCACCCAGTCAGCATCATTACTACCCTCGCGGAGGGCAAAACTATCTGGCACCTGGGACGCAAGGGATGCCAGGTCAAGTCGAGGGATTTGAATTCCTGCAAGACTTCCAGCTACCCGACCAAGGGGGAGGCTTGGGTCAAGCAGGACAGGCGCCAGGTAACTATGGAGAGTTTGATATGGGCTTTGGCGCAGGAGGACTTGCTTTCGACGGCGGCGGTCAGCCATGGGATGAACATGGAGGCTTCGACCTGTTTGACGGATTCTTCTTCGGTGGAACCAATGGAGGTGGACAGAGATAATAAAAGTAATGGTCGCGATGATACAAGCTACGACTAATTCATGGTTGCTTCTTATTCCTCCATACATTGATGTCTTTCCATTCGGGTGAATCAGAAAGGGCAATTGCAAGCGCGAAAATGGTCCGTGCGAGCTGCGGGAGCTGCGATTTCTCTTTGAGTGACGTTAGAAGTGAAATATTTCAGATCTTCACATAAACCAATCATGCCGATGAAAAGGGTAGAGGTGTGAGTACTTTCGAGTCGCAGCAGAATACACAGTGACTGACAGTGTAACAGAACTTCAGGAACAAGGGCAAGGGCCGTGGCGGCGGCGGCGGTAACAACTGGTCGACTGAGCGCAAGTCGTACGCCGAAGTGCCCAAGGTCAACGAACAGTTCGAGAGACTGTACAATGACATGAACATTGTGCCCGAGGGCGAGGAGCGTGAACAGTTCTGGGCTGCCCTCCGTCGCGAGCTGCCCAACTCGTTCCGCTTCTGCGGCAGCAAAGGGTATACATGATCAAGACCCGACGAGTCAACAAGCAGTTGCTGACTTTTCGCAGACNATGCGCTTGCCGTGCAAAAGAACCTGGACGAACACTTTATCCCTCAGATCAAGTCTATGAAGTTTGACGACCAGACTGTCGAGCCTCCGATGCCCATCAAGTGGTACCCTAACCAGCTTGCCTACTACATGACCACCCCCAAGAATGTCATTCGCAAGTTCCCTCCCTTCGCCGCTTTCCAAAAGTTCCTCGTCTCCGAGACCGCCGTCGGCAACATCAGTCGTCAGGAAGCTGTTTCTATGATCCCTCCGCTTCTCCTCGATGTCCAGTCGCACCACACCGTTCTCGATCTGTGCGCCGCACCCGGAAGCAAGAGTGCTCAATTGGTTGAGATGCTGCACGCTGGAGAAGAGTCGCGTATTCGCAAGGCTACAAAGCAACACCAGGACGCCCAGGCCGATCCCGCAGCCGCTGCTGACGAGACTGTCGAGGGCAACGACTGGAGTGATGATGGCAGAGCCACTGGTCTTTTGGTCGCCAACGATGTCAACTACCAGCGCGCTCAGATGTTGGTTCACCAAGTCAAGCGCTTGAACAGCCCCAACTTGATTGTTACCAACCACGATGCTACCATGTTCCCTTCGATCGAGCTTCCTTCAGATTCCGTTCCTGAGGGCCAAAAGAAGCAGGGCAAGTGGCTCAAGTTTGACAGAATTCTTGCAGATGTTCCTTGCTCTGGTGACGGTACCTGCAGAAAGAACCCCAACATCTGGAAGGACTGGATTCCTGGAAACGGTCTTGGTCTTTACATTACTCAGGTCCGCATTCTTGTTCGTGCTATTCAAATGCTGAAGGTTGGTGGTCGTGTCGTCTACTCGACTTGCTCCATGAACCCTGTTGAGAACGAGGCTGTCATCTCAAGTGCCATCGAGCGCTGTGGTGGTATCGACAAGATCAACATTGTTGATGTCAGCGACCAGCTTCCTGAGCTCAAGCGCTACCCTGGACTCAAGGAGTGGAAGATTATGGACAAGGAGGGCCGCCTCTGGAACTCTTGGGAAGACGTCGAGGACGCAAAGTCAAAGAAGTTCGAGGCTTCGCTCGAGCGTGTCGTTCCTGGCATGTTCGCTCCTGCTGGCCACAACCTTCCTCTTGATCGCTGTGTTCGTGTCTACCCTCACCAGCAGGATACTGGCGGTTTCTTCATCACTGTTCTTGAGAAGAAGTCGGAGATCAGAGCCAAGCCCGAGTCAGAGACCAAGTCCGCCAACACCGCTCCTTCGGTCGTTTCTATCGCTAAAGAGATTGTGACCAAGCCCGAGTCTGAGGGTGTCATTCCCAAGCTTGAGACTGCCGAGGAATACGCTCCTAGCGATCCTAACCACACTGTTGAGACTGGTACTGCTTCTGCTGCACAGCGTCAAAACAAAGAGGCCATCTCTGACATTGATACTGCATCCAACAAGCGTGGTCTGGAAGATGTTGGTGATTCTGCCGCCCAGGACGTCAAGAGAGCAAGAACCGAGAAGGACGAGGGTGCTGGTCCCGGCGCTGTTGGCGAGGTTGGCCAGATGGAACACTGGCCCATGCCTCCCTCAGCTCCTCTCAGACAGGATGAAATCACCCCTGACGAGCCTGCCGCAATCGCCTCCGCAGCAGCCCCCCGCGGCCGTCGCAACAACCAACCCCATGAAGAAGCCTTCAAGTACCTCTCACCTTCGCACGAAGAACTCGACGGCATTTTCGACTTCTACCAACTGTCATCTCGCTTCCCGCGCGACCGCTTCATGGTCCGCAACGCCCTCGGCAACCCCGTCAAGGCAATCTACTACACCACCGCGCTAGCCAAGGACATCCTGACCAAGAACGAAGGCCGCGGTATGAAGTTCGTACACTCGGGTGTTAAGATGTTCGTCAAGCAAGACGCACAAGGCCAAGACATCTGCCGCTGGCGCCTGCAAAGCGAAGGCCTCCCCATCGTCGAAGGCTGGGCAGGCGAAACCCGCATCATCCGCTGCTACAAACAACAAACCCTTCGCAAACTCCTGATCGAGATGTTCCCTCGCGTCAGCGGCGAGCACTGGAAGGAGCTCGGCGAAATCGGCGAAAAGGCTAGGGATATCGGAATGGGCTGTTGTATTCTGCGCGTTGAACCTTCGACTCAAGAAGATGGGTTCGCAGAGAGATTGACATTACCCCTTTGGCGCAGTATTTCGAGCTTGAACTTGATGTTGCCTAAGGAAGAGCGTCGCGCTATGTTGCTCAGACTCTTCAAGGACGAGTCACCGCTTATTGATCACAGTCAACAGCCTAACCGCAAGAACGCACCTGCTAACTCAGACCCCACAGTGTCCGCCACATCGGCACCAGAGACTGTGGTTGACAGTGACGGCGGTGTTGCCCTTAACGACATAGATGCCGATATGGAGGATGCAGATGCTACCGCTCCTGTCGGCGCCAGCGGTGTAGGCACTGAGGAGAATGCAATGGCCACTGAGGATGCTTTGAGAGCGGAACAGCAGACTATCGCTGATGCAGACCAAGCTGTGGCTGCAGCGCCGGAACGTGAAGGCGAGACTGACGAAGCCAACACTACTGTTTAGAGAGCACAAGGATGGGAAGGTCTCTGCTATATTCAATGGAAATAAAGATTAAGCCTCGAGTTTAGAGGAAGGCTAGAAAGAATGAAACTTGCTTTTTACGTTATGGATGTTCTTTGCTCATGGTGCTGCTTGTACTATTTTGTGCCTCGTTGCCTGCAGCAGTCCTATGTCCGAAGAGGCATGGAGATTCACCATGGTCATGAATACGCTTCTCTTCTTCACTCTACCATAGACAGGATTCAACGCCGCTGTCTGTATTTACGAAGTGCTAGAAGCATGTTGTCTTGCCAGTACCGAACTGCGAACAAGTCGTGCGATCTCTCATCCTTGATGGCAGCCACTGCAGACACTTCAGAGCATCGAGAGCTCTTATTTCAGCCAAAAACCTCAAAGTAGCAATCACAATGAGAACAATAAACCTTGGAAGCAATGTGTAGTGATAACATTGCAAGAACGATGCGAAAGAGCTCGAACCAGAAGAAATCGGAGAATGACAAACACATATGATATAAGAAGAGTTGTAACAAGAACATCTAAAAGTACATAAAAACAAATCCCAGGGGGTATAGAGTTCCAGAATATCCAAACCAGACCAACGTATAAAAAACCAGAAGTATATGTCCAAGAAAAAGGAGAATAAAAAGTGTAGGTAGATGTAGTTCCTCCAAATGTACGCCGTATATATCGTATTCCGTCGTGACAGATCTTGATTTAGGACGTCTGTTCTATTTCAACAGACCGCCTACGTCTTGGAGGCAGAGGTCATCGCTCAGAGGCCTTTGTCGAGTAACTGGGAAAGTCACCATTCGGGGTGCTTGAGAATCTGGCGGTATGCTTGATGGAGGTGCTCGGGTGGTAGGCGAAATAGGTTCGAGCGGCGCAGGTCTGCTTTGGCTGGGTAGACTGCCTCCAAGCAGACCACCAATATCTTGCAGACTTAGCGTGTCACTATTCTCTCGTCGACGGTCTAATTGCGACGGTGGCCGCGAAGCAGGACCATCTCTGCTACGTGCTGGACGTGATCGTGATCGGTCCCTATGTGTATTCGTACGATGAGATCGGCTCCTTGTCAAAGATAATCTCCCGCCGAGATCTGAAAGTATGTCTTGGGTTGGTCTGGATGCACCAGGTGTTCGGGGGCCTTGGACGGCAAAATCCTGAGCGGTAGTGCCGGAACCTTGTCGAGGTTCGCTGCCACCAAGCAGACCACCCACATCGAAGAACGAGACGCTTTGGCCTGTAGATGATGAGGGTGCGGTATCCGAAGGTTTGCGTAGAGCATCAGCACTGTCATGTGGGCTGGGTGGTCCATCACTGGTGTCGGCAGGCGACATGAGAAGCTCGTGCTGATGAGGCATTTTCGAGTTGGAGATGCGGGCAACTGGCGCAGGTCTCGGCAGAGGAGATGTTGGGTAACAAAGCTCGTCGGGCATGCGAACACCCATTTGTCTGAACAAAGCCTCCTCACTGTCGCGATGGAAGGATGCGACAGTGGCGCGACGTGTCTCAGCACGAGATATCGTGTCCAGAGTGGCATCGGGTCTGTATTTGTTNCTTTTGACACCTCGGTCTTTGACGAAAGTGCCTAGAATGATGGCGTTGGAGACGGCAGCAGAAGCAAGGATCTCAATGGATGCCCAGACGGTGCGATATTGTTGACGTCCGTGATGTTGGATGACATAAGGGATGCGCAATCCTGTAATGACGATAAGGGCGACGGAGAAGCTGAAGAGACAGACGAGGGAGAGCTTGCGTTTCAGGCGAATCTGCGAGCGTGCGACGATTGGGATTGGGAAGGCGACGAGGAGGATATCGGTAATAATGTCGGCGGTACCCATAGTGATGAGCTGAGCGTAGCCCTGTCTGCATTGAGGGCCGGGATCTGGCACGACTTGCCAGTACNNTGATGTGGTGTTAGAGCACACGCAGCAAGGTGTGTATATGGATGATGTGCTTACATGGTCGAAGGGTTGGCATTCGGAAAGAGTGGCTATGACTACGGCGATGAAGGTTGCAATAAGAAAGACGCGGATACAATGAAGGATAATCTCATAGCTCCGTCGCCAGATGGCACTGGTGATGCGCTTGAGAAATTCAGAGACAGTGAACTTGCTGATCCAGATGAAGAGAGCGTAATTAATGCGTGATGCGAGGACCAGTTTTGAGCCTATCTGGCGAAGGTAGATCTCGTAAGGAGTGAGGTTTGCAGACTGAACATTGTTGGTTCCGTACAANAGGATGACATGGACCAGCCCCATGCGCGCGAACAGCGGGATGAGACTCAGGGCCATGACCTTGTCCTCCTGGAAGAGTCGGCCACTTCGAATCTTTCTGCCAGCCAGGCGCGTGAGGATAATGACAGCAGCAAAGATAGTACACCACCAGCTGAAGAGCAGTGTCGGCCAGTTTCCACGACGGGTGCGTGCCTCAGGCGGCGCATTGTTCCAGACTCCCATGCTCTTTCCTGACAAAGCCCACCGCCTCCGCAGAGGGGTGAGCGTTCAAGGTCGTCCTGTAATGGTCTGAGAAGAAGCCCCTCCAGTCGCGACTGCACAAATGAAGCCTCGTCGTTGTACGTGAATTTCTAGTCGCGACGCTTGGACCGTCGCTTCCTTGTTGTCGGGTCTCAGAGACAAAGCCCTTGTTTCGATCGTCTTCGTCGGTCGCGTGTCGAGCAGTATGCGTCGTGATGAAAAGGAAATTGATCTCCTAATGTCGGAGCGCCGAAGACGGTCAAAAGGATGCTGCCGCAAGATAGCGAGACATGGTCAGGCCTAAGTCGCTCCCCTTGCCCATAACGCCACTGATCCAGACTTCAAGATAAGCACCTTTAAACTTCCAGAATCCGTTGCAAATCCACGTCTCCAATATATTCGCTCATCGTAACGACTTCTTAACGATCTTGCCCCGAACTTCTCCATATCTCTCGAGTCTTCTTGCTACCTATTCATCGCATCCGGATTGATTGAAACCTAACCTGAAGGCTTGATTGCTTCGGTCACAGTTCCCCGCCGACAGCTGAGCGACACTTTCGACAGCCGCCATTACAGGGTACTGCAGATCTTGTACATCCTGGAGACATATATGCACCTATTTGCGATAGACAGCTCACTTTATGTGCTGGCAACACTGCTTCCTCAAATCGTCCGTCTCTTCGATGGTCGCTCCCAAACCTTCCACTCTTTACATTGCCAATCACAGAATTTCGAGATAAAGAGTCGCCTGGGTGGGGTCTGGCCCCTGGCAACGGCTCTAGATCCCGACTGACAAACTGCCACGTTCGGCTCCATCCGGAAACCTTCATTGATTAGCCAGAACGCCATGTCCTCCTACATCTCCTAGGGCTCACTGGATCAATTCATCATCTGCTTCCAAAGTGCCTCTGCTTATCTTCCGATACTTGTCTCATAAAGTTAATTTTCGACAAAGTCTATAGATTCTGATAACTCATGGGATCAGATCTCTGACGTCCGTGTTCTGATTGCAAGCCGGTTGCTCACTCACATAGACGCCTTGTACTTTTTCTGTCTCGATGGCGGTCATGGTATCAATATGATCAAGCTAACCAATGTCTTCCACTCTATCAAGGAAACACTTTTGACGTCGATTACTCTAGCTGCCTCGAGACACAGCAGTCGTTCAATGGTCACTGACGATGAATGATCGGGATCTGCATACAACATCAAGCTCTCTTTTGGCTCACTTGGCAAAAGAATGCTAACACCACCAAACATAGATGTCAAAGATGCTTTTACAATCTTACTAATCAAGGCAAGTTATATCAAGACACAACCTATGCTTGGTGGCCACAGCGTCTCTACCATAACGCATGCCACATACATCAACATCAAGGTTGGGAACTCTGACTGCGCCGTTCAGATTCAGAGCTGCCATAGTAAAGATCAATGCTAATGCGAAACCAACAATGGCAATGCTATTCGAAGAAAGCTGTCTCAAAGAACTTCTCAGGTACTACCAGCACTAGTAGTTTGATCTGTGGTGCAAAGAATGTTTGTGGAGTGAAGATCAAGAACCAAATTGCCAAAGCTGATTCTGGAACTGGTCAGGCGCTTTGTGCCAGTACGCTAAATCATTGTGACCTTGTGGTAAAGAAGATTCGTCTGGTTGAACAATCTTGGAGCAAAGTGAAAGAGTTAGTGGTATTGTTTTTCACTTTCATCACACTCTTCCGCGCGACGCGTTGTAGTCTTCCTGTTTCTTCTCACTCTCACTTCGCGTGCCTTGGCGTGTCTCTTCCATATAACTGCCTCTTGCTTACTTTTACACGACACACCTTCCACACCTCGTCAAGAATCTAACAGCAAGACCATGTCGAGTCCTTCATCAGTACAGATCTCACCGGAGGGTCAAAGTCAGAAAGAACTACGGTATGTTCTTCTCATAATAAAGATATACGAGTCAGCGCTCACATGAACAGTAAACACAGAAACCTCGGCACATTCTTCTCAGACAAGACACTTTCAGATGTCATCGTCAAGTTTGGCGACCAGGAGATCTTTGCTCACAGAATTATCCTTGTGAAGAGTTCTGTCTGGTTTGAGAAAGCCCTGCTTGGAGATCTCAAGGTAGGTCAACATGTCAGACGTACAGAATACCATTGCTGATCAATCAGGAATCAAAGCAGANCTGTGATCGATATCGGAAACGACGATGACCCAGCCGCTGTGACTGCCATGCTCAGGTTCTTCTATGACGGCACTTATCGTCTGGATGGACTCAAAGGCAACTCCGCTGACCAGCACCTGACCATGTATCGACTCGCCGATCTCTACGATGCCAGTAGTCTGCGCAAGCAGGCCTCACGCCACTTGATTAACCAGTTCAGCCAAGACCGCTACCACACCAATTCTGCTGACCAGTATCGCATGGCAGACCAAGTCATTCGCTCAATCCAGCAGATCATCGGACCTAGCGCAGACACTTTCGCCGACAACAGTATCCAGGAAGACGTCTTCAAGTTCATCATCGAACAAGCAAGCTCCATGTACAAGAATGAGCTATTCCAGGAGCTGTTGGGCGACGGAAGTATGTTCAGCGAGTCGTTTGCTCGCCGCTTCTTCCAGAAGACCGGTGAGCTCATCACCCGTCTGCAGAGAAACAGATCAGACGTAAGTTTTGCTGTATGGTGTATGCCGTCCAAGTTGCAGCATGAGGAATATAAGTACTGACTCAACCCTCACAGGATTGGGGCGCGACCCCCTTCTCGCCATACTACACCCCCTTACAGCTGGGAAACCGACACATGGGGAGTCTGGTAAGATCCACGATACCATGCCCCAACAAAGTCTCCAGAAGGCAGCAAACACTCCCTTGTACCAGAACCAGGAAGGAGAGTTGATGGGGGTTTCGATCGAAGAAAGGGCGAACATGATACCAACGGCAGGCGAACAGTTCTTCCAGCTTAGCTTATTTTCTACAGAGAACCTTCTGCTTTTGCTCTTGAAACAATGCATTTCTTACACAAAATCTCTAATCTCTACCACCTCCATGTCTCGTCAACAACTTCCACAATTTGTTACATCTGGCGAGGACAAAAGCTTGTCGAATGGCTTGAGCGGATATTATTATAACTCCAAATCATACAACTCAGTGAGGCAGCGATCTGCTATCAACACTCGTGCCATTTCGTTGCATTCGGATCTGGCTTTCATTCATCTCTGCATCTCTAACACAACATCCACTTCTCATAGTCTCAACCTGAGTGATTGCATCGGTGACTTGAAGTTCTGAGAGTTGATATCGCACTCTTCCCAACACCATACACAGCAATGAGTGGTTGCACACACGAGTAAGTCTAGAACAGGAAGCTGCTTACTGGAGATTCAGGGATGCAACCCTCACATGTAGCTAATTGTGAATGTTACATGGCCATGAAAGTGAAGATATTGACTCGTGGTAGATTTAGGTGGGACTTCTCCTGTCACTTCAGTCTGACAAACTCACTGTCACTCTGCGAGACGCGACTTCATCTTCTCGGCGATCTTTAACATCCACTTGCCCTCTCACACATCGCCTCCGAACGATCTTCCCAACACACTCAACTCTGGAAGAAGCATCCTTCTTCCTACTACGTCTTCCAGCCATCATGGCCAACAATACACCTTCGAAGTCAGTCATCCTCATCTCTGTAGACTATAAAAGGTCATCGTCTAATTCTAGTACAGGAAGCGTGACTTCTTCAACGATGAAGAGTTCTCAGACGTCATCGTCAGATTTGCTAACCAGCAGATCTTCGCTCACAAGGTTGTGCTTGCGAGCGGATCAGTCTGGTTCGAGAAAGCCCTCTGCGGCAACTTCAGTGTACTATCTGTTGTCAACCGAGAAATCATGAATCATGTTGCTGATCATACTACAGGAAGCCAACAAGAAAGTCATCGAAATCCATGACGACGATNNGCAGGCCCCGATGCAATCATGGCCATGCTCAGACACCTCTACGGCTCGAAATACGAAAATCAAAAGATATACATTGAACCCAACAGCACTGCAGAATTCCACTTGGCAATCTTCATGTTGGGAGACAAATACGATATTGAGTCCCTCAGAGAAGAGGCTGCAGACCTCTTCATGACTTTTCTTCAAGATGAGGTTCAGGATTTCGAACTCTACAACGGAAATCTCCATGCGATTCAAAAGTTGGTTGGTCCCGATGCTCCACAACTTGCAGATAGATCCCTGGCCGAGACTGCTCAGGCATGCATTCTCGTTCACTTCGAGTCCCTTTTCGCAAATGACTTGTTCCGCGAATTAATGGCCAGTGGAACAATGCTTAACGAAAGCCTTGCACTCGGGGTCTTGGATAAGATCTACAAGAAAAAGTTTTGAGGGTAATCTGGCCACTGACAGCAAGAGAACAGAGATTAAGAGGCCGGCTGATACTGGAATCCAAGCACGTCTAGTGAGATGAAGACCTCTTTGAGGGCCATGAAGATAAACAAGACTTTTCGAACAGAAAGGCGACCATGATAATCTCAGTAGAAGATGATTAGGAGGTGGGATGCATTAAGCACTTCGATCATAATTCAAGAAGCAAGCACATGAGTACCATCGCGAATGATCCGAGGGCAGTAATCATCTACGCGTGAAGTCTTCTCTCAACCGTCAAGGAATTCCCTGCACTGTTCCTCTGTACAACACAACTGTGATTGACCTTAGCAAACGCATCACATCCCCATTCGTCCACGTATAGATGGTATCCAGCTGTGTCAGAGCCAGCGACAGTTTTGGGACTAATCACCAGTCGTACCTGATACGACTTCTGGTCCCGGATAGAAAAGTGCAGCAAGAACAAGGAGGGCCAAAGGGACTTAGAGATCTTTCTCAACAGGATAGTATCTGTTTATCAGGACCTTGATTTTGTTTGTGGCTGGTTGGTGATGTGCGTTGCAAGATTTTTCATAAGCCGGATATGTAGTATCGCATTTGGAGATGCTTCGACCTCAAGCATTTGTAGGCGAGCGATGTACCTGAATGTGAGATTTACTGTGAGTCCGCACTGCTTCTACGCGGTTCTGGGATGCTGTGCGTGCTTGCTACGAGTCGTGCGAAGACAAAAGTATTCCTTGTTCATAAGATGCTCACTTTGGAAGGATGGACAAGGTCTCTGGGCAAAAAGAACGCGTCGTCTGAAGAAGCAAAAGAAGATCAAAACACACAGCAGCAGGGACTCCCACGTGGTCACCCACCGTAGTACTAATCTGCCGTTCAACTGCTTACGTATGGCAGAGCGGACGGGATGCCCAGTTTTCAGCCGACTGTGGCCGTATGCGCTCGATAGGCTGATCTTGTCCAACATCATCTTGTCATTGTCAATGCGCTACGACTCGTTCATGTTTGTTGATTGCTGGTCTTGCGATGTAAGAGCAAGCAAAATAGATGATGGATTGTGATGTTGTTGATGAGATGTTGACCGATGCCAACGAGCTGATTTTGTGGATGACGCGAGCTTCCCGTCGCGCCGTGCATTCCTATTGTGACTTTCAGCTCTCATCCTCCCATCCGTCGATATCGCCGCTTCTCCACTGGCATGGTCCAGTCGAGCTGAGATGCAGGAAGCATGCTACGCTGATCAAAGTCTGAGTCGTCAATGAGTCGAGTGTACTCTGTAGCAGAGGTGGGACGTCGCGCTGTTTGCATGAATCTACGTGCCGCAAACCCCACCCCTCTGTCGGAACCTGTGCATATTGACTACATTGTTGCCACCGACTCGAGTCGCTCTTTCTTCTGTTTCTTGCCATAGAGATCAACCATATCCATCAACAAACAACCTGTTCTCGAGCATGGCTTTCACACATGCCAACCGTGCTCTGCCACGGCTCGCAACAAGCACCATTCGATCACAAAACATCTTGCGGCCACATGGATCAAGCCCTTTCAATTGCACTGGCTTCTACGCCCCAAGCTCACGTCGCACATTCTTGGGTTCTTGGCTGGCCAAAGTGGAGAGAAAAAATCCATGAGATGGAGCGGAAAGAGGAAGAAATCCTGCAAGAAATGGAAAGGAACGAGCCAGGATCGCGTCAACGAATGATGAATACTTGGCTGTACAAGAAACGCAAGGAGGCGGAGCAGAAAGCCCGAGCATTGGACAAAGATCTCGACGCGAGAATTGGAGCAAATGAGAAGGCAAAATGCAGAATTACAATTTCGATCAACCCTCCAAAGAAAATTGGCAGCCGAACGAGAAAAGGTACGCGAGAAGTACCCCGAGTGCAACAACTTGGACAACGCTCGCTGGATTTGGACTCAGGCCGAAAGAGCATCGGACCAAGGCATTAGCCAAGGTTGGTCAAAGGAAAGGCGAAAAGCTTACTACGAACTGCAACTGCAGGCGGTGGACACCAGGGCTCTATGGCCTTCCCGAGGAAAAGATCCACAAGAACTGTTTGCAGAGCGGAACAAGAAACGCCAGGAGTATGAGAAAATCTTGTTGCAGCTCGAATATGGTGATGGATGGTCGTCGAAAGCGATGCAAAAGCATAAAGAAGAAGCATCCACGTCCGTTGACCCCAATCTTACAGCAACGGACATTCTTGTGCTTGCTATCAACATATCACTGATCGCTATGGCTTCCCAAGTTCTATGGAAGCTCATCATGGGGAAAGAGGAAAAGGCTGCGTCCCAAGATGATGCATCGGAGACTACAGTTGACTGATGAGTATTGCATGTATCAACAAGATGAGGTTTGATTCTTGCCACCATCTTTCTGGAATTAATTCTTGGAAATCTTATAATGCGTTCGAAGCTCGACAAAACTTGATTGAGCAAGTCGCCATAAACTCACACCATGTCAGAAACGTGAATAAGATTCGACTTGGTTGCTGTGTTCCTGTGGGTGCGTTGTGCACAACATACCTTTGAATGATCTTAGTATCGCAAAGAGAAACAGGCATGAATGAATACACGAGACGAAGACGGGGAGCGCCTAGGCACAGCTCGATCACACCGCAATAACGAACAGTGCGTTTCAAGATGCAAAAGTTGACAAATTCACTCTTTTGATCTTCAATCATTAGTGTGATCACATTTGTTGCAGATCTTGACCGAGTATGCAGGTATGGTTACACAAGCCTGGCAAGACAGGGATAGCTGCACTGTGCCGCAATGATAACCAGCCGAGCTGCATGGCCAGAAAATAAGTCTGAGCCGCCAACAATCGCAATGCCTTTCTTTCCACGTCGCCGCTGAGCAAGATCTCTGTCTTTTGCAATAGCCTCAAGCTTTACAAGATGCCTTTCGTTAGACAAAACCACATCAATTCTGTTCGACCACTGTTTGTTACGCGACCAACGATTGTATGCCATTGGGCAAATCGACTCCATACCTCTACCGATACAAGAGCGACTCTGTTGCCTAATCATCCGGAGCTCAATGACCAGACCGCCAGTGATCGCATTCTGAATCAATACCACAATCAATGTGCGACTCTAGGTGTAGGCCGGAGTACCAGACTCCAGGATATTTGCGTTCGACGACCTCAACTGGAGCATTTTGTTCGCCTGAGATCTGATGCTACAGCAGCCCTCGTCTTGAAGCACGGATCTTCGACGAAGCTATTCAAACAGTACAAAGAATGCGAAGACTGGTTGAGGAGGAACGCGCCAAAAGTCAACTTTGCTTACGAAGCAGAGAGGAAAGCTGTTCTGGAACAGTACCCGAAGCTTGCGATAGCGGTCGTGAGGGAAGGCATCCTGAAGCAATACGAGATCGAAAGCGAAAGGATTCTGGTTCCAAGGAGCGCAGAAGAAGGAGCCGACCAACCGAGAGAGTTTGTCGCAGGCATTTTACATAGTGAAAAGCGGCAATTTTGCGAACTGGCGCTACATTACGTCGCGATACATCTGATCGACAATCCTATTACTACCGAGGATGCACTCGAAAAGTGGAAGGCCGACTATCAACGATGTCAAGACACCCTCGCGAAGGTGTCGTTGATCCCATATAAGGAAGAAAAATCAGAGGCTTTGGAGAAGTATCCCGACCTCAAGGATCTCGATGCGTGTCGCACAACCATAAGTGAATATAATAAGCTTCTCGATGTGTTGGCAGAAAAAGAGAAGCAAGGGACCAAGCTCTCTGCCAAAGATTTTGAGGGGATCTTGAGCTCTGGATTGAAGTCTATAGCTGCACAAGCCTTTCTGCCTGGTGCTGATCAAGTCGAGCGTAGGAAGAAAAGACAAGAACATCGTGAATACTTTCTATCCGAGTTGGAAGTCAGTCAGGCAAAGGAGAAAAAACTCAGGCTCTGGTTCATTCTAGACATTACGTGGCTCGGCGAATTTGTTGGACTTATATAGTCTCAGAGTTGATAGGCGGTGTTCTGTAGTGTTCCAAATTGAAGGCAGGAACGCTGATGGAGGTCATCCATTTTAAGGTTCAACCACGGCCTCTCAAAGCGTTCATTAAATGCTCGCCATATCTCTTGTTCGATATCTTATATTTAAATAGAACTTACGGCTTCCATTGGACATGTTGACCACCACTTGACTGGTGTGTGACAGAGGATGAGATGTTTCTCGAGCAATCACAACCGAGGAGAAGGGTTAGGAAAGCTGACAAGGTCGCCCTTAACCCGGGCAATCTGCCGGGCGCCAAGAGTGGAGTATAGTCTCTCACGACTTTTGAATGAGAGAATAGTTTTGCGTGATCGAGCCAATTTCTTTGCCATTGCCCCATCTGGAAGGTCACCGTGCTGTTCTACACCCTCACTTCTTTTCCTTGTCGCTCTCTTTTCTTATCGTTCATTGTTGTTCTGCTTGTATATACATTTATTGGCCAGGGGCTCTTACCATCTTGCGTACGACGACGTACAAAAGCTTCGTAAAGTGCTCGCCTCACGATCAGTCAATTTTGGCCTAAAGAGGTTTTAGAAGTTTCAAGGCACGAAGATGGTGGCCGCGAAGATCAGAAGGGTAGCCGTAATTGGCGCCGGTCCTTCAGGAGCGATCACAGTAGATGCACTGGCTCGAGAGGAGGTATTCGATCAAATTCGTGTTTTTGACAGGCAGGAAGGTCCAGGAGGATGTTGGTAAGTTCCTGACTTTCTGATCGTTCAGAACCCTGTTGTCCTAAGATCCATGGTCATTGAGCATAGCTGACTCGATGGACAGGNNTATGGAGATAAGCTACCACCAGTTCCATTGACCAATTTCTCAGAGCTTGCCACAAGAACGGCAGATCAGCCAGTAGAATTGCCAGCACAGGTTCCAGGTCATACCTCAAGGAGCACTCAGCCACGCTGGACAGACTCGTCAATCTATCCTTATCTTGAGACCAATGTTGATGTGGTCACCATGGAGTACACTCAAGAACCTATCGTCGGAGAGCTTTCTGCACGAACGATCGAGCTGCATGGTAAAAAATCACCTTTCCGGCATTGGACTGTCATGAGAGATTATGTGACCAGTCTATTCAAACGTAATGGCTACGAAGATCTCGTATGCTACAATACTCATGTTGAAAGAGTGGAGAAGGTTGGTGATGAATGGAAAGTCACCCTGAGGAGAGAGGAAGACGAAAATGATTATTGGTGGGTTGAGTGGTTTGACGCCGTCATTGTCGCAAGCGGACATTTCAATGTGCCTTATGTCCCATCTGTACAGGGTTTGGAAGAGCTCGAGAACCAACATCCTGGCAGTGTTTTACACAGCAAGATGTACCGCGGCCGAGACGCTTACAAAGGCAAGCGTGTTGTTGTGGTTGGCGGTTCAGTCTCTGCAGCCGATATCTCCACCGACCTCGTTGGCGTGGTAGATTCTAAGGTCTATGCAGTTGTCAACGGCCATACCATCAACGTGTACTTTGGAGACGGCGCATTCAACAACCCTGGAGTTACCAGAAAGCCAACCATCTCGCATATTGATACCTCAGCAGGTCAACGCACTGTACACTTCATTGACGGTACATCAGTACAAAACGTTGACCACATTATTTTTGGCACTGGATACTCCTGGAGTCTCCCTTTCCTGCCAGATGTCAAGATCAGAAACAACAGAGTACCTGGACTATATCAGAATGTTGTCTACCAACAGGACCCAACACTCTTATTTGTTGGCGCAGTAAGTAATACTTGATCTCGGTATTCTGGTCAACACTAACACGATGGATAGGTTGGAGCTGGGTTGACATTCAAGATTTTCGAGTGGCAAGCTGTACTCGCAGCAAGATTGCTGGCTGGACGTGCTAAACTGCCGCCTCTTGAAGAACAACAGCAATGGGAGGCAGAACGCGTCAAGAAAAAGGGAGACGGTCCTGCGTTCAATGTCATTCATCCTGACTTCGAGGAATATTTCGAAACTGTAAGGACTCTGGCAGGCNCCGGGCGTAAAGGAAAAGGACGACCTCTACCACCTTACAAGCCTGAGTGGTTCGATGCGTTCATGAACGGTCACGAATTGCGAAAGCAGATGTGGGCCAGAAAGAATGCTGCTTTTTCAGAGAACGTTCAATCAAAATCTAGACAAACCGATCCTCCGGCTTGTCCTTCTCTTCACAGCTTCACTGTGCTATCAAGTTGTCTTTGGTCTGCGGCAGATCAGTTTGGACTATGTGGTTGATGTGATTTCCTCATGATTGGACAGGGCATAAAACGAGACAAGCCTATGGCAATCTCATGAAATTGACTTCGATTGGAACAGTGATGTCTATCATCGATATAAAGTTTCGTAAAAACGGTGTTCCCGTCTGGAACAGGGTCGCATGATCTAGGTGACGTTATTGCCCCAGAGCAAGTCTCGGCGCAACCAGAGCCCGAGGGACCTCGACCTCCCTTGCTGACGAAGCAGGCACGATCTTGTTCCTCTTGTTCCTCTTTTTCCTCGTAATGTCATATCTGAATTGCAGTGACATAAGTGAAATCACTCAAGTCTTCAACATGGATGGAACAGATACAACAAAGGATACTCAGAAACCCCGGGAACTCAGACGCAAGGCGCAACTACGCGACGCCCAGAGACGGCTGAGGCAACGCAAAGCGGAAGAGCTCAAGGATGCAAACAGCGAGATTGAAACTCTTCGTAAACAACTCGCAGAAGCCAAAGAAGTCATCGCGCGTCTGGGTACCCAGACAAGGACTCCGATGAGCAATGAGATGGTCACCCCAAACCCAGCATCTCACCAGCCCACTGAGGACTACCAACACGAATTTGAACCTGCACACAATATGGATCCTGAAGTCAACCTTGAAGGGTTTATGGTTGACGATACTACTCTTGGGAACCTTTGGTCCCCTGTGTCTCCATCGACACTTGACAGCTTCTTTCCTGGACCATCGAACGATCTATTATCCTTAGGTATGGCTGATACCCTTCACTTCCCACAACCTAGCACCATCTCAACTCGCTCCTCCCCTACAGAACTTATATCACAGTCTTCAGATCTAGAAACCGCGCAAATCTGGCCGCTCGGGTATACTGCTGTCCTTGACGACCATGTGCCTTACATGCCATTATCAGCTCATACAGACACACCTTCAAGTCCCCCAGCTCAGCTTGTTCGACAACTTGATTCGATTCCATATACCTCTNTTCGCGAGCCAACCTTTGCANAGAGGCTATGGCGACGATGCGCGGAAACGGCACTACGCATGCTTGCAGACACTAGACGGCATCAAGCTGGCTTAGAGAACGCCTTTGGTGCTTACCTAGATCGAGTCACTCCCGAAAAGATTCGAAGATCGCTAACCTCGGCCCTGGGAAGAGACGACTACGGCGAACTGGAGTACCACAACTATCCTAACTTCGATTTCGGTTCTTCTCCGCGAATGGTGCAAGGCAAAGTCACCACGGACCTCCTGGCTTCGGCGCAACACGATTTTGACGACGATCCATACATGACACCTCGTGATGTTGAGAGTTACTTTGTCTTGAATGGTCAGCTAAGGCAGTCTGTGGATCCGAAGGGCAATTTCGTGACTCGACCCTGTCACTTTGACTATCAGGGCAACCGCTGGATTCTGGAAGAGAAGAAGCTCATTCAAAGTAAGCCTGTCGATGCCAGGATATGACGAAATGCCACTAACGACTTTGCCANNGTACTTACGCAGTTTGCTGTCTGCCTTGGTCAGGGCCCTGCCCTTCTTGCATCGCATGTCATTGCTGCTACGTTACAGAGCATGCAAAGGGTGACAAGTTGAGAATGTTGCGCAACGCACTAGCTGTCAACAGCATCAGTTTGTGGCATTGTGCCATGACATTTTATCGATACTGGTTTCTTCATCGGATGAGATCAATTGATTATTAGTCAATTTACGTGTCTGAGAAACCGCAAGCGAATAGTACGTCCAATGCCTACTTCGAGACCTTGTCTTGGAAGCTCAACTGCTGCTCTACGGTCTCTCTAAATGTCTGCTTCCACGGACGCCATTCAAGACCAAGGTACTTCCCAGCATTGGCAGCATCTGCTTTACTGTTGGGCCCATCGTAAATCGGCTCGAGTTTGCTGATTTCGGGGTATTCTTGCTTCGTGAACTCTGCGATCTCATTCCAGGTTACTTCGGGGCCCGAAGCGATGAATTCGGTACCCGAAGGAGCATCGCAGTTGATTGCTCTGACATGGATGGCAGCCACATCCTTGACATCTACCCAGACAGACGGAAGGGGCGGAGGGTTGGGCATCCCGTGTTGGATGATCATCCACAAATGACCGTTTACGAAGTCGATCTGCTCGGCCGAGCCCTGAATTCTGCTTTCACCAATGACAAGTGTTGGGTGTGTGCTGAACACCTTGAACGAAGGCTTTTCTCTTGCGATGAAGTCGCGGGCAGCTTGATGGGCCAGAACCTTTGAGATGCGGTACATTGTTTGCTGACCCTCTGGACCATCTGGTATGTCCATGTCAGTGTCTACGGGGAACACTTCACCCGTGTTTTCTGGGGTAGGTTAGTAATATCCCGGTTGCCGATACGGGTCAGTCTTACCACTGAGAACTCTGTCGACTTCCATATGAGTGGCAATTGGCAGCAAAGCAATACCAGACGAAGTGATGACGACAGCTTTTATCTTGGGGAATTTGAGCGCTGCATACAGTATCGCTTCTGTGCCATTGAGTGCAGGCTTGATGAAATCTTGTTTCAAGTCTGTTCCTGTTCCAGGAAGGGGAGATGCGACATGGATGATAGCGTCGATATCAGCCAAAGCGGATTCAAAAGGTTCACGTTGAGTGATATCCGGGATCACGACAGTCTCGATGTCAGAAGCATATTTGGGGTAGCGGTTCTTCAATATAGTAGCCTGTTCGGGTCTTCTGATGCTGAGACGGACGCGGTAGCCTGCTTCAAGTGCCTGGTGAACAACTTCAGCACCGATGTAGCCTGTGGCACCTGTGATGAAGATAAGGGATTTGGACATTTTGTTGTTTGGTGGAATGAGTTGAGTTACAGTGCTTGTAAGCTACTTCACAGAGTGCGACTGACTGTCGTTTTATCTCACCTCGAAGCAGTTTCAGGCGTCCAACGATCCTTCACACTTAGTGATGATTATGCTTTGTAAGACAGGATGATCGTTGCCTTGGCTGCACTTGATCCTTCTGCTGCGGATCCTTCCAAGTCTGATTGGCATGGGACAAATACTCGGGCAGCAAAATGGCACCGTGTCAGCAGGTGGGAAGATTGGTCTAGAAATGAAGGAGTAAAGATGCCCCGTTCCCGAGGCCTGAGCAACGCACGCCGGCAGATATCGAACTCCGTTCAAGGCTTCGTGGCACAAGTGATCAAGAGCTTCATATGGGTGCTCGGATTTAACAGGTTCTCCACCGAGACTCAAACTCCGAAGTGTGGGGTCGTTGGGTCAACAATAAGCTTGGGTCACCTCCCACTAGGCATGCATTCGTAAACAATGATAGTCGCCTCGGCGAACATACAAGATCCCTGAGTAACACGCCTATATACCAGCGACCAAGACTCTTCGCCGTCTTGTGTTGCCCTCCCCAACGATGAGTCGTCGCCTTGAGCTGCGCCAGAACCGTAAGCCATGGCACACTACGGACGCACTAATCGTTAGAACTACCCACCTTGGGGCTGATTATCAGTAATCGCCAGAGCTGGAACACGAATTGAGTTCACTAATCGTCTTGTTATAGGCGTTTGTTCACTAATCGTGTCTAACGACGTGGTGTTTACAGACAACATGGCCAGCCGTCTTTCAGCTCTATATAATAACCCTTTGACAGATCTCTGGAACAACCGTCGCTCTTCGTGAAATCTGTCAACCATAAAGAACCACAAGCCACTGGAACTCAATCTGATCGTTTGAACATCGTCATCATGCCTCTTTGGCAAATCTATCACCCACCCGGTGTCTTCGAAGACGCAGACAGCAAAGCCGCCCTCGCAGCCGACATCACAAAAATCTACACTGGAGTCGGATTGCCCGCCTTCTACGTAGTCATCCACTTCAACACGATGCAACCCTCCAATGTGTATGTGGGCGGCGTGACCAAAGCAGAGTCTTCCAAACCCTTCATCCGCATTGTGATCAAACACATTGCGATCCGTCTCGAAAACGACACCGAGCGCTATCGCAGAACCGCGGGAATGATTGATGCAGCACTCAAACCGCATATTTACGACAAGGACTATGATTGCGAGTTCCATGTTGAGGAGACGGAGCGCAGGTTGTGGAAGTTCAATGGCTTGATTCCACCGGAGCATATGAGCGAGGAACATATGGTGTGGGTGAAGGAGAACAAGCCTGTGCCTTACAAGGGTGCTTATTGGTCTGCCGAGAAGGGATATTATTGAGTCGGACTGGATTGAGATGAGACATGATTCTTGTGGGCAGATGGGAGAAAATGCTGCGGTCTGTGTGGTTCAGTATTTTTGATTTGACATGATTCGGTGTAGTTACGAATAATGAATTTCTGAAGCCAGAATTGTCCTTGTATGTCACGGAGAGAAAGAAGCACCAGTTAACGTCATAAGGCCTGTTATGGCAGGAACGACTCACGAAGTGTCAAGGAGCAACAACGCTTGCTGAAAACGACCAGTGTTTCTGCAAGATAGAAGAACTTGGACTTGTCTCGGCCTCAGAGAAAACAGAGCACCCATTGAAAACTTCTGAAGACTCTCTGATCTCTTCGAGCATCATGTTCGATGCTCCCATGACGAAACACTCACCCAGCAGTACACGCTACTGTCACCTCTATCAAACTACTCGTCGTCGTCGTCTCCTAGCCTTACTCTTGCCAGTGGAGTTGTGGTGAGCGTCTCAATGAGCGGAAGCGGGCCGATGTGGAGAGTCGAGTTGCAGAATTCAGCGATGTCGGCGAAGCTGTGGGCGCCCCACTGTCGTGTGGGAAAGTGTACAGGCCAAAGTTGAAATGAACATTTAGACTCATACAACAACACACATACACTACAGAATGCCTTCATATAACATTGTCGTCTTTGCCGGTGAGTGACACAGCAGCAGGATGGGGAGAATTGAACAAGGCTGACTCGCGACAGGTGACCACTGCGGTCCTGAGGTACGACCACGCCTATGACATAACCGCTGTGCTCAATTTACTTACACGCAGTCGCACACAGGTCACAGCTGAGGCTATCAAGGTACATGGCCATTGTAAGAAGGAAACAAAGAAACAGTTCACTCACGCGACACACAGATCCTCAAGGTGATCGAGAAGGAGGCCAAGGACATTTCCTTCAACTTCAACGAGCAACCGCTAGGTGGTGTACGTCTCTCCCCTCTCAGTCAACCACGACAGAAGCTGACATTCTACAGGNCTTCAATCGACGCACACGGTATTCCTCTTACCGACGAGGCTCTCAGCGCCGCAAAGTCTGCCGATGCCGTCCTTCTCGGTGCCATTGGCGGTCCTGTACGTTCTTCACCAAGTCTTCCTCGCCAACCACACCGTCTGACAAGAAATAACAGANAATGGGGTACTGGTGCAGTCCGTCCCGAGCAGGGTCTTCTCAAGTTGCGCAAGGAGATGGGCACATTCGGCAACCTCAGACCTTGCTTCTTCGCTTCTGACTCCCTCATCGAGGGCTCACCACTCAAGGCCGAGGTCTGCCGTGGTGTCAACTTTAACATTGTCCGTGAATTGACTGGTGGTATCTACTTCGGTGACCGCACCGAGGACGACGGTTCAGGTTACGCCATGGACACCGAGCCCTACTCGCGCCCCGAGATCGAGCGCATCACCCGTCTGGCCGCCAACCTCGCCCTTGCCGAGAACCCTCCAGCTCCCGTTTGGTCTTTGGACAAGGCCAACGTGCTCGCCACCAGCAGACTGTGGAGAAAGGTCGTCACCGAGGTCATGGAGAAGGAGTTCCCTCAGTTGCAGATTGGTCACCAGCTCATTGACAGCGCTGCCATGATCATGGTCAAGAACCCCCGTGCCCTCAACGGTGTCATTGTCACCAGCAACTTGTTCGGCGACATCATCTCAGACGAGGCTTCCGTAATTCCCGGCAGCTTGGGTCTTTTGCCCAGTGCTTCGCTCAGTGGTGTCCCTGATGGCAAGAGCAAGTGCAATGGTATCTACGAGCCCATCCACGGTATGCTTCCTGAACCCCTCGTCCCATACTCCAACTAATGCCCCTTCCAGNGATCCGCACCCGATATCTCCGGCAAGGGCATCGTCAACCCCGTCGCCATGCTCCTTTCCGTCGGCATGATGCTCAAGTACTCGCTCCAAGAGCCCGAGCTCGCCAAGTCGGTCGACGAAGCCGTCAGAATTGTCATCGAGCAAGGCATCAAGACCGGCGACATTGGCGGCAAGGCAAAGACCGCAGAGGTCGGCGATGCCGTTGCCAGCGAGTTGGCCAAGCTCCTCAAGAAGTAAACAGAAGGAGAAAAAAGTTATACGCCGGAACATGAAATTGTATAAAAAGCAAGGAATAGATACGACAAACAGCGAATGACATTTATTATGATCTTCTACTCAACAAGACTCCAGCATAATTTCTTCCTGCATATTCTGTTTGTGTGATCCTGCACAAGGAAGAAGCGATACAGACAGCGTTGAAATATACATTCCGAAATGGACACCCATTTACTGCCGACTTCCAACAAGAGTACAAGACAACATGTAAAAATCGATCCAGACCCAGGCTAGCGATCCTGCAAGGGTCAGGTGTGGTCTTCTCACGTGCTCAAACCCTGTTATGTGTAGCTATCAAGATGCACAACACTTTTCCAGAGATGGTAGTTTCCGCTGAGAGGTGAAATAGTGATTGTTCTTCCTGGAGCAGACCGTAGACACTAGACAATCATGTATTTCAACAGCTTGTCAACTTCGCTTCTGACGTTGTGAGATGAGCACTCCAAGTACAGCCATAACAACCTCCTCTACTTCTCAGCAGGATACACAACAATCCTATCCAAATCTGCTCCCTTCACATCAACTCCATTGTCGAATCCACCCACGGTGATGTTATTCTCACCCTTACTCAACCATACTTTCAACAGTGTAGACAGTAAAATTTCTTTGTGCGTATCTCTCTGATAGAGTGTTTGCATGCCTGTTGTGTTGTTATTCACAACAACGGAGGAAATGCGACGTAAGGCTCAAGAGAAATTTATGCGGTCTGGAGAGTCGCTGGGCTGGTCGCCGAAGCCCATGTCATCGGTGTCTTGGTAGTAGAAGGAGATCTAATGGTAGGCGTTGTCTCCTTAAATGTTAAAGAAGGTGAGGGTGGAGGTGGTGCTAGATATATTGGTCACGATGGTGTTGTTGCTTGCAAAGTTTTGGGGTGCAGACGAGGGAAGGATCAATAGAAAGAGAAGGAACCAACGAGAATCAGTCACTTTGACCCGAACACCAAAAACCTGAATCAAATTGGGCTTTACAAGTAAAAGGTCAGAAGACTACTACAAAGCAGCTATATCGTTTCAGTCATGACTGTAAAGATCAGGGATTGTCAACAACTATGCCACAAATGACAAACAAATGACAACACGTTGCCTCGGAATGTCTTAGTAAAGATAGAAGGTCTGAGCAAGAGGTAGAACACTCGAAGGCTCGGCCTCACAAACCATACCATCTGCTTCAACNAGTCTGTGTGCACATAGTCAGTACATCATCCTTACAAAAGCTCTATCATCGAGGGCATGGAACAAACTTACATAACTCTCAGCATCAACCTTCATCTTGGGCTTGACAGCATTGAACTTCATGTCAGACTTTCCAATGTTTCGACAATTCTTGACAGCTTCAACTCGCTTCTTCAAACCACATTTGTTGCGCACACCCTTGGCTTGAGCTGCTCTGCTGACAAAGGCAATACTGTTGTGAGGGACCGAGGCGCCGAACATCGGTCTCATGATCATGGGTTCTACCGTAGGGATACTAGCGTTGGCATCACCCATCAAACTGTATGCAACCATACCGCCCTTGATAACCTGAGTAGGCTTAGTGCCAAAGTTGGAGGGATGCCAGAGGACGAGATCAGCCAGTTTGCCAACCTCGATGGAGCCAATGATGTGGGACATGCCCTGAGCAATAGCCGGGTTGATGGTGTACTTTGAGATGTACCGCTTAACGCGGAAGTTATCTGCGCCAGTGCCTTCATCCTCAGCCAAGAAGCCTCTTTGTTGTTTGTTCTTGTGTGCAGTGTTCCAGGTGCGGAGAATGACTTCTCCGCAACGACCCATGGCTTGTGAGTCTGAACTCATCATACTGATGGCGCCGAGATCGTGCAAGACATCCTCTGCCGCGATTGTTTCCGCACGAATACGACTCTCAGCAAAGGCCACGTCTTCAGGAATGTTGCGTGAGAGGTGGTGACACACCATGAGCATGTCAAGATGCTCATCAAGTGTGTTGTTGGTGTAAGGTCTGGTGGGGTTAGTACTGGATGGGAGGACGTTCTCGTGTTCGACAACAGAGATGATGTCAGGTGCGTGACCACCACCTGCACCCTCAGTGTGGTAACTATGAATGGTACGGCCCTTGAACGCCGCCACAGTAGTTTCGACAAAGCCAGACTCGTTGAGGGTATCGGTATGGATCAGAGTCTGGATATCATGTTCATCACATACACTCAGACAAGTGTCGATGGCTTTGGGCGTTGATCCCCAATCTTCGTGCAATTTGAGACCGCACACACCAGCCTCAGCCTGTTCACGCAGAGGGCCAGGCTCACTATCATTGCCCTTACCAGTGATACCTACATTCAGCGGTACGACATCAGTAGCTTGAAGCATACTCTCGATCAGCCACGCGCTTGGTGTGCAAGTTGTGGCATTGGTTCCAGTGCTGGTATCTTGTCAATGGTCTGTCGCAGTATTTGAGTGTCCAAATTCTTACCTTGGCCCTGTGCCACCTCCCAAAAGGGTTGTGACTCCTGAGGCAAGCGATTCAGGTGCCTGCTGAGGACAGATGAAATGGATGTGGCTGTCGAAACCGCCATAAGTGACAATATCCTTCTCAGCAGCAATGACATCGGTGTTGGACCCGATGACCATGTTAGGATCAACGCCATCCATGATATCTGGATTACCAGCTTTGCCAATTCCTACAATGATGCCGTTCTTGACACCGATATCAGCCTTGTAGATGCCAGTGTAGTCAACGATCAGGGCGTTTGTGAGGACTAGATCCAAGCAATCAACGTCTGGACGTCCAGAAGATTGACCCATGCCATCACGAATACTCTTGCCACCGCCAAAGGTACATTCATCGCCATATTGAGTGAAGTCTTTCTCGACCTTGATCCACAGATCAGTAGCACCCAGGCGAACAAGGTCACCAGTGGTGGGACCAAACATAGCAATGTAAGCTTCACGTTCGAGAGTAAACATGTCAAGGTGGGCAGAATCGCCAGCAGGTTCGGGGGTATGATGGAAGCCACCCTCCTGTAGTTTCTCAACAAGAGAATCGGTAATCCTAGAATCATGGAGCGAGCCAGTAGCGATGCCATTGCCTCCTTTGATAACCTGGTTGCCACCAATCTGGACAAGGTTGACAGTCTTAGTGTCACCAGGCTCAAAGCGAACGGAGGTTCCAGCAGCAATATCCAACCTGTATCCCAGGGCTCTGACACGATCAAAGTCGAGTAAAGGATTGGTTTCGACAAAGTGGTAGTGTGATCCGACCNNTAGACGCGTCAAACTTGACTTCCTCCGTGTCCTACAGATGCAATGACCTACCTGGATGGGACGGTCTCCTTTGCTAACAACCTTCAATTGTATCCTCTTTCTGTCCTTGTTAAGGACAATCTTGCCATTCTTGACAGGTATGATTGCACCAGGCTGTTTCTCGGGGGTGTATTCAGAAGGGTCGGCATGAGGGAAGATTTCTTTGTCTGGGACGGGCAGGAAGCTGCCGTACAGGGCTTTCTCGAGATCGCCGTCGTCGGAGCTGATAGGGTGATGGACGGTGACCAGGTAGGTACCAGAGGGAAAGGTTCCTTCGACTTGAAGCTCGACCAAAGAGTTGACTACGGGCGGGAGGACATGACGGCGGCCGAGGATGGTCTTGCCCAAGGACATGAGATCTGCCACCGAGTGGTTGCCATCGCGGATAAGCTATCGCAACGCGTTACTTTGGTCTGCAGCCGGGTGAAAAGGAGAAAGAGGTGAACCAACTTCTTGGAGGACGCTTGCGATCAGAGCNCTGAGGGCACAATCAGCGACTACTCCTTGTGACAAACAGCATGAGCATACCGTCGCTTCAGTCTGGTTCAGCTTGACGCCGCGTGCCAATCTACGCTGTGCAAGCTGGCCGACTTGCGAAATGACCAGCTTGTCGAGCTATAGACAAACACCATGTCAGTTTGAGTATCAGCAGCGGATATATGGAAGTTCGCAAAGCTGCATACCTCTTTTGGAGTCAAATGCATTTCGAATGACTACCAGAATGGCTCAAGTCAAAGCATCCGCATGTCTTGACACATCGAAACCCCCACTACGGCCTTGGCATTTCTGTCTCCCATTCGGCCCCCACGTTCCTCGCCGACTCTCGCTATTCGTTATCGACTCTATCGATACTGGCCGGGACTATAACATTCATGGTCTAGTCGATGGTCTATACAGATTGCGCAATGTCTGAGATCTCGTTTAGATGGACGCATTGAGCACTCTCATTTACCCGCAATCGATGTTTAACCGTTTCTGGGGAAATGATGGAGAGCTCAAAGGATGTGAGTGACCTTTCAACGGGACAACCTACATACCTGAGGTACACTTTGACCGAACGTGAGTCGCAGACATCCAGTAAACACTGAAGGCGACCTGTTCCCTCATGCTCTTTTCATCCAAAGCAAAGGATGCTCGATGTAGGGACAACCACACATATAGCCAGGGTCATACAGGCTACCAGCACTTTTGGAGAGTATCTCATCGATGACTCTAGCACACAAACAGGAGGCGCGATTGATGCGCTTGGACTCAAGAGGTTCCTAAATGTGCAGGTCAAGAACCACTGCTCTCGTCTTCTCATACTTCGTCAGGCATTGGTGTATGTTGCACTATCGATACCTCAAACAATGAAACCGAAAACCTTCTGTCGTTCAACGGCGTGGTGTCGAAGACACCTTCTAGAAAGCGGAACGTCGTTCTGCCGCTGCCTGAACCACAAAGACATGAGCCCACAAAACATGGCACGCCTTGTCAGCAATTTACCTTCGTTTGATGCCAGTCGTAGTTCTGCCAAGATCCTTTAACAACATGCAAGGCTTCCTACAAGGATTCAGAATCTCCCATTGAAGGCGCGTTTGCCGGAAACACGCGCTCAATGAAGCTTAGCATACCGAACTTGCCATCTTGCTGTCAAAAGATTGCAAGTTCCAAATACAACCATCATCAAGTCTGCTCTGATCGACTCTGCAGCCAAACATTGCGAATTGCCTTGGCAATGGACCATTATGCCGAGACAGGGTGATCTCAATCTCGTCCCGAATAGCCCTGGTTCTTGACGGAGCGGCTCGCTGCAAGCCTCTCTCCAATATTGAGCTTAACCGATTGTCTTGTTTAGGGATGCCTTCCCACGTGTAACCAGGAACTCCTCCAGCCATGGCACGTTGAATTGAAGGACGGTGTCAATGACGGCATGCTCAGGTACATGAAACATTTGTGCAAAGGCGCTTTTCCACGATTGCGTGAGGGAACCACTGTTAACAGATTCTAGCGAGAGTGTTCGTTGACCGTGGATCGCTTACCCTGGCAGAGACATGATGGCGAAGCACGAGCCATAGCTATAAAGTATGTTTCTCAGCTAAATCCGTAAAGCGCTTCGGGGGATACGGGTTGCAAGGCTTCCTGGACTGGACGCTGCAACAAAGTCAGCAGCTGACCCGATGCTTGACTGCATGATATCGGGAGCTCTGGCAGCAGCAGTGTTTAGCAGGTACTTTGTTGGTGTACAAATCTCAGGAGTAACAAACGTTCTCGCATGTGATTTTGGCACATGTTCGTTTCAGGGCCTCGACGCGGAGAATAGAGTTCGACCGGCCAGCCGCCCTCGCATGCCGCTTCCGGCGCCATGCGAGTGATGGAAGTCCATGTAAATCTTATCAAGATCCCGTTTGTCGCCATCACGGTTTGAGTTGCTCCTTATTGCTGCACAACACATCGTGACCAGCACCTGTCAAATATTCAATCAGAGACGGTCTCGCTCCCCGATATGCTGATGTTGAACAAGCAAGACGGGGTACCCCTGAGCTGGCGACGACTTTTAATCAATCTGAAGGCATCAAGGCAAGAGAGTGACGTCGATCGTCAGCACGATCTTAATGCGATGGCAGCCAAGTGGGCCTGACGGACGGCAGCTCCCAGCCACTTGGGCGAGCTTTCAATAGACCATGCAAGCACCGTCAGAGCAAGAGAAAGCAATCGGGTGGGTTGGCAAAAAGAAACAAGGACAGGGTGAGAAAGGAAGGCGAGCGAGATTGGTAGGACGACTTCTGAAACGATGCAGAAAGCTGTCGCTGGACGCCTAGTAACGGCGAGAACGAGGGGAAAGACGATGACGACCAAACAGATGAATACCGAGACAGAGACAGCGAAGGCGAAAACGGGTTGAGTGCAAAACAATGGATTCAGAACGTAGAGCAAAAAGTCATGTAGTAGATGTTGTGGATGGGTGAATGAGTATCGGTCAAACAGAATGTCTCGGAGTGTCGGAGGAAGGCATCAATTGGTATTTGGATTGGCCGATCTCTGTAGAGGCGCGCTATGGGTGGTTTAAATTTGGTACTTGGCTGACGGGCGCTGACCAGAGCCGAGATGCAGGCGAGTTAGGGGAAGTCGATAACAGACACATTATGAATGGTATCCAGCACATGCCAAATACTGACCTCTAAAGATACTGCAAGACGGGATGTCAGTGACTCAGTGTGAGGCTGCGAGCACACACAACGTTACTGATATGGGAATAGGTAGGGTATGATCCTCGTTGCGAGCTCGACAACGAGTCGTCTTTGCAGCCCGACACGTAAAGAGAAACGGTGGTGTTGAATAGCATTCTTTGTGCGACGGGTAGAAAGATTCGATGGTAAAGGGGCTTGCGGGAAGAAGGACAAACAAAGAACGGCTCAGGATTTTGAGTTTACATTATCAGAACATCACAACGGCTTTTGGTCGAGAAGTGAGACGTCCTCTGTGCTCGCCTGTGGCTACTCGTGGTACTACTGCTGGTTCACATTCGTCTTGTCGTCGTGCTGGTTTTCTTTCGCCATTTCCAGGACTTGGTAGGATCGAATCATCGCGCTGGGAGCCCAAGGCTTTGTATTAACGCTCAGACCTTTGTTCGCGCTTTCCGCTTTCTGCCAGTGAAATTAGCTGCTAGCGGATCGAAGCTGCGTTTCATCACAGTCCAGTTCGGGGCCTCTGAGAGCGCGATTCTTGTGCCTGGTTTTGAGAGCCGGGTAGCTCACCGCCCACGCGCTTTTCCTATCATCACACGCATCCATCCTTGCTCGTCCTCGTCTCCGTCCAGGTCGCAACATCCGTCCCCGGTCGACCGCGCCGACTCAAGAGCCTTTCGACAGCGCTCCACCCCCAACTTCGGTGCGCCCTGAGAGTCGTCGCTTATTCTCAACCATAGAATGTCGTCGGCCGCCATTCATGCCGTCGCGCCACAGCATTTTCAGTCCTCTCCGAATGCCTCTCCCTCGTCTGCGCGCAGACCGCAGAGCCAAAGGCCGTCCACAGCCAGCGGTCTATCACATTTCGACAGCCCCTCTGCCTTAGCCGCCCGTCAAGTATTCTCATCTTCGACCAACGCGTCGCCCAACCAGCGAAAGATCTCTACTGCATATGACTCTATGGAACCTGCCATGCCTCAACAAGACTACACATCTGCTCATCCGCACCTCAATGCAGACAGCCCGTCACAGGCCCGCCGGAAAGAGATGGATCAGCCTTCAGCGCCCAGGCACATGGTTCCAGACACTCTTCCTCGTGAAGACAGTGCTATATTGAGCAGGTTGGTCATCGACGACCCGCAAGCCGACGTCGCTCGTGAAAGAGCCCGTGTCGCCGAAGCACAGCCCATCTCCGCCAGTCACCACGATCCCTCCATGTCAACTATGGAGGCCCCCGAAGAAGCTGCTGCACCCCGCCGCCGTCAGGAACACCTCAAGTCAAGTCACCCTAGAAAGGAGACCAAGTTCGGAGAGTACATCTTGGGACAGACACTGGGTGAGGGTGAGTTCGGCAAGGTCAAGATGGGATGGAAGAAAGAGGGGGGAGTGCAGGTTGCCATCAAGCTGATTCGCCGTGAGACGCTGGGCAATAACCCCAACCGTCTCCCCAAGATCTACCGCGAGATTTCGATTTTGCGCGGACTACAGCATCCCAATATTGTGCGCCTGCACGAGATGGTTGAAACCGAAAGGCACATCGGTATCATCCTCGAGTACGCATCAGGTGGAGAACTGTTCGACTACATCCTCAACCACCGCTATCTTAAGGACAATGCGGCTCGTAGATTGTTTGCACAGCTCGTGTCTGGTGTTGGCTACTTGCATAAGAAGGGTATTGTCCATCGCGACTTGAAGCTGGAGAACCTACTGCTGGACCGCAACCGTAATATCATCATCACCGATTTTGGATTCGCAAACACCTTCAGCCCGGATGATGAACTCGGCGAGGAGATCGAGAATCACCTGAACAACAAGGACTTCGTCTCCAAGATGGGCTTGGAACACGTCCAATCGACTGGTCACCGTCGTGGTGATCTTATGCAAACGAGCTGTGGTAGCCCGTGCTATGCCGCGCCAGAATTGGTTGTTAGTGACTCACTCTATACTGGCCGCAAGGTCGATGTTTGGAGTTGTGGTGTCATCTTGGTATGTCGACGTCAATTTTCCCAATACAAATAGCGGTGAGCTAACTTTGACTAGTATGCCATGCTTGCAGGATACTTGCCTTTCGATGATGATCCAGCTAACCCTGAGGGCGATAACATCAACCTGTTGTACAAGTACATTGTGTCGACTCCCTTGACCTTCCCCGAGTATGTCACGCCTCACGCTCGCGATCTCCTGCGGCGTATTTTGGTCCCCGACCCGAGGAAGCGTGCCGATCTGTTCGAGGTTGCTCGTCACAGCTGGCTGAGCGAGTATGCCCATGTTGTCGGTTTCATAACAAGTACCACGACCACCTCTGCTGACATTGTCGACTCTGCCATCCCTACTGGTCAGTCCACTAGCTGCCAAAGACACGATGCAGCAACTAATGCATGCACAGAAGACCAATACGACGTACCAGGACTCGCCCGCAGTGCATCAGTTAGAGAGCCATCCAAACCCAGTCAGATTGCTGTTGTTGGTGGTCTTAGCAACAAGAATGCCCCCATCACCGAGACCGAATCCAAGACACCTCGCGATGCTAAGCGTAGAACAGTTCAGGTCGAGTACGTTGCTCCTCAGTCTCAGACTGCAAGACAGCAGCCTATCTCGACATCATTGCCAACCAGTGCTGTCTTGGCACAGCCTTCTCCATCTTCTCAAGGCAAATCGCGTGCAAGAGGAGACAGCGCCTCTGGTCCTGTGGCTGTCAATTCTGGATCATACGAACCTACACCCAGTGCTCAACGCTCTCAGCAACGACCAGCTACTCAATCTGCTATGTCACCCCCTGTTCGTCCCAATCGCGAGCCTCCAAGAGCAGTTACCGACTCGACTCCCTTCAATGTTGGCTCTCCTACTTCGAGCGCTCGGCCCACCACCAGTGGCTCGAGATTGCCATCGCGTGGCAACTCGTATGGCCAACCTGCTTTGGCGACTGTTGCTGCCACCAACGCTGAAGGCCGCTTCTCGCAACCCAAACCTTCTAGCTCTGGATACATCATGTCTGGTCAGAACTCACAGGATGGTTCAAAGAGAAACTCATACACAGGAAGGCCAGTCAGCCAACATCTGCCTGCCGACGTCCAGGTTGCTCCTCAGCAGCCTGCAGAAAGACCTGTTCGTGGACATAAACGTTCTAACACGATGGAAAGTTTCACTACAAAACTGTTCGGCCGCACAAACTCTCGTCGTCAATCAGCAACTCCCCAGGAAATTGCCAACGCTCGTCCGGAGCGTGAGAAGTCTTCGCGCATGTATCCTCCCGTCAGCATGAAGAACACGATGCCTCATTCTGGCGAGGATCTGCCCCGTCCTTCGACCGAATCGTCCCGTCGCTCCTTCGGCTATAACCGCAAGAACAGCGAAAATGCCGGACCTCGGTCATCAAGAAGATTCTCCTTCTTGCCCATGTCTTTCTCCAGAATGAGCTTCTCTGGCGCATCTGGACCTGAAGCTGCCGACGGTGGTAGACGTGCTTCCGTCCAAGCCAATGCTCGCAGTCGTCCTGCTTCTAAGCAATCACCTGTCATGGCATTCGGTCAAGGAAGAAGTCGCTCCCCTAGCCAAAGTACTACCGGCAGCAGTATTCCTGTGGTTCCGGATAGCAATGTTGATGGCCGTCGTAAGATGCCTCATCAACCCGTACGCGGCGCAACTGCGCCTGATCTCACCAAGATGCAAGACCCTGGTTTCTCTCAGCAGCAGCAATTTGCTAGACAACTACAAGAGCAGCAGTACAATAACTACACCCCTCCTCAGAGCAGCGCTGGTCGACCGAGACAGGATAACTATTACACGCCTTCTCAATCCGCAGAGTCGCAGGCATCCGATTCTATTGCCCAAACACCGCGACAGAAATACCCGGCCGGTTTCAATGAGACCGAGCCAGTCGTTTCTAAGCCTCAACATCGCCAACAAGCAGTGCTGCAGAAGAACCGCAAATTCGGCGATGCGTACGAAGGCCACGGAAACGGTGGCAGCAGTGGTGGTGCTCGACGAGTGATGGACTGGTTCCGTAAGAGAGGCAAAGACAGAAGCAACTAGGAAAGCTTTTGTGCGGCTTGTTGATCTCTGTGCGCTTTCTACTGATTTTGAGCAATATTGCTCGGCTCTTTCATCTTTCTGAGCATTGCTTTATTTGCATTTTCCTCTTCTGTTTTTCTTATACCCTTCTTCCTTCTTGTTCGCCCTTTCTTATTCAACCGTTCTTCACATCACACCTTTTCCTCATCTTTTGCAAATTTCTGAACTCAATGATAATTGCTTCCATTGGTTCGTGTTCATCCTTTTCTTCTTGGTCAGCGCGGCGTCCTCTTTCATCTTAACTTCGAAGCGGCTCTTCTTCTTGTTCATTAGCAAACGTACACTTTTTACTTTGGGCATGGCATTGAACTCTCGGGAAACGCAAGAGCATAGGGAAGCTTTTCTTGAATGTATTAGTCGGACCTTTATATCAAAAATTCTCTTCTTCCGATCACACTGAAAATCATCTGATTCGTTCCTCTACATGCAGGAAGATGTTTGATAAGAGCCGCATACACCGAGCATATCCACTTCATCCTTTCTCCACACAGCTGTCACAAATGCTACATTGGTACTTGATCAGCGGTGGACGGCACATTGAGGCTCAAAAGCTGCATCTCATGGGACGGAACGCGTGCTGCAAGCTGTACGCCCGTTGTCTGTCTTCCAGCCTTGTCTTTCTGGTTCATGATTATTAGGTGGACATGTGAATGAATCCGGTCTCGCTTCATACTGAGCCAAGAGATTTGATCTTGGCTTTTGTCTCTGACTTGTTCCTCTCCATTCTCTTTCACCGTCGATCTAGTTCCACCGTAGGCGAACTTTTGTTTCTCTCAGACTGAGCCTCAGTCTCTGATTGTTAGCATGATTTCGGCAGACTTGAGCTTTTTGTGGTGGATCTGTCCCACGAAAAGTGTGGTATAGCCGTTTCGGAAGGAGGTCATGTGGCGTTGCTTCCCTCTAGAAGGATGCGCTATGCTTCATGTTGCCTGAGTCTTGTGTCCCAAACAAGAACAAGGGGAAATTGGCTAACCACAGAATTTCTTTGTTAGGCATCTGCCCGAATTATTATATATGGAAGGAGCCTTGTGTGGGATTTTATTCTTCTACCTTGGTCAGTTGAAGCAAAGCAATATTCTTCTGGGACAGCACAGCGAGGACCATCAAGTCATTTATTCTGAATTCATCGAACAACACAACTTATCAAAGAAAATAATGCATCTTTCTCATTCTATTCCCATTGTTCTCTTCTCTGCATTGGTGCATGCAAGAACCGACCTTACAGGCTGCACAAGAACCGACGTCTCATCACCTGCTGGCGCCTCTTACGCCTGGATCGTCCCCGAGACTGGAGAACTATGCGACCCTCTGGATTGCGGAGGTGGCAGAGCCCCTCCTAAGACCACCGTACCTGGGTGTGCTCTGTATGTCGGTACAGAGACCTACAAGCCTAGTTTTCTTGCTGGGTTCAGCGCTTCCATGACGGCTGGTGGAATGGGAAGTGTTGAGGCGAGTGCTTTGACTACTGCTGCGCCTACATTGACTGCTTCTGCTTCTGCCGCTGCTGCTGCTACTGCTACTGCTACTGCTGCTACGGATGATGATGCTGATGCTGATGATGGCGATGCGGACGATGATGAGGATATTTACGATCTGAGCGACATGTATCCCACAGGTTGGAACGACATGACACCCCAGCAAAAGAGCAGTTGGGTATCGTCTTACTGGACAGTAGATCCTACTGAACCCATCACAGCTATGGCAAGTGCCACTTCGACTGGAGCCAGCACTTCAGCTCAACAATTTACGACAACTTCAAGCGTGATAAGTGCTTCGAGCGCAGCATCTTCACCTTCAAACTCGACTATTTTGAGTGCCACTCCAGCGACATCAATCACGACAAGCACAAGAGACCTACCTACCTTGGCTCCAGCTTCCACTACATCAACAATGACAACCACAAGTTTGAGCATGAGCAGATCGTGGGTCAAGACCATTCCGACTTTTGCGAAGGGCGCTGCTGATGTCGAGATCGATAGGGCGAGTGTGTCTTCATCTGGTTCTGCAGCCAAGTCATCTGCCTCTGCATCTCTGGTGGATTCTACTGGTGCAGCTGAGAAGGTTGGATGTGCTATTGGTGCTGCTGGGGTTGTTGCTGCTGTGGCTGGAGCTTTGGCTGTCTTGTAAGCATGGTGATGTTTGAACATGAGTGGATAGGATGGCAAAGGACTCAGGTGTTATATCTTTGGGCAAGAACGTTGTTTCGTGGTTGTACCTATAACAATGCATGGTGCTTTTTGAGGAACTGGGAAACATCTACCTGAGGGCGGATAATTGACGTATTTGTCCGTCTGAGGCTAGACGTCCAGTGACAAGTAAACTCATCTTGACGATCCACGAAAACAATTCGTGTCGCTCTGTAGATATGGTATTCGTAAGATATGAAAAGAGAGAGGTTGAGATCATGGGTAGGAACGTTGATGATTTATGCTCGAGTGCACAAAGCAGTCACAAATGCACAATGTGAATAAAATCTTGTCAAACTTTTAAACAGAACCACGATTTACCTATTTGTATATATATTTTACCATCTAACAATTGACATGTCACGACTCCAAACTCAAACAGCAGACTCGGAACACTCAATATGGAAGCACCTCCCTGAAGATACGTTTCGCCAACACCTGGTAGACCTTGAAAAATGCACCAATGCTGTGCCAATTGAGCCGCAGACATTTCCTCTGGATCATCACACCCATATATCGAGGGCTGGATATACACTGCCATTGACCACAGAGCAGAAGATTGCAGATGACTTTGCGTTCTTAGCTGCAATCGAAGAAGGTGCTCAGAGCGTTGCAGCAGTGTGTCTAGAAGAGCATCTTCAACCATCTCGAATCACGGTGCGGTTTGCAGCACTAGATCTGTCACTGAGTGAGGAAGTCAAGGATGCTCTTACATCAATAACTGGAGCCCTCAGTAAAGTCACGGAAATTGACACATCAGCTCGTACAGAAAAATTGTTTTCACAAATCGTGAACTTGCACTTCCGACGATTACTCGCACGTCTTCGATCTATAAAATGGGAAAAGCCAAAGTATCTCGCCAAACAACATAAGAAACCTCTATGGCAGGACTTTGCAAACCTTTCGCATCGGATTCAGTTTGTTTATACCAAGAAGGAAGCAGTCCTGAGACGCTCGGTGGAGGCACAAGTGCATCAGCTGGCTGCAGTTTACGAAGCCTTTGAGACTGTCGAGGCAGGATTCCAAGACGAGATCCCATGCCTTCACGAATTGATCAAAGCAAGCTATCACTTTTGCAAGACGGATGCTATTGCGGACTTTGCACAACGATTGGAAAACAGTGTTACGGCGGCGCCAACGCCAAAGGTTGCTTCTGCTATCAAGTGCTTGCGCCAACTGGAGAAGATTGGCGCATACTGGAGGGTTGCGACGTCTCTTGTTGACGCAAGTTTGAAGTATCCTGCTCTTTTCCAAACGAATCTACAACTGGCGTTTTTGACACCGTATGAGCCTGTTCCTACTATGATCGGCCACGAGTCCTGGGCAACGACATGCCATGTACATGCAGAAGTCCAACTTGCCGTACACTACGATTTGCTCTTCCACGCTACATCAGGCTCATCACCAGCCTTCCTACCTCCTCGTGTTATTGGAACGTCGAAATGGCTTTGTTATCTCTGCTACCAGTTCCTGCGTGCTCATGGCTCTTTTATTCCGGTAAACACTCACGGGCGCTTGTATGACCAGTGGACGATACCGGATCTGGCAGATTATGGAGAAGAGCTGCGTGGTCAATATCGCGGAATTGTTCGCGATATAGATGCAGAGGTAGTCAGGGAAACAGGGGCGACCGACCCTGGTGAAGCAGGATCTATATTGAGGTGGCGTGCCGAACCGATGACAAGTCGACAGAATCTGTTAGGTGTAGACGGCGCATGTTGATGCTGACAATCTCTCTGTATAACGACGACTCATAATCGATGTCGCTCGGAGAATCTTGCTCAAGTAATGGCCTTTTGATACCTATACGCATGCTAGAACCTGGTGCAGGGTATGGAAAACGTCTTGCGCTGGTTTCTTTACCCGGCTTCGCTACACATGCAACCGCTGTGTCAGCGCTTTGGTGATGAGCGATTATACCAGAACGCGACTCATTCGAACCAGCGTTCGCTGGTAGTGCTCCCTGTTCAAGAGACACTCGGGCCAATACGGTTGTTGCGAGCTTGGGGCTCCAGTCAGCGACTGGAAAGTTGTGAAGCATCCGAGGAGGCGCATAAAGGGCGATGTTGTCGAAGCTCGAATCCAGAAGCTTGCTCTCAAACCACACGCTGTAAAGAAAACAAACTTTACATGCTCGAGGCTCTAACAGACACGTTCAGAACACAACACCACTATACATCCAGCAGCAGTGTATACAAAACAAAAAGGCAGAAGAGAAAATAGACATTACCTCCAAAAGAGCAAAAAACTGATACACAGAAAAATCCCTACAAGCCAGCGCTTTCATACGTACGTGTTTGGTTCGCGTATTACTAAGGCGTAGCGTGGCGAGGTAATTTATTTTTGGTGAGCTTCCCAACCACCAGACCAAAGGCGTCCCTTTGGTGGCCAAACAGTGGAGAGGTTGCCGCTGGAAGGGTCCCAATTTTGGTCGTATATAAAGGTAGACGCCAAAACGTGGCGACAACCACCATTTGGCCCGCAAGCAGGCATGACTCCCCATTTCAGAGTTGCGTCTGATATTGAGATCAAGCTCCATGTCTGTAAAATACAACTTTGCATGAACTTTGCTGAATTTGTTGTGGTGCTCACATCTGACCCCTGAATTTTTCGATGGCGCACGACTGGGGATGGTGCACGCTTAATGCGGTCGAGCATGAATTTCAGTCGCCTCCTTGCTCCAGCCTCTTCGTTGAAGCATGCAATGAATCTTGAGTGACTTGAAAGGCTTGAGCATCGGAGGTGTCGTGGTGACCACAGCGCAAAGTCTGCCTGAGGTGTCTACAGGTGCTGCACAGAACTTGGTCTGTGTCGTTGGCGGAGCTGGCGTGCTGATCGTTGTTGTCTGGTCATATACCTATGAAAGCTCTTAGTATCCAGGACAGCATGAGAGACTAGATGTGCAGGTAGGACTGCTAGCATCGACTGTGAGTCAGGCTGCAGCGTAGTTATACCCTGTCCTCTCCTCTAGCGTCTCTCTCCTNCCACCGCGTCTGCGCTTACGACTCTGGTTCTTTCTCAGTTCAGGATGGAGTCTGAAGCAATTGGCGGTCGAATGATAAGGAATCTTGCAATGGTCGCAGTAGTCAACCTCAACTTTGATCTTGTCATTGACACGTCGGCCTGCGTTCGCCAAAGTTCTGACTGGTCGTTCCATCTCAGCTCCATGCTTCTGCAATGTTTCNTGCAAAATGGCTGATTGGACAATGTCTTCGTAGGACATTCGAGCTTCTTCGCCCTCAGGTGGGAATATCGTGTTGTTCCTCATGAAGTCGAGCACAAATTCATCGTATCTGGGTCCCAGTCTTTGTAAGAAAAACAGTTTCCACCAGGCATCGTCAAAGCCAAACTCCGGGCCTACGGCCAGCATCCCATATCTGATGGCCTCGAGTTCTTTCGCCAAGTCCGAGACAGAGAAGTCTCCAGGAGAGATGTTATGCAGTCGTTTTGAGAGGTTGTACAAGTCTATGAGTCCTCTCCGAGGCAGTTCTGTGTCAACCGAGAATGGAGGCATATCCATTGAGTAGAAGGTTTCCGTCAAGTCAATTCTCCGGTGAGGAAATGCATGTTTCTAGATGAGAAGTGACCCCTCACTGAGCATTGATGCGAAGGCGGTGAGAGCGGCAGTCGGAGGTCGGAGTTTGGGCGCGACGACAATGACGATGGACAAACAGAGCACCTTCCAACCTTGCACTTGTAACCAGACAATTCAATACCAGACATTCACTTGGACGATCGCGCTTTCCTCACTCGACTCCATACCGACACCGAACCAAGATCCTCAATAAACGACTCCATCAATCCCACATCCTCAAACACATCACATCATTCATCATGGAACAAACCCGAGCAATCAACGCGCTGGCACCTTTCCTCGCTCTGTCCAAGTCGGCCACTTCAGCTCGCGCAGCCGCTGATCTGGTCACCCAAGCTACCTCGGCCGCTCACACATATGTCTTTGGCGAGCTTCTTCAGACACCAAACATGCAGAACCTACGCAACGATGCTCAATACCGCAACTACTACACACTGCTCGAACTGTTCGCATGGGGCACATGGGCCGAATACCAAGGTACGTTTTCTTCTCTGGTGATCTTCGACACACAGCAGCGACTAACTCTACAAACAGCCCTCGCATCAACACTGCCTCCACTGTCACCAGCCCAAGAACACAAGTTGCGCCTACTCACCCTGCTCACTCTCGCTGCAACCACCACAAACAACAACCCACTCACATACACAAACCTCCAATCCGCACTGTCGCTAGACTCGCCACTGGCCCTTGAACGCCTGGTCACAGATGCCATTTACGCAGACTTGCTCACCGCCACCCTGAACCCCGCTCAAGGCATCGTTGCCATCAGCAGTGTAGCCGCCCTCCGCGATCTCAACCCAGGCAGTGTGACACGTATGATGGCTTCACTGGATGCTTGGAGCGGTCGATGCGATGACGTGCTCAAGGAGCTTGAAGTCCAGATGAAGAGTGTCATGGAAGCTGCAGAGAGAAGAACAAACGAAGAAGCCATGCGTGCAGAGCAAGTGCACAAGGCCGAGGCTGTTAGCAAGAAAAATGAAGATGCTGGAGACGATGCTATGGAGGTAGACGACGCCGGTCAGAAGCTGGGAGGAGGCAAGAAGAGAGGTCTCGGTGGTCTGGGCTTGAGAAAGAGATAGGACGCTTTCCGCCAAAGCATACAGAGCTTGTCAGAGGAGATCGCACTGGAGATCACAGGCGCATAGAGGGAATTGCTAGAAAAATCTGAGGTGTCGCTATTATTGCCACATCCTCCGAGAAGAGCACATGCTTTGCTCGATAATCACGAAGAATACGAAACAAAACACCTTTCTCCAATCTTTCTTTCCATGACTCTGCATTGATGCATCGAGGGCTGATCACGGCGAAGGAGACTGTTTTGAAGGAACGCTCATAGATTTGTATTGCTTCCTGTGAGTGACAGGACCTGTATGCGATGGGGTATAAAAGAGAAGGAAACAAAACAAAAGCGGGTGATAACAATGTGCCAGCAGAGACGACAAAAACAACACAATATGCAAAATTCCCATAGTACCCTACACAAATCTCTCTTTAAGAGTTCAGAAGAGAAAGCTCTCAGAACGCCCACTGGAAACGACAGATCTAACGCCACGCCATATGCAAGAAAAACTGATATTGGAATCTAAAAACTCCGTAGTCGAGAGGCGGGGGTTATGAGCTGTTGGATCTCATGAGCATTTCCTACAAGGATACACTGTTAGCGCAAGCCGTCCATTACATCAAAATGCATCGAGAAACGCTTACCCGCTCAATGGGATCACCGAGGTCTGCCGTCACAATCGAAGGACTCTTAGTCGGGTTGGTCGGCGAGTCGGTGTATCCACGAATATCCAAGATCGGCCTCCTGGGCGTGCTGACTTTGCTGCTGCTTGCGCTCTCCTCTTGCTTGCCGTCGTCGCCTTGTGTAAGTGCCAGCCTTTGGTCCTTGTTGCGTTCGAGCAACGCGCCTCCCATGGTCGCACACTTAAGTATGGTTTGAATAAGCTGATTAGGCTTGAGTGGCTTTGAGAGGTACTCGTCCATTTGCGCTTGGATGCACTTCTCGCGATCTCCCAACATGGCGTGGGCAGTGAGAGCGATAATGGGCGAGCGAGTGAGCTGGTGCTCGCGTTCGTATTGGCGGATGTTGGCAGTGGCTTCGAAACCTCCCATGATAGGCATTTGCACATCCATGAGCACGACATCGTATCGCTTCTTCTTGATGGCTTCGAAAGCCTCCAGACCATTATTCGCCACGGTAACAGTGTGGTGATGCTTTTGCAAAATCTTGACAGCCAGCCTTTGGTTGACTGCATTGTCCTCGGCGAGCAAGATGTCGAATTTCATAGAGGGGTCGGCAGATGTTGGCGCGGCGCGTCCTTCCAATGCTGGTATAAGGGCGTTGCCCAGATCGATGGACAAACAAGGCGTTGTCATGTAGCTTGCAATACCGTCCTCGAGTGCTGACTTGAAGCTCATGCTAATGACAGGAGCAAGCATGACGATGGGGATATACTTAAAGTCCTCAACGTTGCGAAGTTTGCGAGCTGTCTCTCTGCAATCGACCAGGACACAGTCGTAAGCCTTTCCAGCAGCGCTGGCAGCCTGAGGTGAGGGCACTTCATGCTCGGTGTGGACAACCATGGGTACCAGCTGGAGATTGACAAGATGCTGAGCGATTTCTTCAGAGCAACCGGTCTTGCCAGTGTCGATGAAGAGCACGTTATGCTTACGGTAAGCTCTGAGCGGCTTGTCAATGGCCTTTACATCGGGGTTGCCGACCTTGAACTTGACAGTGAAATAGAAACAACTGCCTTGACCAAAGTCAGATTCCACCCACATCCTTCCGTGCATAAGAGAGACAAGTCTTCTTGAAATGGAAAGACCAAGACCAGTACCTCCAAATCGGCGGGTGGTTGAGCCATCTGCTTGTTGGAAGGTGTCGAAGATGAGGTCAAGCTTGTTGCTCGGTATGCCAATACCGGTGTCGCTGACAGCAAATTGAACTGCGTACTCGCCATCCTTGCATCCAACCTGGTCCGCTGCAGAAATGGAGATTCTGACCTCACCCTTGTCGGTGAACTTGATAGCGTTGCCGACAAGGTTCAGGATGATCTGACGAAGTCTGAAGGAGTCTCCAACAACGTAATCCGGTACCGAACTATCAACATAGTAGGCGAGATCAAGGTGCTTCTCATTGGCCTTGACTGCCAGACCCTTTAAGCCATTGAAGACTTGGCCACGGAGAGAGAATGGGATCTCCTCGACAACCATACGGTTGGCTTCAATCTTGGAGATATCGAGGATGTCGTCAATGATGGTCAATAGACTGTTAGCAAGGTTGAATACCAGGTTGAGCATCTCTCGCTGGTTTTGGTTCAAGTCAGTATCAAGAGTGAGTTGAGTCATTCCGATAATACCGTTCATAGGCGTTCTGATCTCGTGAGACATGTTGGCAAGGAACTCTGACTTTGTCTTGTTGGCCAGTTCAGCTGCTTCTCTTGCAGCAGTGTTCTTCTGGATACTCTCGCGGAGACCAGTGACCATTTTGTTGATCTTCTGCTTGAGCTCGTTCATCTCGCCGGATGCTTCAACAGTGATCATCTTGGTGAAGTCACCATCCATAGCAGCATTTGTGATATCACCAAATGCTCGGACTTGTGAGGTCAGGTTTTGGGCCATAGTGTTGACGTCGGAAGTGATCTCCTTCCAGCGACCGGAAATACCATCAACTTCTGCTTGACCACCCATCTTGCCGTCGACACCGACATCGCGAGCGACACGTTTGACAGCAAGCGACCAATTGTCAAGACGACCAACCATGTCGTTGATGGTGTTCTTCAGAAGTAGGATTTCTCCTTGAGCGTGAACCTTGATGACCTGGGTCATGTCGCCGCGAGCAATAGCCTGTGTAACGTCTGATATGTTGCGGACCTGGTTGGTCAGGTTGTTTGCCATGGTGTTGACGTTGTCGGTCAAATCCTTCCACTTGCCCTCGACATTTTCAACTTGAGCTTGTCCACCGAGCACACCTTCAGTACCAACTTCTCTTGCCACCTTGCTGACCTCAAAGGCGAAAGTGCTCAGACGGTCAACCATAGTGTTGATGGTCACCTTCAACTCAAGGATCTCACCCTTGACCTCGGCCCCGACCTTCTTACTGAGATCACCTCTAGCGACGGCTTTGGTAACATGGGCAATCTCGCGCACTTGAGTAGTGAGGTTGTTGGCCATGCCGTTGACGTTCTCTGTGAGATCCTTCCATGTGCCTTCGACTCCATGTACGGTAGCTTGTCCACCAAGTCTTCCTTCTGTTCCGACTTCTCTGGCGATTTTTGTAACTTCGTGGGCAAATTGCCTGAGTTGGTCGACCATAGAGTTGATGGTTGATTTGAGCTCAAGAATTTCACCCTTACACTCTGCCTTGACTTTTTGTGTAAGGTCACCCCGTGCGACAGCAGTAGTGACCTCGGCGATGTCTCGTACTTGAGTTGTCAAATTGTTGGCCATGGCGTTGACATTGACAGTTAGGTCGTTCCACATGCCCTGCACGCCCTCGATCTGGGCTTGACCCCCAAGTACACCCTCAGTGCCGACGTCACGGGAAACGCGAGTGACTTCTGTTGCAAAAGTACGCAATTGGTCGACCATACCGTTGATAGTTTGCTGAAGTTGCAGTATCTCACCACGAGCAGGACGCTGAATCTTGCGACTGAGATCACCTTGGGCGACGGCGGTAGTTACGACGGCGATTTCTCGGACTTGGTTGGTCAGATTATCTGCCATGATGTTGACTNNGTGGATAGTTAGTAGATGGGTATGGAATCAAGACCGAATACAGTGCATACCGTTTTGAGTCAACTCGGCCCAGATACCACTGACTCCGGGCAAAACAGCTTGACCACCGAGTCTTCCTTCGGTACCGACCTCACGAGCGAGGTGTGTGACTTGACTGGCAAAATCCTGTAGTTGGTCGACCATTTTGTTGATTGTGCGTTTGAAAGTAGCGATCTCGGGATCACGCTCTTTGGCGCTGATGAGCACCTTNTTGCTGAGATCACCGTTGGCAACGGCAGTGACAATACTGCCAATCTCGCGGAGGACTTTCTGATAGGTGGCATTGATTTGTTGGTTTTTGGACAACTCGCGCTTCAAGGTCTCAACGTCATCCATTGAGCTCTCGATACCACCAAGGGCTTGCTCGGTAGCTTGGCGCTGTTGTTGCAGAGTCTCGTTGATGCTATCGATATATTCTTTCTGAGCCTTGATCTGTTCGCTTTGGCGATCAACATGGTCGCGAAGGACTCCAAGCTCTTCTTCGGTCAACTGACGCGGTACGGCGGTGCCTTTGGGACTCTCCGACTTTGCCAGCAAGCTGTTTACCAGAGATGCAGAGCGAGGCCGTGAAGTCAGGACACGGGTAGCGGTGGGCGAGCTGTCCGGCGAGAAGGCAGACTGTAGAGGCTCGTTGGGAGTGATGGGAAAGATGGTTGAGGCCGAAGAAGCGACCCTGTTCTCCAGATATTGCACGCGGCTGGCTAAAGCAGCGATTTCTCGCTCGAGTTGTCGTTTGGCGTCAGAGTCAGCGCCAGGCAGGGGACTGCGATTTGATTCGATGCTGTTGGCAGCGATACGGCCGTTGAAGTCATCGTTGGCAGGGGTATATTGTTTGGCAAGATTGGAGATGATGCCGGCGAGGGCTGTATACGAGTCCTCTTCAGCCATCGTGGGCGGTTGTTGGTGTAGACGCGGGTGGTCGACGCGCATGAACGGTATGGGAAGCGGCCTCTCTGTCCGGTATCCAGGAATGTGTGGGGGACACGAAGGACTTGGGGCGGTGACGAGCGGCTTTGTGCTGACTCCGGAGTGCCCGAGACGGAGATGGATACTAGGTTGGCATCCAAAACTGAAGGGCGTGTCGTCGCTGGGATGCCCCTTGTGCGTGTTGTCAGGTCGAAGTTATGACAGGTTGCGAGAGGAGTCGAGGGCTGAGAGTAGCGGAAGGCCCAAGGGTCGGAAACAAGCGCGCTAATTTAGTGATCGCCCAGAAGCCTCTGCCCGTCCAATCGTTTTCGACCCGGACACGAAAGAGCAAAAGGCGGTGCTGCGACAGCTTTGAATCCCTCGAATCCTCCTGCCTCAGTACTGGCTCTACGAATAAGCAGACACGTAGAACAATGAGACTGTGTGTTGGCGTCCTGACAAAGAAGTGCCAAACAAACTCTGAAGAGCCCATGCTTAGGAAGCCGCTGTCCACCACGCGAGCCGAAGACCCCATACCTAAACTAGCCAGCTATATTTATCGGCATCCAACCACTTCTCAAACAAATGGTCACTCTTGCCCTCGCTCTGCGCCTTTTGTGCATATCGTCAACGACTGCTCGTATCCCTTTCGCTAGCCGAGTCGCAGGAGCTGCTGCTGCTGCTGCCAAGATCTCGTCTTTTGAGCTCCAAGCCCGCTGCACATGTTCTGGCTCCGAGCCCGATCTCGATTCCTCGAGCGGTCCACAAAAACATCAAAGTTCTAGAAGACAGGCTGTCGTTTGCCTTTCGATTCGTATTCTGGACCACGAGCACAATCGCCATCAAGATGCCACTGATAGGTGAATAGGCGGATTCGAAGCTTGGACCCCGTTTATGCATGGCTTTCAGCCTTTTAAGGGTCTTGATGTGGAGACTTGCATCCAATCGTTGCACGCCTTCAAGGCTCTCCTTCCTCTCGAACATCTCGTTCTTTCTATCAGGAGAGCAGTCCGATCACCAAGTTATCACGAGGTTCTCACAGTTCGAGAGAGTCGAGAACGTGAGTAACTGACGAGCTGTCGTCCAGTCTCAATCCCCTAGCGTCCGCTCGCTACGTATTACTCGTACGCGTACGGAGAATTGGCGCAACGATAATGCCGCACTTCCACCGCCGTGTCTGTCGATCAATTCGTCCGTTGAGAAACCCCCCTCTCAGACGGAGAAAGTCATTTTAATCTCGACCACTCTTTTGGCGCTGCGTGCTTCAGGCTCCAAGGAGTCAGCGAATCTGATGATCTCATTCCTCAGGAGTGCGCCGTGCAGCAAAAGAACAAGAGCTGATGTCGATCGTGTGTTTCATCTTGCTTACTTACCACTTTCGCTCTGAGCGACAGGAACTTTGTAGATCCCAAATTCCGACCCTCATTATTTTCAAGCGCAACGAACAACGTCTGCTCACTTGTACCGCAGTCATACAAATATCCCGCAATTGCTCGGTCAAATCTCCTGCCTCCTGGTCTCTTTGTTCCGATCACCTTTATACAGTGTTCGCAACAGCGCATCCCAAAGCATATTGCGAGCCGACATCAGCCACTGACTCGATCTTCCAGCCTTATCCTAACTTTACTACTCATTGGTGAGAACCGTTACAGGGTCCACTCGACATAAACCTTACTTTCATCTCATGCATTCCACGAGGAAGACTTACGTTCCTGAACTGGTGTGCTGTTCCATGCCGTGTCAACCTCTGGCTGTCAGAGATCGAAGCGAGCTCACACTTACTCTTTCTACGTCATCATTGCCTTCCAAATAATCATGGGACACCGACAAGTGCTCGAGTCAGTTAATTACACGAAGAGCAAACTTCTGATTGCCAAGAATCTCGGCAATCAACAAGGGGCAAAGCATTCTGTTCAACACCGCTTAGCCCGGCACAAAAAAAAACCTTCTCGTACCGTGACCAGCTCGTCTCAGGGTGGAGAGGCTCTCCTGAGTCCTGAAACGATGTATCTGCCGGACAGAGTTTTACACTGCCGGTCCGTTGACCACGCTGAGCTTGCTCGACGATCATGATATCCACCTTCGGAGTCAGCTCCCTTGACTACGTCGGAGCTAAAGAATATTGCAAATCGATTGTTGCGGCTCAAGATCACTTCTGGGCCACTCGATGCTCGCAGTCAATGAAGCAGTTGTTGCAAGCATCTTCTACTCCAATCAACTATACATCTTGCGTGTATCATGATTGCTGTCGGAACGAAAAGGTCTTAGAGGTAGGGACTTGACGAAAAAGTGATTCTCAGATTTCGACTGCTGTTCGACAAAGAGTATGCCAGCAAACGCCTCTCTGTCAAGCTTCGCGAAGACAGCATTGAGCAGATAGGTACATCTATATTGACCCTGAAAACGACGACAAAGACCGGGTTTCGGACTTATGTATGGGAGATACTGTACAAACATTCTGATTCGATAGCCAGGGCCTACTCAATGCCTAGCGGACCACAACTTCTGATGCAGGCGACTCAGCCTGGCCATGGGGAAAGACAACTAGTAATCTCTTGTACAAAGAAACACCAATGACTGGTAAGAAGGCTGCTGCTTATCGTCCACAGCAAACGAGGATTCATAAAACATGTTCATTGTATTGTCTTACAAACATCCACGCGTCTCTCATTGTCAATAGCAAACAGGCTCTGAGTTCATCTTTTGTGCTTCTTGCACGCATTTTCCTGGACCTTCCAGAGCAGTCAACATCACGACATGCTTCACTTCAAATACCGCAGGATCCTCTCTTCATGACTCTCTTCTACGTATCCACACGTAACCATGTTTCCAGACTCTCCTCCAGATGTCGCTTCGACTGACGAAGGCATCAAGTCTAGCACGACTCATGAAAGGTTGTCTTACGTGTTCATTTGCTGTCGAACGAGTGGGCTAATCCTCGACAGCACCGTCTTCAACAAGCCCGAAGACTCTGATATCATCATCGAGTATCATGGTATCAAAGTTCATGCTCATCGCGCCATCCTCCGCATGTGCTCGCCCTTCTTCGAGCGTGTCTTTCAATCTCAGTGGCCTGTAAGTATTCCTGATTTCTTCTGAGGTTTCAATGTTGATTGTTTACAGGTAGCTAAAGGCCTAGTCTTCTCTCTCGGCGACGACGATGACCCAAAGATTGTTGATGCCATGCTCCGTCACATGTACAATCTGCCTTACTCAGAGTCCCCGAAGCCTACATCAGCAGACAACGTCTACAAATTCCACTTTGACGTCTTCATGCTAGCCGACAAATACGACTGCCCATCTCTACGTCAAGCTGCAGTGTCCAACTTTCGCCGTACCGCAGATGAGTCTGTCCGCAAACTCCTTCATTACTACAGATCAACCAATATGCTCTCCTTCATCGAGATCATTCCCCATCTCTGTGGCACTGACGCCCGCTCAACCGCTGATTCTTCTTTGCGTAACGAGGTTCTGAACTTTTGCGTCGTCAACTACACCAAGCTGTTCGAACTCACGTCATTCCGGGAACAACTCAAAGACGGCAACATGTTTGACGAGGACGCCATGGTCAAGCTACTTGGCAAAATCGGGGCAATCGCACTGAGGAAGCAAGCACAAGCCAATTCCACCAACTATGTTCGTTTCCCAGTTCCAGGCAGCTACTCCGACGGACCGTATGGTCGTTGCTTTGTTCCCGATCGTTATTCCACCGACGATGACATGAACTCTGACATGTGAAGATCGAGCTCGGAGCAACGGTGTACTGCTTCTTCGCGAACCCGCTACTATTCTGAGTGATTGTCAGTTCCGATGGAGCGACTGTTCTTTTGAGTCGTTCACGAAAGTTGAAGGCAACCCCAATTCACGAGAGCATTGAGAATGTACTATCAAGAAGCAGAGATAGAGAGACAAGCTAAAGCTCAATGGAAAGACAGAAAAGAGATATCAAACACGGCATGTACTGCAAAAATGACAGAAGCTACAGTAGTACCATGCGAGTCTTGAACTTGAGCTTGTGAGTTGACGAAATTGTGAATTGAACCCGTACATTGAAAAGCATTATCCTAGAGCTGCAACGCCTTGACGCACTCACAAATGGCCTCGTCCTGCGCTTTGATATAGCCATTTGTCATTTTCTCGAGCTTTTCCAATGCAAGCAAGTCATCCAGTTTGCCCACATCCTCGTAATTGTCCAGATGCCTTACTGTATACTTCTTCAAGCCAAGATATTCACTCTTCTGCTCATCCCAAGCAGGAATCTCGACACTGACATTGAGGCGCCAGTACTTGCGCGTTGCACTTGTGGGCGCGTACGCGTCGAGCAAGGTGCGGAAGAGGATGTGCGTGAGTTCGCTGTTCGTGGCCGCGCTGGCAAGGGCTTCGGGTAGGCTGGGGAGGCGTTTGATGCCGCTTTCGATGCCAACGTTCTTGGGTATGCCTGTTCCAATGCTGAGAAAGCAATTTGTGGTACGTGTTGGTCCGAAGACCGAGAGAACTTCGTTCCACAGCCTGGATAAAGGTCAGCTTCGAAAGTTGAGATCCTCTGATCGGATAAGAGCTTACCAGCCTAGAGGATTGTTGGCACCCAAGCCCCCATCAATCAATTCCTTGTCTCCAGCTGCGACGGAGTCAAAGTAAGTCGGTGCGGCTGAGGTCGCTCGAGCCGCCCTCCAGACCTCGATGCCTGCCTGCTCAGACGGCTCAAGTGGATTCTGATACGAACGAAGAAGAACCGGACCTCTATTGTCGAGGGCATCTTTGCGCACAGCTGTGACGAAACTGCGAATCTCAACATCAGCCGGAGCCCACTGCATCTTCAGAACCAAGACTTACACTTTGCAAGCGCCTTTGCGATCATCAAGAAGTATTGCATTCTCATCTCCAAGTTTCTCCTTCACCACTTCCTTGATACACGTCTCTAGAATCTTAGCATCGTACTTATCCACAACCGGCGTGGCAAGTTGTCTAGTCCAGCTGACTGC